TTGCATCCCAGTAGCTTTCAAATGTTTTGGAGGACAACCTACAGCGAGAAATGCGTTTTGTGTTTTGACTGAGGACACACATATGCCCCTGACCCCAAAGTTTCAGAATGAATGCTTAGCCCTGCTACATGCCGTGTGGTTCATTTCTTCTACTTATTCATTACCAACTAATCGGATGTCAGGTTTCATTAATAGGTTGTAATCTGCAGGTTAGAAAATAACTCTTGTCTGGTATGAATGAGTAGTCCTGTCTCGCCTCTGAACCACCTGCTTTTTCCATCTTACTTAATGAGAGCCAGAAGAGCACTTAAACACATGGCTTTATTCTTTCCTTCTCCCTTGGGAACTGGCCATTATGAAGTTGCCCTTTATCTCATTGAAGTGGGGGTAATTTGCCTGAGTCCTTTCCCTCAGGATTCTGTACTCCTGCCCTGCCCAGTTCCTCGGGGAGCCTTCCCTCAGTCTGCCTGTAGTAACCCTCCCTCCTGCAGCTGCACTTCAGGGGAAAGATGACACCTCACTGGGGTTCACATAGACTTTCCCTGGCTAGTATTCTTCACCTGCCAAAACAAAAGCACGGCCACTACTTGGGTGTCTTCCCGCTGCCTGGCTGCGTTTTGGATGTGGAGACTCTGCAGAATACAGAATGAGCGCCCTATGTTCTCTGTTTTCCTTGGCGTCAGAGGCAGTGTCCCCAGAGCTGTGGGTGTGTGCCAGCTGCCTGTAGCTGTTGTGCCTCCACCCACTGCCTGGGCTGATGTCTCCTTGTGGGTCTGATGGGTTTGAAGTGAAGTTCTTATCAGAACTTGAGAACCATCCAGACACTGAGCGTGGCTGTTTTCTCAGAGGGTCCCTTCCCTGCCTCCATGAGCTCGCTTCCTCAGGTGGAAAGATGCCATGGTGTTTTTGAGAGACTGGGTCATTGGTTCTCACATGGTCTAAGAACATGTGGAATCCACAAAATGTTCTTAGGGGACCTGGGACATCTGCCCTTTCCCTACTGGATATCCAAATGAGGCCTGATTTTCTTCCTATACTTAGAATAACATCATAGAATATAGAAAGCAGGTGCAGATAGGAGAATTTTGTTCTATTAAGTCAGGCATGAAAAAAGTTTACAAGAAAACCAGTGCCACTTTTCTCAATAATTTTTTGGGAAACAGTTATCTTTAATAAAAATGTTAAAGTATAATTTGCTTATTTAATGATGCTTTAAAATAAATTAATAAATACTTAACAGATATTTTCCATTGTAACTTCAAGTATAATGAATATAGGTAAGTATAATCTATATAAACAAAAGCTCTTGGGGGTCCTTGACATTTCATATTTAATTCTGCATTTTAAATAAGCAAATCTTTTTTCTTAAATTATTTTTTTATTTTTATTTTGAAAAGCAGAATTAGAGAGCGAGAGACAGAGAGATGTCTTGTGTCCACTATTCACTCCCCAAATGGCCACAATGGCTGGAATTGAGCTAGGCCAGAACCAGGCCAAAGCCAGGAGCCAGGAGCTTCTTCTGGGCCTCCTAGATGAGTGCAGGGGCCCGGGGACTAGGGTCATCCCCTGTTGCTTTCACAAGCAGGAAGTTAGATGGGAAGTAGAGCCGCCAGTGCTCATTTGGGATGCTGATGAGGCAGACAGAGGCACCTACTGTACCATAGCACCGGTTCCCAAATAAATAAATCTTAAAAAAAAACAATAGAAAAGAATCACTATGACATGACATACAAGGCAGGGAGCAGGGAGGACACTTGGCACTCAGAGTCATCACCACATTGAGAGGGGAAAATGACTGGAGCCCTGTGGTGCCCGGCTGGAGGTTTACAGACTGGGCGGGGAAGAGAAGCTAGGACTTGTGAACCTGTGCTCCTTCCTCTGTGTCTTAGCTTCTACCCCTGTGCTGCTTTCCAGGCTGCCTTGTGCTGGTCCTGGACACATAAAGCAATGCGCAGTTGGCGTTCCTGAGCTGCTCTGAAGCAGCAGCAGCACAGCACAAATGGCACATGGACACCTTCAGCCTGTGCTGTTTTCTCAGGGTCTCCAGGGTTGGCTCCATTTTCTAGGGCAAGTGGAAGCTTTGCCTTGTGTTTGGAAAGAGAGGGTCCAGGAAGAAAGATATCTGAGGGAGAGAGTCCATTTCTAACATCTATTGTTCTGGAATTTTGCAAAATAAAAGCCTAGATATTGGAGGCCTGCAGGAGCTCCTGACTCTTGGCTCCTTGGAAAGTGGAGCTCTGCCCCAAACCTCCCTGCAAACAGGAAGCTGGGTCGAGTTAAGAACATAAAATAAAAACCAGCTGATGCCCCTGAATGTTTTCCCTGCTCCTCCCCTTCCACAGAGCCAAAAGAAACTGCTCCCCTCCCCCCCTTTGGATAGCTGCTTAGAAAGCCAGAAAAGGCCAAAAAACATAAATCCTTTGAGAAGAAGCCAAGCTTTGAACCCAGGCAAACTCCTGCCCATGGGTTTTCCGGGTCCGGAAGTGTGTTCTGCTGTGTGGAGTTCCCGGAGGAGAGTGACAGGAACACAGTAGCGCCAGTGAGCCGGTGTGGGTTTCCCGAACTTGAGCTCCCAGCCCATTAGTAGCTCATGAGATTGATAAAGTGGGCCCTGTCCTGTGCAACTGTTTTAATGAAATTAAATAAATAAATAGAGCATGTCACATGCAATATTGTTTTTGTAAAGCTTTTGCTTGCTTTATACACAGATACGCATACATGTGTATGTGTGCATTGGGTGATAATGTCAACTGTGTTTCTCACTGTGGATGTGGTCCAAACAGTGAGAAACACTGGACTAAAGTACCCCTCTGAGTACCCTGAGTCTCCTTGCTGCTTTGAGCTGCCATTGAAAAAATGTCAGCTAGTTTCAGAATCAGTTCCCTGTAGAAGCACATCATCTGCCCACAGGACACCCACTCCCCACATTCCTGGGCAGCTGAGACCCAGCACACTTGGTCTGATTCTTCCGGAGCAACATTGAAGGATGGGGAGGGAAGCGGTGGGAGCAAATGTGATTCCAAAGAATCTGACTGAAGGGTCAGTTTGGGGGTTGAGCAGCGTTTTGATGCACTGCACTGGCTTTGTGACCTCTCCTATCTGTGGGGTGCGGGTGGCCTTAGGCTCCTTCCTCTGCTCTCCTCAGTAGGTAGTGAGGGCAACAGGAGCACCCATCCCCCTGGGTAGCCACAGGCACCCTGCAGGGAGCTGGGCATAGTGACCTGAACTTTCAGTCAGTGTCAGGTGATGGGTGTGGGGGCGTCATGAATCCAGGAGAAAGTGGAAGGAGGCCTGAGTTCAGGCAAACTACCAAGAATGTATAAGGTAGGCTGAAGGCAGCACATTCCATGTCAGGGTTAGTGTCTCATAGACATCAGGGCGCTTGCCAGGGCTGCGTGTTGATGCCCTCTACCTACGTCACTTCTGTGACTGAGTAGACACTTGCTGGCGTCCACATCTCAAGAAGGGTAGAAGCTTCTTGACGACCTACTTGTATCTAATCCTAGACTTATTCTTGTCTTTAGCCACCACAGGGCATTTCTTCCAACCTCATTTAAACTAAAATGGTCCTCAGAGATGAACATTTAAATAGGCCCTTTAGGAGTACTTTCAGTTCTCCCAATGGGATAGTGAGAGAAGAGAGATCCTAAAGCTGTCTTAATTGATCCCTGACTTACTGCCTCTAGACACTTAACCTGGTGGAGAGGTAGACCACCGAGCACCTCTGAGGTGTTTCTGGTTCCTGTCACCCTCTTGGGACCTCCAAGGTTCTCCTCAGGGGCAGGGTTTTCTAGCAGAGTGTGTACCATTAGTACACATTTCCTAGCCTGTGTACACAGCTGTTCTGCCTCTAGAAGCCCAGGTAGGGCATGGGCATCCCTGAGCAAAGCAGGTGCAAAGAGTGCAGATGATTCTAGGGGAGGCTGACCTGAACAGAGGCCACAGGGCAGTGCCTCTCACATGGCATCATTTAGCAGAAAAGATTAGGGTGCTGATTGAAAGTTAGTCCTTTTCAGTCCCAGGGTCTGCAGACAGCATGAGACAGATAACACTGAGGATGAGAGAGATGGATGCCTGCTGTGACCTGTCCTCTAGCACTTGACACAAGTTTCCCTTTCATCTCTATGAGAGTTGTGGTTTAATAATAGTCATTAGCATACACTGCATCTGTACTTCGCTAAACACAGCATCAAGCTGTGCTTCTGCCTCCTTGGTTTGTCATCTGTATGAATCGGTACACATCTGGGAGGTGGAGCCGTTTGGTGGTGAGCAGGGTTTGATGGGATGTGATGGTCAGGGACACTGAATTACCTAATTTATACCTAACATTGGCTCTTACTGGGTTGGAATGCCTTTTTTTTTTTTTTTTTGGTAAGATTTGTAATGGAAGTGCAGACTTACTGCGAGGACAGAAAGATGTTCCATCCACTGGTTCATTTCCCAAATCCTCCGCTGCTTTTCTAGAACATAAGCAGGGAGCTGGATGAGAAGTAGAGCAGTAGGAACATGAACCGGTGCCCATGTGGAATGTTGACACTCGCAGGTGAAGGATTAAGCAGTTGAGCCACCACACTGCCCTCCCTCCACCCTCAAAAAGGTTTTTTCTTCATCCCTGTGGCATGAAAAACAGTGACCACTAAGTCTCTCAAATCCAAGAGCTCAGGCTGAGGACCCAAGGACTTAGCTTGTAAATGATGCCTTGCTGGATTGGGAGAGTGCTTGTTCCTTTGTAGCAGGGCTGTGCTTGAAGTAGTTGACATTCTGCCCTGAGGTACCAGCTCACTGGACCTTGCTCAGTGCAGATGATGCCCATTGGCTCTTTCCCATAGGATTGAGAGTCTACATCCAGAACCAAGCCTGGAGAGATCATAGCTATGTTCTCCTGAAGACGGGGCCAGCAGGAAAGCAGTCAGCACTGTAGGATAATCGAGGTGCCTTTAGCACCTCCTGTCCACAGTTACTCTGTCTATGACATGTTACTTCTCTGTCTTGCTCAACAGGTGACCTTGGAGAAGGTTCTGGGAATAACAGTGTCTGGAGGCCAAGGACTTGCCTGTGACCCCCGATCAGGTTTAGTTGCCTATCCAGCTGGGTAAGTGCCTTGGGAGAGATCTCGGAGTGTGAGAGTTTATAGCCATGCTGGCTCATTGCAGTGGGCAGGTGGTTCTGGTGTTCTGGGAGAGGTGCTTACGTTGACCTGGTATCAATGTTTTAAAGGACACGTATGGGCCAGATAGATGTTCACTGCTGTGAGTTGCCCATGTATACATATGTGTTGACACTTTCTTTGCCACGTCGCTCCTAGCACCATCTGTAATGGCTACCTTCTAACCACTTTTATGAACAGCTGTGTTGAGGTGTGATACCACACATTTAAAAAACATCCAATTTAGTGTTTTTTTATGTATCTGCTAAGGGGTGCAGCCATCAGCACAACCAATTTTAGAATATTGCATCACCCACAACCAAACTCTACACCCCCATCAACAGCCATTTGTCCAACTCCTTGCTGCCCCCCAATTCCTCATCCCTGGAGGCAGCCACTTTCTGTCTTCACAACTGAGCTCATTTGGACACTCCATATAAATGGGATCATGCTACACTTGTTCTCTGTAAAGAGCTTAGCCCCATGCTTCCAGAGCTCCTCTGGGTCAGCATGTGTCGGTGCTTGTCTTCCTTTTTTATGGCTGAATAACAGTCCATGAGTCCATGTTATGTGGTATGTGTGGATACACCCTGTTTTGCCTGCATCTTCACACACACACACACACACACACACACTGTGCTCCTGCAAATGAGAAACTCTCATCCACAGTTTCTGAGGCTACATGTTTCCTTTTCGTATGAATTTTTTTAAAAGATATATTTGACAGGCTAAATTACAACAGAGAGAGGAAGGAGAGAGAGAGAGAGAGAGAGAGAGAGAGAGAGAGAACTTCCATCCTCTGCTTCATTCCCCAAAAGGTTGCAACTGCTAGAGCTTGGCTGATCCAAAACTAGGACTATCAGGAGCTTCTTCTTGGTCTCTCACGTAGGTAGAGGGGCGCAAGGAATTGAGCTATCCTCTGCTGCTTTCCCAGACCATAAGCAGGGAGCTGGATTGGAACTGAAACAGCTAGGACTTGAACTGCACCTCATGTGGGATACTCATACCACAGGAGAAGGCTGACGTGCTAAGCCACAGCTCTGGCCCTGGAAGAATTTCTTTTGAGGAAGCTTAGGGCCCTTTCCACTCCATTTGTCTGTCAACCTCAGTTTCTTGGTTGTCCAGGAATACAAAAATGAGAAGAGTGGCTTCTCTGCTTTTCTACCCTACTATGCTTTCAAGAATGTGTAGTTTCCCAATATGGTTTCCATAGCAACCTTTGGTTTTTGTCCATGGTTACATGATTTGCTCAGCTTAGTCCTCACAGGAGGGGGGAAAAAAAGCTGTCTTCAGCAAATGCTTCTGTGCCAGGCGCTTTTAAAAGTCTTTGCACATAGCATTTCTCAGAACAAGCCTCTGAAGTTGGTACTATCACCCCTCTATTTTAGTGGGGGAAACAGATCTCTAAGGAGGTTATGGAATGTGCTCCAGGACACAGAGAGCTGGTGTCGCTTCAGACTTCCAGTTCAGGTAGTCAGACAGAGGAGCTCTGACTCTTAAAACATAATATAATGTAAGCAACAATAAAAAAAAAAAAATGGCCTCAGAGGGAGACCACAGGGCTGGTTGCTTATTTTTAAAGCTGCAAACCTGCCATTTGAATGAGAGCCCTGTCTGGGGGCAGCTCAGCCTGTGCTTGGGAGACATTGGCGCCTGGGTTCTGGGGTCAGTGTCTCTCCTGAGTGGCCTTGCTGGGGTAGTGCTGCTGGATGGCCCGGTGCAGCCTGCCTCAGGGGAATTCCACTGGGCTCTTGCCTTTGCCTGGGAAAGCCAGGTTCCTTCTTGTTGGAGGTGGGGCAGGGCGGGGGCTTGATGCAGGATAGGCAAGACAGGCCTGGGGTGCTGCTCAGTGCATGCTGAGCCCTGTGTCCCTGCCCTGGGGAGGGTGCAGCCCTGTCTCCCACCCTTTCCCACCTCCACCCCAGGCCTGGCACCATGCAGGGTGTGTGCTGGTATTTATGGGTAGGCCCCAGCCCAGCCCACGTGCCCAGAGTCCTTCCAGGTAATGAATGGAAGCTTTCCTGCTACCACCCCTAGTCAGTTTTCGTGAAGGTACTTGGTTCAGACTGCTCTGGGCCCTGCCCTTAGTCTGTTTTGTAACCTCTTGACTTCTTAGAATTTTTAAGTTTTCTCTTTGCAAATGGCTCCCTTCTGGGTATTTTAGTTTTTTTCTGTGCTGAAGCCCCTGATGTTGTTTTGAGGTGTCTGGAGGCCAGCAAAGTTTGTAGGAGTCTAAATAGGTTTGTTCCCTCCCTTGCCTGCCTTTTCTTGCTATCTGGTAATTCTAACACCACTCAGCCCCCGCTTGCTCTCTAGTTCCTATTGCGCCTGTTGCTCTAGGAGCCAGCTCAGGTATCCTAGAAACAAGAAGAGAAACAAAACTCCGAAAATGCTCCCAGAGGCCTAGAGGCAAGTATCAAACCAAAACAAAGTTTTCTGAAAGGAAATGAAACAGCACAGGGAAGGGGGTGGCAGTGTGGGTTGGGCCGAGGTGGTTGGCTGAAGAGGGCTGAGTCTTTGGGCAGAGGCTCTTTTGTTTGGCTGGCTCCTGCTTCTCTCCTCCAAAGTCTCCTTCTGCCATCATTTTCCCCTCAGGAAGTCGCCTCTCACCTGTCACACTGAAAGCCCTCTGCTGTAGGGTGCCAGGCTGGTTGCCAGTCAGCTCTTGGGAGGGACTTAGCTGGGTTGAACAGCCTAACTAGATTCAGAGCCCCTGATGTCAGTGTGGAACAAGGAGTCCTGAGAGTGGGCTTCTGCACGCCCGCATGGCCAGAGTGGCTGCATGAGTGCTGCTCCTGGCCTGTTGGACGTGTCCTGGCAAGGGGACCAAGTCTGCGCAGTGGCTAAGCAGAGGCCTTTTGGTTGGCTTCTGTGGGGAGGAGGACAGGGAAAGCTGGTACGCGTGAGAAGCCTCCTGTCTGCTCAGCCCAGGCTGCACATGGAGCAGAGCTGCACAGCACTGGGAAGGCTGGGCAGGACCTGCTCATCTGTGCTCACCTGAGCTCTGCGGTGAAGCCCCCACTGTGTGGGACGGTGGAGAGATGGAATGGCCTGAGGGAGGGAGTTAGGTCTCCTGCTTGGGTGGTAGGAGAATCTGCTGTGTTTACTTGGTTTGTAAGTGTTAACAGCTCACGGAGATTCACCACTTTTTTGAGAAAGGTGATTGAGTCCTAAGGGCAGGAAGCAGCTTACTGATAACTGGCCACCAGTTTAAGAAACAAAACAAAACATGTATTTGTTTTTGTTGGAAAGTCAGATATACATACAGGAGGAGAGACAGAAGAAGATCTTCTGTCCCTTGATTTACTCCCCAAGTGGCCCCAACTGGCAGAGCTAAACCGATCTGAAGCCAGGAACCAGGAGCCTCTTCCAGGTCTCCCACACGGGTACAGGGTCCCAAGGCTTTGGGCTGTCCTCGACTGCTTTCCCAGGCCACAAGCAGGAAGCTAGATGGAAAGTGAGGCCGCTGGGATTAGAACTGGCACCCATATGGGATCCTGGCGCATGCAAGGCAAGGACTTTAGCCATAGGCTACCATGCTGGGCCCTGACCATGTTGTTAACACCCTGTCTTATGCCTTTGACTAGGTGTTTTGTAGAGTAATAGAAGCAGAAATGTCAGTGGGTCTCAGGGCCTTGGCCAGATTGCAGTCATTGCATTCCAATCATAGAGAGGGCCACAACCAAGGATACCCTAAGAAACATCCTAGAATGAGTGTCTTTTGGAGTATATAAAGCTGTAAGATTTCCCCTTTGGAATTGAAACTAATTCCAAACCTGGGTAAGAATCCTAACCTATGTCTCCAGCAGGTCCTGCATGGAGTACATGGTGGGACTTCCCTGCTGCAACTGCTGCCCCTTGTTATTGATGTACATGGATCCCCTTCAGGAAGTTGACTGAGAGAACCATGCAGATTGCTTAGTATAATACCACTTTCAGTTCACACATCCTGTAAAGTACACACTGTGTGTGTGTGTGTGTGTGTTAAGATTTATTTGTTTGGAGCCTGGCACGGTGGTGCAATGGTTAAAGTCCTCGCCTTGCACGCCCAGGATCCCATATGGGCGCTGGTTCTAATCCCGGCAACCCCGCTTCCCATCCAGCTCTCTGCTTGTGGCCTGGGAAAGCAGTCGAGGATGACCCAAAACCTTGGGACCCTGGCGCCCAAGTGAGAGATCCAGAAGTGCTCCTGGCTCCTCAGTGCTTGTTCTTTTTTAAAATTTTATTTATTTATTTATTTGGAAGGCAGAGTAACAGAGAAATAAAAAGACACAGAAAGAGATCTTCCATCCTCTGGTTCACTCCCAAAATGATTGCAATGGGCTGGGCCAGGCCTATGCTCGGAGTCAGGAACTCTGTCTGGGTCTCCCACCTGGGTGGCAGGGGCCCGTGTAATTGAGTCATCATCCTCTGCTTTCCAGTTACAAGCAGGAAGCTGGATCCAAAGCACAGAGTAGCCAAGACTCAAACTTGTCTGCTGACCCTGGGTGTGGATGCTGCAAATTGCGCCTTGACCAGGCTGCACCACAACAACTGCCCTGTCGTTGGTTATTTTGTGAACAAGCCAGGCACACAGGGGATCTTGGGTGTTTTGCAAAAAATATCAGTTGAAGGATCTGCCTCTGTGTTTTCTCCCCCTTACCTAGCTTTTCTATGCCCCATCTGAGGATTTCCCAGGTAAGCTTAAGCACTGGGGATGTTAGAAAAGGAAGGGATTGGGCCCAGCGGCGTGGCCTAGCGGCTAAAGTCCTTGCCTTGAATGCGCCAGAATCCCATATGGGTGCCGGTTCTAATCCCGGCAGCTCCACTTCCCATCCAGCTCCCTGCTTGTGGCCTGGGAAAGCAGTCAAGGACGGCCCAAAGCCTTGGGACCCTGCACCCGTGTGGGATACCTGGAAAAAGTTCCTGGATCCTGGCTTCGGATCGGCATGGCATCGGCCATTGCGCTCACTTGGGGAGTGAATCATCAGACAGAAGAGCTTCCTCTCTGTCTCTCCTCCTGTATGTATATCTGACTTTCCAATAAGTAAATCTTAAAAAAAAAAAAAAAAAAGTAAAGGAAGGGGTTACTTCATCTGGCTGTGGCCCCAGTCAACCTTCTATCCATGCTGGATAATTACACACACACACACACACACACACACACACACACACACCTACCTTAATGCAGTCTGATACACCAAACTTAAAGGTTGATCTATTTAAGGCAAACCTGTAAGCTTACCATGGAGTCCTCAGCATGCACTTTTTCCAGATTTAAAATATGGTTTGCTGTGTTATGCATCGAGTCAACTCAATTGGGTTGTCTGGTTCTGAGCCCCTTTGTTGTGGTCTGTCAGGAACAGGAATAAAGTTAGGGCACTGGGACTAGGTGGGCTGGAAAGCTTTTGCTGAAGAGATGAGCCTGTACAGAGGGACTCCCCAGCAGGCCAACATAGCTTACAAGGTGCTAGAGAGCTTGCTGGGCTCTGGATTCATGATGGTGGCAGGTCTATGGCTATTATTTCTGACTGGATCAAGTATTTAAGTGTCTGTTGTTTTTGAGCTTTGAGTTATAGTTGACCTGATTTAGTGTAAATTCAGGAGTAGTGGGGCACAGAATTCTAAATCCATCTTGTTTTTGTCATATTTCTTAAGACCCTCTTAACCTTGGCATTCTAGAAGGAATAAGGAAAAGAGAACCAAACATGCATAGGATCTGGGGAGGGGAGAAAGGGATGGTGGGAACTGAGTGTGCTAGGTCTGTTGCGCAGTATGGCAACTCTGGGCCAGCTGGTCACAGCCAAGGTCCCAGTGTCTCCAGATAAGATTATCTGGGGTTGGACCCGGTATGGTAGCCTAGCACCTAAAGTCCTTGCCTTGCACGTGCCAGGACCTCATATGGGCGCTGGTTTGTGTCCTCGTGGCCCCGCTTCCCATCCAACTCCCTAGCTGAGGTCTGGGAAAGCAGTCAAGGACGCCCCAAAGCCTTGGGACCCTGCACCCGTGTGGGAGACCCAGAAGAGCTCCTGGCTCCTGGCTTTGGATTGGCTCAGCTCTAACTGTTGTGGCCACTTGGGGAGTGAATCATTGGATGGAAGATCTTCCTCTCCGTCTCTCCTCCTCTCTGTAAATCTGATTTTCCAATTAAAAAAAAAAAAAAGATTACCTGGGGAATTTATATATTGGAGGGATTTTTTTTTTAAACTGGAAAGGCAGATTTGCAGAGAGGAGAAACAGAGAGAGAAAAATCTTCCATCCAATGGTTTACTCCTTAAGCGGCTGCACACAGGTGCAGGGTCCCAAGGCTCTGGGCTGTCCTCGACTGCTTTCCCAGGCCACAAGCAGGGAGCTGGATAGGAAGTGGAGCTGCCAGGACACAAACTGGCACTCATATGGGATCCTGGTGCTTGCAGGGCAGAGGATTAAGCCAATTGGGCCTTTGCCCTGGGCCCTGGAGGGATTTCTTGAGCCTCAGATACCAAACACTCCCTAGTAACTGGTTACTGCCACCCCACTTCAAGTTTCCAGGCAGCAGTGGGGTTCAGATGGAAGGTGGCAGCAGGCTCTACTACAGAAGGTTAGGTGGAGGAGGTTCTGGTCTGCTCACACCCCTCTCCTCCCTGTTCCTGGTTGGCTCTGGTCAGCCAGTTCTGGTGCTGATGAAGAGGCAAGGCCAAGAGGCATTAGGCCCAGGCCTCTCACAGCAATGGAGCTGGTGAGCCTGTTGGCCTCCAGTGTCTTGCCTCCAGCATGTTGCCTGGGGCTCTTGCTGCCTGGCTTTCCTCCTGGAGCCTCATATGGAAATTCAGTCTGGACCTGAATGCATCCGATGCGCTGAGCGGAGACCTTGTTGCCAGCCTTCTTTGCAAGGTGCCTAGAGTCTCTGAACGTCTCCTTTTGTGTCAGGAAGGCCCTTCTCTGTTTACCTGGGCTAGAGTGTCTCTGAGCTGGGACCTGCAGTTTTGTGGCCCTGTTAACTCCTAGACTTTCTCCCTAACCCTGTGTTTGTTTGAACCTCCCTGCACTTGGGTCCCTCTCTGGCCTCTTGCTACCTGTCTCATCCAGCAAGGGGGGCTGAGTGGTGGCCCTGCCAGGTACACACACTGGTGCACATGTGAGCAGCCTCAGCCCTGTTTGGAATGCAGTGCTTGGCATATGCGTGGCCCCAAACCTGCTGTCAAGCTGTGCCCCTGAGATCTACTTTGTTCAAATGATGTTTATGCTCCCCTCCTGTACCCTCCTCAGGTGTATGCATGCAAGGACCGTCATAAAGCCTGTGCCCCTGTGCCCTTTGTAACTGTCTAGAGGTACTTAGGGTCCTGATGTGGATAGACTTTGAAGGGTCCCTCTCACTCTCATGAGACTCCGGAGATTCGAGTAGGGAAGGGGGCAGGAGCAGGTTTCCAGGAGGAAGCTGCCTGCTGGGTGTCTGGAAGTCTGGGTGACCAGTAAATCCTAAGGGAACCATGGCCTATTGCTGAGCCTGTTGCCTCACTCCCTTCCCCAGATGTGTGGTCGTGTTATTCAATCCCCGGAAACACAAGCAGCACCACATCCTTAACAGTTCCAGGTAAGCAGGCCTGAGTTCTCAGGGGCTATGAACCGGGCACTGTCCAGGACAAGGGTGGGGAACATCCAACCCAAGACTGTTTAAGGCCCACAGAAACGCTTGGTTTAGCTCTGCCAAGGCAACCATACACCTACCGCAGGATAATTTTTAAGTTGATAGTTTTGTATGACCTGTGGGTAATGTTATAAATATCCAAATGCCCTCTGGCAGGAAAAAGTTCCCCACTCATGAATTGTGGTCTTGATCAGGGCCAGATGAGGAAGTACTGCAGGTGCCATCGGTGTTGGCTGGCCTTCCCTCTGAGAGGCTGTTGGGGGCCAGACTTAGGCCAGCCTGCCAGTGCCCCTCTGAGCGTGTCCATCCATCTCTTGCAGGAAAACCATCACAGCCCTTGCCTTCTCCCCTGATGGCAAGTACTTGGTCACTGGTGAGGTGAGTTGGGAAGAGCAGCAGCACTGTGCCAAGGGACGGCGGCCTGGCCTTAGCTGATGTCACAATCCTTCCTGAACAGAGGCCAAGTCCTGGTGTTGCCATCGCTTAGAACAGTTCTTAAGTTCAGGGTGCATCTGAGTCACTTCCAAGGCTTGTTAAAGCCTGTTCCCCGCACTGCCTGCCAAGTTCTTCTAAACCCCAAATGGGGACCCCTCAAATTCATATTTCTGCCCAGTTCCCAAGGTAATACTGATGGTTAGGGAAGCAACTTGGAAAAGCAACTATCTTACAGTACTCCTGGTCCCTGGAGGCCACCTGCTGGGCACATGAGGAACACCTCTGCCCTCCCCGCCTCTTGGCAGGAGGCAGTCAGGGAAGGAACACAGAAAGGCAGGGGTTCTTAGCCCTGTCTGCCTGGAAGCTCTGTGTGTACCCTAAGGTGAAGCCCCTGCCCCAAGGTCTGAATATGCTCTTGGGTTGCTTTCCTCCTGAGGGCAAGTGCCATCCTTGGGGCGTTTATTTTATTCCCTATGTACCTGCTCTTTGCTTTTGGCAGGGCTCGTTAGAGGCCGTGCCCAGTAGCTGAGGAGGCAGGGCCCCTTGCCATGGAAGGTGAGGGAGGCTGCATGTCCTCAGTCCTCATGTACAGTTCTTGCCTCCTTTCAGAGTGGGCACATGCCCGCCGTGCGGGTGTGGGACGTGGCCGAGCACAGCCAGGTGGCAGAGCTGCAGGAGCACAAGTATGGGGTGGCTTGTGTGGCTTTCTCCCCGAGCGCCAAGTACATTGTCTCTGTAGGCTACCAGCATGACATGATCGTCAACGTCTGGGCCTGGAAGGTGAGCAGGCTGGTAGCAGCTGGGGCGTCAGGAAGCTTCCCGTCTGAGCTGTTTCCTCTACCTCTGGAGCAGCTGGGTGGCCGAGTATGTTGCGGGAAAGTGCTAGCTCTCTGCCGGAGGGGCTGAAGCTTTTTCAACTACTCAAAGGGGGTCTACCCCACCTCTTTTTCTGACCAGTAAATCCCCTAAAGGAAACACATTTTGAAGCACAGACTCTTCCTAATGCCCCTTCATTCTCTGAGCCTCTTTCTTCTCAGCCCCAGAGCCTTGATTCTTTCTCTTCCCTTCTCTCCAGAAAAACATTGTGGTGGCATCTAACAAGGTATCCAGTCGGGTGACAGCAGTGTCCTTCTCTGAAGACTGTAGCTACTTTGTCACTGCAGGCAACCGGCACATCAAATTCTGGTACCTGGATGACAGCAAGACCTCAAAGGTGAGATACTAGGGCTGAAAGTCGCCTGAGGCCCTGCTCCTACTCGGCACAGCTGCCCCAAGACCATTCCAGTCTTGGCTTAGCGGTCTTGCAGGAGTTTCAGGGGAGCCAGACACAGCCCAAGCTTGAGAGTGTTCCAGGGGTGGGGCGAGGGGGCAGTGGGACTCTGCTGCTTCCCCTCTCCTTTTCCCTTAGACCCTGTTCTGGGGCAGGCTTGGGGGCTGGAAAACAGCGATTTATCTCCACAGGTTAATGCCACCGTGCCCCTGCTGGGCCGCTCGGGGCTGCTGGGGGAGCTCCGGAACAACCTGTTCACTGACGTGGCCTGTGGCCGAGGGAAGAAGGCAGACAGCACCTTCTGCATTACATCTTCAGGGCTGCTGTGCGAATTCAGTGACCGCAGGCTTTTGGACAAATGGGTGGAGCTGAGAGTAAGTCCCTCTCTCTTTAGTGGGTAGGGACTTCCTAGGTCCCTGCTTAGGGGCGAGCTGGTTCTGGGACTTCCAGGCCGTGTGTGCCGGAGGAGGCTGCAGGAGAAGGCAGCTTGGGGGTCTTGAGCTAAGCCCAGCTCCCACTCCCTGGTGATCCGTGTAACTGCCTCCTCTCTGCTCTCTCCCTCTCTGTCTCTCTTTCCCCTGCTTTCCTCTTGAGCTCAGAACACAGACAGCTTCACAGTAAGTGCTGCCTGCGTCTTCCTCTCTTGCTCATGCTTCTGCTTTCTCTTTGTGGGCTTTTCTTCTTTTGTCCTCTTGACCAGTGCCTGGGAAGGGTCCCCAGTTCCCATCCCCCAGCTGCACAGCACTGGAGTCCACTGGCCACCTGCTGCTGGAGGGAGGGCAGCAGATGATAGCAGGGGGCTCAGAACAGAGCAGCGGGGCTGCTTTCCCCTCGCCCCACCTTGGCCCCACTGTCCTCCTGGTCAGTGACTGTTGATGGAGGCAGAGTGGGCAGGTGGCTGCTACTAAGCTGATCCCCTCTGCCTGTAGACCACGGTGGCCCACTGCATCTCTGTGAGCCAAGACTACATCTTCTGTGGCTGCGCCGATGGCACCATACGGCTCTTCAACCCTTCCAACCTACACTTCCTCAGCACCCTGCCCCGACCGCATGCCCTGGGCACAGACATTGCCAGCGTCACTGAGGCCAGGTGAGCTCTGTGGGCCCCCTGTCTCCATTCAGAGCCTCCCTTGATGCCCAGCTTCTTGGCAGCACTTTGTCCAGGAACACCTCTGCAGGCAAAGGTAGGTCTTGCAGTACCTTGTATAACCAGCGAGACCATACAGGATGGAGGAAGTGGGAGTGTCTCGAGAAGCGTGTGTCAGAAGGGGCTTGCAGGATTTGGACTTACAGTAGGTGATGTTTAGGAATGGTTCAAAGGGCCCAAAGTTGTGTTCTGCTCGGATGCTGTCAGGAAGTGGACATATTTCCCCATCAGTCATGTTGGGCAGGGAGGGGCGTTGTTGGCCCTTTCTGTGGTTTGTAGGGTGAGGTTGTGTTTATCTTCATGCAGTTGTCTTGAGAACAGTCTTGTTTTGCCCCATCCTAGCTACAGAATCACCTTGTGTGCCGCTGGTATTCATGAGTGTTCTTACTCATCATGAGAACACTTGGCCCCACGGCCTGTGCTCAGCCAGCACCCGGCTCCTGGGACGCTGGTCTCCTTCCTCAGGCAGCTGTGTCCAAAGCTGCAGCTCTGGCCAGGGCTCCAACACTCTGTCTGCCTTTCTCTGGCTTGGTTTCTCTTCTCGTTCTCTTGAGTCTCACTGGTTTGTTCTGTCCTTTCCCCCACAGTCGCCTCTTCTCTGGTGTGGCCAATGCCAGGTATCCAGACACCATCGCCTTGACCTTTGATCCAACCAATCAATGGCTGTCCTGTGTGTACAACGACCACAGCATTTATGTTTGGGATGTAAAGGACCCCAAGAAAGTGGGCAAGGTGTACTCAGCCTTGTACCATTCCTCCTGCGTCTGGAGTGTGGAGGTATGTGAACTGGGCTGGCTGGCTGGGTGAGACTGAGCGGCTCCACAGATATCACTGTTACAGGGCAGAAAGCGCATTTTACCAGATGCCACCTCCCTTTTCACCATCAGTGTCTCTGTTTTGGGGCCTGCGGGTTGAGCTGGAATGTTAATGCTTCCTCATCTCTGACATTAGTTAAGCCTTGTCTGGGATTGGTGATCTCGCTAAAGTCATTAAAGCTGGCTGAGTCCCAGTTTCTTCAACTGTGAAATGATGTATCTGATCTACCTAACTGTTCTAAGAATAAAGTAAAATGAAGACCGTGGGATGCATGGCAGAATGCCTGGTCCATAATCGGTGCTAGGTCAGTGTACTTTCCCTTAGATACTCATGGCACGACCATTGTGACTGGCACCAGGCTGGGTCTTGGCCAGAATTCTCTTTAGTTCCCTTCTTCACTCCGCCCCACGTGGCCGTCTAACCGTGTACTCTGTGCCCCTGCAGGTCTACCCTGAGGTGAAGGACAGTAACCAGGCCTGCCTGCCCCCTAGTTCCTTTATTACCTGTTCCTCTGACAACACCATCCGCTTGTGGAACATGGAGAGCTCCGGTGTGCACGGCTCCACCCTGCACCGAAACATCCTCAGCAACGTGAGCACCGATGCTGTGGAACCCCACTCTGTACTTGCTACCCTCGGCCCCTCATAGCTTTTGTCTCTCAGTTGCAGGCCCCAGATCCCTAAACTTGATCTCCCAGTTCTTGTTCAGCTGGGTGTTATGAGCCAAACGCTGCATATTGTGCCCAGCATTTGCCTCCCCCTGCAGCTATGCTGTGTGGAGTCTGTCTTATCCACCTCTTCTGACCTGTCCCACTAGGACCTCATTAAGATCATCTACGTGGACGGGAACACGCAGGCCCTGCTGGACACTGAGCTGCCTGGAGGAGACAAAGCCGATGGGTCCCTGATGGATCCCCGAGTGGGCATCCGCTCTGTGTGCATCAGCCCCAATGGACAGCATCTGGCTTCAGGGGACCGGATGGGTACCCTCAGGTAATTCCAGGCCCAAAGTGGGTGTACCTGCCTCCCAGGTGCAGGTTGGGCTGGTCAGGGCCTCAGGTACCGAGTTTTATGGAAATTTTCTCACAAAGGCCAGGAACAACATATTTTTACCTTCACTTTGCTGTGAAGAACCCCAGCAGGAAGTAGTTTGACCAAGTGACCAAGGTTCACACTCTTGTATCAGCACTATGAAACCATTCTATGAAGTTTGTAATATTGTTTCTGTGGTGTCCTTTCCAAATATGTATCAAGTCAACACAGTCATGAGAAAGCACCAGCAAACTTGCATTGAGGTGCCTGCAACCCAGAGTAGCTGGTCTTCAGAACTGTCTAGGTCATGAGGGGGAAGGCAAAGCAGAAGAACTGCTACAGATGGTAGGAGACTAAGAAGAAATAGCAACTAAATGCAGTTTGGACCCTGGGTAGGATCCTGGATCCTGAAGGAAAGAAAATGGGTGACCTGTGAATCACAAGGTCCTTGAGGAATCATCTTGTACTGGTGTACATTTCCTGGCCCTGATATGCTATGAAAGGTGTTAACATTAGGCAAAGCTTGGGAAGGGGAGTATAGAAATCATACTCATCTGCATTTTTTCTGTGATCTGTAAAGTTCAAGTACAACTAACAGAGGAAGGGGTGAACCCCTCCTGCTGTGGCCTGGTGGTGACCCCCTCTCACCTCCTCTTTGCAGGGTGCATGAGCTTCAGTCCTTGAGTGAGATGCTGAAGGTGGAGGCCCATGACTCAGAGATTCTGTGCCTCGAGTATTCTAAGCCCGACACAGGTGAGGGGGTGCCCCGTGCCTGGGCTGGCATGGCACAGCGTTCCTCCAGTCCCACCAGGGCCACCTACCTCCGTCCTGGTTTGTCGGTGCCTTTGTAGGTTTAGTGGAGGACAGTGCCATCTCTGCTCTGTGGTTCATGTAACTCAGGGACATGAGGCTCTGTTCCCTTGGAACCTGCAGGTGGGTTCAGCTAAGGACCCACTCGGGGCTGACAGAATTGCTCTTTCAACCTCAGGTCTGAAGCTGCTGGCGTCGGCGAGCCGGGACCGGCTGATCCACGTGCTGGACGCTGGGCGGGAGTACAGCCTACAGCAGACGCTGGACGAGCACTCCTCCTCCATCACCGCTGTCAAGTTTGCAGGTGGGGGGTTGGGCAGATGAGACACGTCCCACCGCTACTGCCACTTGTCCTCCCTCTGAGAGAGAGCTCCGTCATCTGTAGGGGAGTATTGAACAGCAGCTGAAAGGTCTGGGTTTGGGTGGGAAGACAGGTGTAGACTCAGGCTAGGGACCCTGAGCCAGCCAGTCTGGGAGAAAAACAAAAACCCAGGGCTAGAGAGAAGCATTTTGATTGGATTGGTTGTATCTGCTGTGCTCAAGAGCACAACTGGGGGGACTTAGGGTGGGGAGGCAGGGAAAAGGCTGCCCCCATGTGGTGACAGTGACAGTGGTGTCACCTCCTCCTCAGCCAGCGATGGGCAAGTCCGCATGATCAGCTGTGGAGCAGACAAGAGCATCTACTTCCGCACTGCACAGAAGGTGCGTGTCCTGGGCTTCCCAGCAAGGGGCAGGAACGGGGTGGAGGGGTCTCTGCCAGTCCCCTGTCTGGGGTTCTGAGTGGTGAAAGGAAGTGAAAGCAGAGCTCGGTGGGCCTGCTGGGGTGTCTGGGTGTGAGCCTGCCTATATGCTGCTCCCTGCAGTCTGGAGATGGTGTGCAGTTTACACGGACGCACCACGTGGTGCGGAAGACGACCCTCTATGACATGGATGTGGAGCCCAGCTGGAAGTACACGGCCATTGGCTGCCAGGATCGAAACATTCGGTGGGACTCCCCTTCTCAGGCCTTCCTGCCCTCGTGTCTTTTTGTCCAGGCCTTTTACTCCCTTGCCTCCCCTAAGAGATGGTAGGCCCTTTGGCCCCTTCAGTGTTGGAGCACAGAGAGAAGGTGCTGGCTGTGGTTGCCGGTATGTGGCATCCTCGGTGAATGGCAGTGTGTTTCTTTGCAGGATCTTTAACATCAGCAGTGGGAAGCAAAAGAAATTGTTTAAAGGGTCCCAGGGTGAGGATGGCACCCTTATTAAGGTAAGGGGGCCTGGTAGGGTAGGCACTGGGGGCACTGGGTGGAGAGGGACTGGTACCTCCTGTGTTCTTCAGCTGTGTGGCCCACTCCGCAGGTGCAGACAGACCCCTCGGGGATCTACATTGCCACCAGCTGTTCTGACAAGAACCTTTCCATTTTTGACTTCTCTTCAGGCGAGTGTGTAGCCACTATGTTTGGCCACTCAGGTGAGTATAGCCCTGGAACCTTCCTCTCTTCCCTGAGCTTCTCAGGCCTCAGCAGCACTGCCTGCCCCACCCTCCAGCCCCCATCTCCATTGCTGGGACAGAAAGGAAGTCACTGGGCACTCCGGGCGGCTCACAGACCACAGTCTTTGTTCTTCACAGAGATTGTCACGGGCATGAAGTTTAGTAATGACTGCAAACACCTCATCTCCGTGTCAGGGGATAGGTGAGCTCTCTCTGTGCCAGCGGCACATCTTGCCTCCTCCCCTCTCTCCATCTCACTGATGTCTCTGGGAAGTGGGACTAAGCAAGGGTATTTCTTGGGTGGGCCTGGCCTGGGAGGAGGAGGAGGAGACCTGTGGCCCCCTTTTTCAGCTCACAGAGAAGGGGAATGGAGCTACAGGGTTGCCACCTGCAGGGTCCTCCCCTGCCCCTTCTCACCCAGCCCTGTGCTCCCCTAGCTGCATATTTGTCTGGCGCCTGAGCTCTGAAATGACCATCAGCATGAGGCAGCGTCTGGCCGAGCTACGCCAGCGCCAGCGAGGGGGCAAGCAGCCGGGCCCCTCTTCTCCCCAGAGGGCTTCTGGATCTAAGCGGTGAGGACAGATACTGTGGACACGTGTTGGGCGTAATCAGATGACTGGCTGGGATCCCATTGCTCTTCCCCCGCCCCAACACTCTGGACCTGCTCTTTTGTCACTGTGACTCTCCCAAGACCTTGCTTCTAACACAGAGACCCAGGTGAAGCCTCTTGTCCAATGACCTGCCTTGTTTTGGTCTCAGGTGTGAGGCCCCATCAATGCTTTCAACTGGACCAGCTCTCTCATCAGACAGCGACAAGGAGGGAGAGGATGAGGGTAATGAGGAAGAAGAACTCCCAGCTCTGCCCACACTTTCAAAGATGACCAAGAAGGAGCCAGGTCTGTGGTAGTCTGCCATGGGACCAGACAGGCACCTGTTGGCAAAATGGCTAGATGAACACCTTCCGGGACTTGGGAGTGAGTGATATGAGCTGAGGGGTCTGGGGTGCCACTGTGTGGGGACATGTGTGGTATAGGCCAGTGTGGGATGGGTGGGCAGGAGGTGCTCTCTCTGACTGCCTGTTTCTGTCTTAGCTGCAAGCCCCAGCGCAGCCCTGCCCCGAAGCCTGTCTCATTGGGAGATGAGTCGGGTGAGTTGGCATTGATGAATGTCCTTTGAGGTTACAGGAAGTGAAGGCAGGTGAAAGCGGAGCTATCTGGCCTGGGGAGGCATTTGGGTTTGGGGCCTGCCCATGTGCTTCAATCCTGTATGTGAGGAAGACCTTGTGGGGAAGGTCAGTAGCTGGCTGCTCTTGGGGTGGCAGGGCCGAGGGAAGCCCCAGTGTCTCCTCCCTGTGGGGCTGTGTGAGATCAGTCCTCACCAGGGGAAGTGCTCCACTGGCTCAGCGCTTGGGGCCTGGGAGGAAATGCCATCAGGGCACAACCTATAGAAAACCAAGGGTGCCAAGAGCAGAAATCTGGAAAAATTGTCATGTTAAGGCCCAGAACTTAGGAGATTAGCTCAGAACTTTTGGAACAGAGGGGAAGAGCTATTAGAAGACTGATAGTTGGGTGTGGCCAGAGCAAGCCCTAAGGCTGTGCAGCCCCTACCTGTGCCAGCCCCTTCCATTGTCAGCCCCAGTGTCATGGCAGAGCTGTGGTGTGTTGTCTTTCTGGCTCAGTTTGAGATGGCCTGCCTTCAGTCTTGGAATTCACCAGCAGGTACTGCAGCCTAGCCCAGCTTTGCCAACTCCCAGCCCCAGCCTTGGCCTTCATGTGAACTGGCAGGTGATGTGGTCCAAGTCAGCTTGGCCTGTATCCCATCATGGCTCTCACTCATGCAAAAGAATGGGACTTTTAGAGATGCCTAGCTCTCAGGTATCCATGGCACCAGATGGAGGTAGAACTTAGGGGTTCCTACATGAGAGAATGTGGGGTGCAGCTAAGTGCATGAACCCTGAAGCCAGCATAGTTTGTGAGCGCTTCATGCCCTGGGGGTCTTGGACAGCTCATTTCTCATCTATAAAATGGGATAGTAATAGTAGTCACTTCAGCAGGCAGCTATGAGTATGAAGTGAGTTACAATACAGGTGACATGCCTGGCACATGGTAAAGGATTATTTGTCTCCTCTGCCTCCTCACCCCCTTACCAGGTACAGGAGCCAGTGGAATTCCTGGATCCAGCTCCTGCAGCCAACCCAGGACCCAGGAGAAGGGGGCGCTGGGCTCAGCCAGGTGTGGAGCTGAGTGTCCACTCCATGTTGGACTTGCGGCAGCTGGAGACACTGGCCCCAAGCCCTCGGACCCCCAGCCAGGACTCGCTGGCCACAAGCCTTTCTGGTCCTGGGAAGAATGATCGAAGAGACTGTGAGACCTCACATGCCAGCCAGGTGAGCCGGCCTTCTCTTAGCTGCAGAGCTCTCCAAGGAACCCTCGCTAGCCTTACAGCAACAGCTAAGGCCTCAGCACCATGCTGGGTCTGGCTGCTCTGCCCCTCGGGTACAGGGTCAGAGTGAGACTGGCTAGGCTGGGTGGCAGGATTAAGGTGGACAGTGAAGGGGTTGAACTAGAGAAGGAAAGATGGCCATTGCCCTGGACTTGGTTCCTTAGAGCACACTTGATACCAGGTGGTGACTGGTGTTTGGCAGCCCAGAGTGTTAATATAGTTCATGCAGAAACACATAGAGTCAGTTGGGACCCAGCCTGGCTTCTTGGCATCTTTCTGTCTTCAGAGCTGGACTTTTAGCTTCCCCAGAATTGGCACACACTGAATCCTTTCCCACATTTGTTTGTTCTCCACGGCCCTTTTCTCCTATCAGCAACCCCAGTGATGCCCCTTTGTGTGTTCCAGAGTGAAAAGACCGCTCGGTCACAGGTTTCCCAACCCTGTTCCTGCCCCCACATTATCCGATTGTTGTCACAAGAGGAAGGGGTCTTTGCCCAAGATCTGGAACCTGCACCCATTGAAGATGGTGTTGTCTACCCAGAGCCGAGTGATGGCCCCACCATGGATACCAGGCAAGGGTTCTGCCTTGGCCCGAGCTCAGCGGCCTGCAACCCCAGTCTTCCCTTCTCTCGCAATGTTTTTTAACTTGGGGGAGGTCTGACCTCCAGGAAGTTCTGAGCCCGGCCGCCACCTCATCCCTGTCTTGTCCCTGGCCCTCTGATGCTGCTCACGGTGCTGAGGCTCAGGCCTGCTCACTGCCTTTTCTTCCCTCTCCTGGCAGTGAGTTCCAGGTGCAAGCTCCAGCCCGAGGAACCCTGGGAAGAGTGTACTTGGGCAGCAGGGGCTCAGAGAAGCACAGTCCCGACAGCGCCTGTTCAATGGATTACAGCGGCAGCCGCCTCTCCAGCCCCGAGCACCCCAATGAAGGTGAGGCTACAGTCCTGGGCTGGGGGCAAGGGTGCAGCAGTGGAGGCCCTGGCAACAGACAGGTGTGGCATGATGCCTCTCCCCGTTCCCCCACATCCAGACTCCGAGAGCACGGAGCCCCTGAGTGTGGATGGCATCTCCTCAGACCTTGAAGAGCCAGCTGAGGGTGATGAAGAGGAGGAGGAAGAGGAGGGCGGCACGGGCCTGTACGGGTTGCAGGAAGGCAGCCCCCATACACCGGACCAGGAGCAGTTTCTGAAACAACACTTTGAAACTCTGGCAAATGGGGCTGCTCCAGGTGTGGTCAGAGGGCCAGCCTCGGGTTCCCACAGCCTGCCTACCTTTCTCCCTCCTTGCCTAGCTGAGAGGGAGGGGGCAGGGCAGGCAAAGCCTTGGAGTGGCCTTGCAGGGGAGGCAGAATGCAGGCTGAAGGCTTGGCTCCTGCCTTCATCCATGACATCCACCACCCTGGCAGGGGCCCCAGTTCGGGTGCCAGAGAGGACAGAGTCTCGGAGCATCTCTTCTCGATTCCTGTCGCAGGTGCAGAGTCCTCCACTCAGGTATAGAGCCCTCGCCCCACGGCAGCGCCAGCTCTCCTGGCCTCACGGTGCTCCTGCTGGAGCAGCAAGCACCCACTACTAACGCCCCCAGGGGTCCCTCATTCCACACCCAAGGGTGTTTTGTACTGCTAGTCTTGGGAAATTGGCTTGCCCCAATTCTGTTTTGTGTCTGTTTTCTCCCAGTGCCTCTGTGGTGCTGAGAGCTGCTCACCATCTTGGCAGGGAGAAACATGGAGCCTTCTCTGGGTCTTCTTGCACATTTCTTCCCTGTAGGGAACTATCCTCCTCCTCAAACCCAGCACTGACGTCAAGACCAGTCCAGGTGCCACAGGCATCAAGCAAGCAGCTGAGAGGCAGTGGGGCCAATCCCCCTGGAGCACCTCCAGATGTGGAGCCCTCCCCTGGCAACCCTCGCCCTGAGCAGGCCGTGCCTGTGCTGCTGCCACGACGCCGTCATAACCTTGACAGCAGCCGGGCCCCCAAGAGAGCAGCTGCAGCTGGCTCCTTACCTGGCCTCCAGAAAGCCCAGTCTGTGCACAGTCTGGTGCCACAGGGTGAGGAGCAGGGTGGGCCCAGCTCCAGGGTGTGGGGGCTAACAGGGTTGCTTAGTGGACACATGCTGGGGAAGAGCAACTACCAGGGCTGGAGCTTCACACCTGGGATGCCTCCCTCACTCAGAGATCTCCGTGTCTCTGTCTAATCCACAGATGAGGCCCCTTCTTCATCAGGTCCATTGCTGTCACGGGAGATCGAGACCCAAAATGGACTGGGCTCCCTGCCCCAGGCTGATGGCCGTCCATCTCGGCCCTGCTCCTACCAGAACCCTACCACCAGTTCCACAGCCAAGATAGCCCGCAGTGTCTCTGTCGGGGAGAACTTGGGCCTGGTGGCCGAACCTCAAGCCCCTGCCCCGAGCCGAGCTGCACCACTCAGCAAACTGGCCCTGCCCAGCCGGGCTCACCTGGTCCTGGACATCCCCAAACCGCTGCCGGACCGCCCTACCCTGGCTGCATTTTCTCCTGTAACCAAGGGCCGGGTCCGTGGTGAGACAGAGCCACTTGGTTCTTCAGCCGTTGTAGGGAAAGCTCACAGTGCATCTGAGAGGCGGGCCTGTTTGGGGGAGAGTGCTACTCCCAAGCCCAGGACAGAGTACCAGGCTCATTCTGGGCCCAACAGCCCCCGCGCCCAGCAACTGCCAGCCAGCATCCTCCTTCGAGGCCCCGAGAACTCGCAATCCCCAACCCCCGAAGAGACTCCCAGCCCCATGGAATACACCAGGCCAGGGGCAGCCCTAAGCCAGGACTCAGGTGTGCACAGCTCCCCGGTCCTCATGCTCACCTCATCCTCTCTCTCCGTCACTGTCGGCCACTCTCTGGCTCCATCCTATTTCTGTGTGTCCGGCCTGTGGTATTTGTCATCCTGTCTGCTCCTGTCTGGGTCCATAAGTCACACTCTGATGGTGAGGCATTCCTGCCAGCCTTCATGACCTCCTTGTGTTCCACTTCACCCTCCCGTGCCTTCTGTGCCCAGGGCAGGCCCTTGCCTCTGGACCCTGTTGTTTCCGTGGTGTCGGGGAGGGTACCAGAAGGAGGCAAGCGGGAGGGTCTGGGGGCCAGGGCAACTTGCTGGGCCTCTCTGAGCTCCAGCCGTCTCTCTCAGACCCCGTGCTGAGCCTGCAGCAGTGTGAGCAGCTTGTGGCAGAGCTCCGTGGCAGTGTGCGCCAGGCTGTGCGGCTCTACCACTTGGTGAGTGTTGGGCACCAACCAACCAGTGGGAACACAGAGTGTGCTAGGTTACTCATGTCCAGAGTGGTACTGATAAGGCTGTTCTTCCACCATGAGTATGGAGTCCTTAAGAACATCCCAGGAAGAGAACATCAGAGTTCGAGCCAGGCCTCTTGAACCAGGACCTTGTGGATCATTGCTGGCTAAAAGCTAGTGACTTCCTTGTGCAGGAGGAAGGGACAGAGAGACTCTCTGCTCTGGTTTGCTCAGGACAGTCCCAGTTTGTTCTGGACTGATGATCAGCAGTATCTTCTATTCATATCCAAAATGATTTGGCCATTCCTGATATAGAGGACAGTCCAGGGCCCAGGCTTTGACAGAGGAGTTGCTGATGAGATGTAGACTGTTTTGTAATCTGATGGGGTTCTCCAGGGCCCTCCCTGTGGGGTCTATCTGAATCCCATGCCCCCCAGTCCTACCTGCTGGCCTTAGAGCATGCAACTTGTGCCAGGCCGTTCTGGGGCAGGGATGACTCTGGAGAGCCCCTGCCCTCTCCCCTACTGCACTCCCTGGGTCCTCTTGTTGCAGGTGGCTGGTTGCAGGACGCCCTCGGCAGAGCAGAGCCGCATCGCCCAGCTCCTCCGAGACGCCTTCTCCTCTGTGCGGCAGGAACTAGAGGCCCTGGCTGGTGCCACGCTGCCTAGCCCCAGTGGGAGCCCCGGGGCCGTCGGGGCTGAACAAACGCAGGCCCTGCTGGAGCAGTACTCAGAGCTATTGCTCCGAGCCGTGGAGCGGCGCATGGAACGCAAGCTCTGAGTTCCAGAAGTCTGTCCCCTGTGAATGCTGCCCCTGCTCTGGACTGTGGCCCCTCCTCCACTCAACAGACGTGGGGATGTCTGAGTTGGTGGCACGAGGCAGTGCCTGGAGGCGAGGCGGCTCTCCCAGCCGTTCATGGTGCGGTGCCGTATTTATTAATTTATTTCCCTGACTGTTGCCTCACTTCCAAGGAGCTCCTGCCTCCACAGCCCACCCAGGGGCACATGGCAGGGGTTGATCTTGGGTCTTCGTCACCTTGGTGCTGTGAGGGCTGGGAGGGCAGCTTGCCCCATCTGGGCACACTGGGAAGGGCCACCCTCTCTTCTTAGAAGCCATTTGAAACTACTTCAGGGATCAGCAGACACAGGGTACTCCGTGGGGTAGAGGGGAGAGGGTGTGCAGTACCCTTTGGCCAACTGCATACCTTCACTTCTCTCTCCCCTTCCCCTCCCACACCAGCTGCACTCCCCGGGAGCAGGGGAGGTTTGCCCCACCTCCTCGCCCTCCAGGGTGACCCCAGCCATCAGGAGACTTGAGTTGGCATCAGGACCTGAGGCTCCACATTCCACTCCCTTTCTCCCTCGGACAGGACCTGTCTCCAGCCCTGTGCCCCAACCCCTTTCTTCTGGCCAGAACTTGGGGAGCCGGCTGTGGGACATTGCTGCAGGACAGTAAATCCCTCTGCTGGGCAAACCTGAAGCCCTGGCCTCCTTCGCTCAGTCCCTTGGTCTTCCCTAACCTCCGACCCTGGCCCACTGGCAGGCTGCTGGGGCCCCCCCAACACCGCCTTGCCCCTGCATCCTGAGTGATGCTGTCACAAACCTGTGTTGGAATTTCCCTCTTGGTTTCCTGAGCACCAGACCACCTTCTGAGGACCTTGGCCACCAATGCAGTCACACATGCACAGAGCTGGGTCTTTGTTGTCTGAGGCACCTGGCTGGCTGAAGTGTGCCCAGCTTCCTCTCACTCCTACCCCAGGCTCACCAGCCCCGTTCCTGTGGAAACGCCTCACACGGAACACAGGAAGTTACAGAACACATTAGTTCTGGATTTCGGGTGTCCCCAGCCCTGCTGATAAGAGATGGCTATAGGACAAAAGGTGCAGGCAGGAAGAGCCTCCTTGAAGGAGTGCTGGGCGCCCCCACGTGTGCTCGGAATGTGGAGGCTGGTGGGAGGGAGATGCAGTGGCCAAGAGACACACTAAACAGGCGGTGGGAGGGACAGGTAAGTGGCAGGCGTGAGAGGGTAGACTAGAACTACAGAAGCAGTTGTTAGGTGCAAGAGGAGGAGATGGAGCACAGCAGGTAGGAACAGTAGGACCAAGCAGGCAGTAATTGGAGTTGGGCAAAGCACCTGTGTCTCTGGGCCCTCCTGCCTCCCTCCACCCCCAGGTAAGTTGGGGCACCCTTACCACAGCTTCAGGCGAAGCTTGCTCCCCCACCGTGCTGGATCAGCTGGCAGGGATTGATGGTGGAATTGGGTTTTGAAGGGTTTCCAGCTGTGCTCCATCAGCCCCGTGCCCTGGGTAGAGCCCAACCTGCCCGCCCCACACTCCTCCATCACCTCCACCTGCACGCCGGACGGCGGTGAAACCCTGGGCCGGAAATGCGGCATCTGCGCATCCGGCCTCTGCTTCCCGCAGGGTCCGGGCCTGGCCCTCTGGTCCAGGTTCTCCGCCGTCCTCAGCCAGCCTGTCCTTCGCCAGGGGGACACTACATTCCTGCTAAGGTGCGTGAGAAGGTGGCCGCCTTTCCCTCCCCTCTGCCCCGCGTGCCGGCCGCAGGTCTGTGGCCGGGCCGGCGCTCCCTCCGGTTCTGCATGTCTGAGGCCACTGGCAGCCGCCGACCCCGTTTTGAAAGCCCCGTTATTTATAACTTTTATACTTTGTCCAGACCCCGGCTGCGCGGGGTGAGGCTGATTTTAACGTGTCTGTTTGTACTGATGTATGAACTTGTCAAATAAACACGGTCGTTTGTTAAGTCCAGCATGCTGGCCGGCGTGGCACCGGGCGACGGAGGGTGGGGGAGGGGAGGCGGCTCGGGCGGTGGGCGGGGCGGGGCCGCTGGGTGGGCGGGACCTGGGGTGTGGCCTGCGGTGGGCGTGGTCTGAGGCGAAGCTCCGAGGAGGGCAGAGTCTGTGGGGTGGCCTGCGGCTGGGTGGGCGGAGTCCGGGGGTGCGCCGGCGTGGGCGGAGCCTGTGGGAGTGGCCTGCGACGGGCGGGGCCTAGCAGTAAGGCCCGCGGGCAGGGCGGGCTGCCGGCGGCGTCATGGCGGAGGCGGCCCTGGACGCCGTGCGGAGCGAGTTACGAGAATTCTCGGCCGCGGCCCGTGGTGAGTGGGTTAGAGCGGAGCCTGAGTCCCTCCCGGGCTGCAGAACTCGGCGCGTGGCCGGCTGGTGCCCGGCTCGGTGCGGACGCGCAGGCGCTCGTGCTCCCCGGGGAGACCAGTCACGCCGCGGCCGGGGCGGAGCTGGTGTGCTGCGCCCAGTCGGCGCCGGGGCGGTCAGTTGTCCCTCGTGCGTTGCAGGTTTCGTGGTTTAGTTTTTTTTAAAAAGAAGGTTTCGTTTGAAAGGCCGGGAAAGAGGAAACATCTTCCCTTGTGGTTCCCTCCAAATGCGCACAGCAGCCGGGGCTGGGCCAGGCCGAAGCCGCGGATATGGAGGGTGGCAGGAACAAGGACTTGAACCATCACCTGCTGCTCCCCAGAGTGCGGGTTAGCTGGACTCGAACCTAGGGACTCATAGGAGTTGTAGGAATCTTAACCGCTGGTCTCTGAATATGAAAATGTATAAATATAGTTTCTTTTTAAAAAAAATTATTTGGGGCTCAGCACCATAGCCTAGCTTGACTAAAGTCCTCGCCTTGCATGCGTCGGGATCCCGTATGGGCGCCGGTTCTAATCCTGGCAGCTCCACTTCCCATCCAGCTCCCTGCTTGTGGCCTGGGAAACAGGTGGAGGACGGCCCAAAACCTTGGAACCCTGCACCTGCATGGGAGGCCTGGAAGAAGTTCCTGGCTCCTGGCTTCGGATCAGTTCTGGCCATTGCTGTCACTTGGAGAATGAGCCAGTGGATAGAAGATCTTTCTGTCTCTCCTTCTCTGTAAATCTGACTTTCCAATAAAAATAAATAATTCTTTTTTTTAAAAAAAAGATATTTCTTTGAAACTCTGGAGGGGAGAGAGAGAGATCCTTCCACTTTTTGCCGCTCCAAATGGTGATAATGGCCAGAACTGGGCCAGGCCAAACCAGGAGCTTCCACTTGTTCTCCACAGAGTTGCAGGGACCCAAGGAGTTGGGCTGTCCTCTGCTGCTTTCCCAGATGATTAGCAGCAAGCTAAATGGGAACTGGAGCACCTGGACAGCCGCGGCTGCAGCTGATATATTTTACTCGCTTGGCCGCTGCACCAGCCCCATGAAACCTTAGTCCTTCTTTTCTTTTTCTTTTTAAGATGTATTTTTATTTTGGGGGACCTGGCGCCATGGCCTAGTGGCTAAAATCCTCTCCTTGAATGCACCAGAATCCCATATGGGCGCTGGTTCTAATCCCGGCAGCTCCACTTCCCATCCAGCTCCCTGCTTGTGGCCTGGGAAAGCGGTCGAGGATGGCCCAAAGCCTTGGGACCCTGCACCCGTGTGGGAGACCCGGAGGAAGTTCTTGGCTCTTGGCTTCAGATCGGTGTAAAGCTGGCCATTGCGCTCACTTGAGGAGTGAATCATCGGACGGAAGATATTTCTGTCTATCCTCCTCTCTGTATATATTTGACTTTGGAATTAAAAAAAAAAATCTTTGAAAAAAGATGCATTTTATTTTTATTGGAAAGGCAGATTTACAGAGAGAAGGAGTGACAGGAAGATCCTCCGTCTGTTGGTTTGCTCCCCAAATGACCACAACTACTGGAGCTGAGCTGATCTGAAGCCAGGAGCTTCTTCCAGGTCTCCCACACGGTTGCAGGGTTCTGAGGTTTTGGGCCATCCTCGACTGCTTTCCCAGGCCACAAGCAGGGAGCTGGATGAGAGGTGGAGCAGCTGGGAGTGGAACCAGCGCCCATATGGGATGCCAGTGCCTTAGATGGAGGATGAGCCAACTATGCCACCGTATCCGCCCCCTGAAGCTTTATTCTTAATGTCAGACACATGGGGGTGGTGATGAGCCTCTTGGGCTTGTTCTCTGTGGGAAGGAAACAGCCTGCTCTGAGCTGGGTGTGTCCAAAGCTTGGGGAGAACAGTAGCTGACTGTCCAGGCTATCCTGCCTCTTCTGCCTGGGTTCTGTTCCTTTTTCCCCTCTCTCCTTCCTTGATTTCCCCCTCCGTCCATCCCTGCTTCGTTTTTCCATTCTGAAGTGGCTTACCACACAGATACTGACGTGCAGCTGGAGGGCATGTGATATGAAAGCAGTCCACTCTGGCCCTGGCCCTCTGAGCAGTGTCTATGTGTTCCCAGGCCCCTCACTTTAGATGTGGGGGCTCTGCTGCCCTGTGTGTGATGGAGACTGTCCCACAGCCCGTCCACCTGGGCGACCGTCACACCAGGTGCGGTAGGTAGTCGTTGGCGCACTCCAGAAAGCTGTGAGGGTCATTTCCTCGCTGTTTCAAATCACACAGCGGAGCCTTGTAAGGATTCATTTGGCCAGTATTTAGTAGCCATTCCATGCTGAGCTCAGGATCCATTGAGGAAGAACCCCGTTTCTGGGTTGGGGGGTAGGCAGCTGCAAACTCATCCCTTTAGCGAGTGACACTGAAGCAGGTGAGAAGACAGATGGGTGAGGGGAAGGGGGACAGGTGCCCCTCTGGGTTCCAAGGATGAAGTGTGTGTGCCTGCCCCCAGCGCAGGCAGGAAAGCATGCATCAGTCCCTCCTCGCAGACTCCTGTGCCCGCTGCGGGGGCCCATCTTGCCTCCAGTTGGGGAGGGAGCACACACAAGTACCAGTTCATTCGTTTGGGTATTCTGGTCATGCCCAGTAGCCTTCCCACTCAGTTTCTCGTCTAAAGATGTTGACCTTTTGACAGCCACATGGTGTGAAACACAGAGCCCCCTGGAGTGAAGGCCACCTTGGTGGTCCTTGGAGCAGTAACTGCCAAATGGGTCAAGGCTGAGGGTAACGAGGTGGAGCCCTCCACTGCTTGTGAATGGCGCCTCTGGGAGAGTGAGTGAGCAGCAGAAGGGCGTCCAGCCGAGACCTGGCAGGAAGGGCCGGACGCCGGGCAGTCCAACCAGAGCAGTAGCTCAGGCCCAATGTGGACAACCGGTGTGTGTGCGTGTGTGCTCTGGCAGATTGTGTCCGCGTCGCACCAGGGTGGGACTGAATCTTGAAATGGTTGGTTTTGAGAGGGAAGAACAGCCATTTGGCTGGGCTGTTGGGCTTTGGTTCAGTCACTCAGCAAACATTTTTATAGCACCTATTATGTGTTGGCTGCCCTTGTCCTGGGGTCAGGTTGGTGAGCAAGGCAAGCATATCTGTCCATGTAGGGTTCAGTGAGACATGCAGCACGTCATACATAGGTGCGTGCTAGGGAGAGAACGGCGGGGGGGGGGGGCAGGGATGGCTTGGATAGCCATGGTCTGGGCTGGAGTGTTGGGAGCACAGGTGTTTGGTGCAGTGTTTAAGTCTGCCTGTGGGACGCCCCACTTCCTTTCCCAGATTGCCTGGTTCAAGTCCCTGTCCTTCCATTTCTAGTCCAGCTTCTTGCTAATGCACATCCTGGGATGCTCCCTGCCACGCACGTGGGAGACCTGGCTGCATTGCAGGCTCCTGGCTCTGGCCTGGCCCACTCTGCCTGCTGTGGGCATTTGAGACAGGAAATCTTTGTCTCACCACCTGTCTCTCTGCCTTTCAAACTAAAGATGAGTAAATGAAAATGCCAACCCTGGACCCCATGGCATTTGAGTGAGGACCCACAGGAAGTAGCCTGAAAAGGGTAGAAGAGGGGGTAGGTCTGAGAGGTGGAGAGGTGGCAGCTGCAAGACTTGGGGCCACTGAGTGACAGGAGGAGGGAGACTGTTAAGGGAGCTGTGGGCCACTGTAGACACCTGAGTAGCCACCCCATGTGCATGGCCCTACAGTCTATAAAACCAACCTCCGTTCTCCAGGGGCTTCGTGTTGGAGCTGGTACCCTACGGAGGCTTTCGGCCTCCTGGGATGATCAGATCACCTGAGGTGCTCCATAATGCCACCCCAGGCTGAGGCCCTCCTAGCTCTGGAGCACCTCAATTTGGTGGCTTGCAGGATGGCGGGCCTCTCAGGGCGGGGACAGGCCTCCCAGGGACCCGCCCCGATGTATGTGCCTCAGCTTGCTCTGTTAGCTTTCTCCTCCTTCCTCATTCTATTCCTGGTTGGCCTGGGTCCCTGGGTCACCGGAGGCCTGGCTCAGTGACACACTGTGGCCCTCACAGGGAGGGTACCCTGATGCAGAAAAGCAGGGTGACACAGTTCTCACCCACCCTACCCCTGTTGCCCTTTCCTCTCAGAGCTCAGTGTGCCCACTGCTGTGCCCTACCTGGATGAACCCCCAACCCCACTCTGCTTCTACCGTGACTGGGTCTGCCCCAATAGACCCTGCATCATCCGCAACGCTCTGTGTCACTGGCCAGCCCTGCACAAATGGTCCCTCCCCTACCTGAGGTGGGTGCCCCTGGGGGAGGGGCAGGAGGGCCCCCCCCGGGATCTAGGCAGAAGCTGAGTGTCCCCTCCTACCCCCAGGGCCACAGTGGGTTCCACAGAGGTGAGCGTGGCTGTGACCCCAGATGGTTATGCGGACGCTGTCCGAGGGGACCGCTTTGTGATGCCAGCCGAGCGTCGCCTGCCCCTCAGCCAGGTGCTGGATGTGCTGGAAGGCCGGGCCTGGCACCCAGGAGTCCTCTATGTGCAGAAGCAGTGTTCTAACCTACCCACCGAGCTGCCCCAGCTGCTGCCCGACCTGGAGCCCCACGTGCCCTGGGCCTCCGAGGCCTTGGGTGAGTTGGGCCAGCCTACTTGCATATCCTCTCCCCTCAGTGGCCCTTGGTCCATACACTTGGCCCCTGGCTCAGGGGCTGCTTATTCAGCATCTAGATCCCCCAGCCAGCCATGACTTTGCGTGACCGCTATGCTTTAGTGGGCAGCTGCTCCACTCCCATCCCCGGACGGACAGGCTGCACCTCTGGCTCTCTGCTCCAGCTCTGAGCTGCAGCATCTGCATTGTGGCTGTTCACAGCCTGGCCCTCATCATCCAATCTCTGCCCCACAGGAAAGATGCCTGATGCTGTGAATTTCTGGCTGGGGGAGGCGGCTGCAGTGACCTCTTGTAGGTGCCTGGGGATGAGGGTTAGAGGGCAGGGGTGGAGACAGGACACAAAGATTGGGCCAATAGGGCACTCAGCAGTTTTTCTGAGGCTTCTCTTGGGGTTCGGGCCACTGTGCAGCCAAGGTTGGGTCAGGTACGCATGGCATTGGTGAGAAGGAGCAGGCTGCACTATATCTAGAAGGCCAGAGAGGGCAGAGGGTGAATTAGGGGCTTGTGGTTGCCTTCCACTCCCCTGCTAGAGATGAGCCCCAGGCCCAGAAGCATCTGGTAGGCCCCTGGGGCCAAGCACTGAATTGCGGCCACGTACCCTGACATCCCTGGAACTGCCAGGGGCAGGGTGCAGGGCAGGGCTGGGCAGGCTGGTCTGCCCTTCGACCCTACCCTCAGGACCTGCCTGGGCCAGCAGTGCACAAAGACCACTATGAAAACCTCTACTGCGTGCTGTCTGGGGAGAAGCACTTCTTGCTGCATCCGCCCAGCGATCGGCCCTTCATCCCCTATGGTAGGGATGGGGCCCCAGTCCCTTCTGTACCACAACCCCTAATCCTCTTTCCCCTCTACCTGAGAGGGTGGGCTGACTAGGGAGGGCAAGGGCCGTTCCACTCCCTCCAAGGTCTCCCACATCCCACTCTCTTGGGGCCTCAGAGCTGTACACGCCGGCTACTTACCAGCTAACTGAAGAGGGCACCTTCAACGTGGTGGATGAAGTGGCCATGGAGAAGGTGTGTGTCTTGTTCCTGGGCCTTGGTGCTGGAGAGAAGGGCAAGGATTGGGGTTTCCCTTCTGGGAGGAAGCAAAGAAGGCTTGGGGAGGTGGTGGTTCACGTGACAGCATCCAGGGCCTGAGGCCAAGCTGAGCAGCATCCCTGCTGTTCATCCTTTGAAGGTGCAGGCTGGAGGGCCTGCTCCCTGATGTGTCAGCTGTGTCTTCAGGTGCCCTGGATCCCACTGGACCCCTTGACCCCAGACCTGGCCCGGTTCCCCAGTTACAGCCAGGCACAGGCTCTTCGCTGCACGGTGCGGGCTGGCGAGATGCTTTACCTGCCGGCTCTGTGGTTCCACCATGTCCAGCAGTCCCACGGCTGTATTGCTGGTGAGGAGGGCCTGGGCTGGTGAGAGGCAGGGAACGGGGTGGACAGGCCCTGCCAGGGCTCTGGGGAGTGTTAAGGGAGCCGGGTGGATGCTGTAGCTCTCGCATGCCCTCCCTCTCTCCACAGTGAATTTCTGGTATGACATGGAATATGACATCAGGTACAGCTACTTCCAGCTGCTCGATGGCCTCACCAGGGCATCAGGCCTCAACTGAGGGCACGTGGTCCTACACTGCACCAGAACAACTAGAGGGACTGGAGGGATGATGTGGGGGTGAGGGGTGGGTAGGCCAAGCCCCTCTTGGGCAGGGTCAGCATCAGTGTCAAGACCTGGAGGTCGGGGCTGTGCCGGCTGTAGGCCCAGGGTCTACTGTGCTGAACTTGGGCTTGGAGGACTTGGGGTAGGGTCAGGAGGCTGGACGAGGATCTCCAGGAAGTCGGCACACAGCTAAGGAGGCGCCATGATGATCCGGATGAGTCAGGACCTATCGACTTCCCAGGCCCCGCCAGGGTGTATATGCAGCTAATGACGGTTGTGCCCCCAGGGCTGTTGCACTGAGGTGGCATCTGGGAGCCCTGCGTGGCGGCTCCAAGGAAGTATTCAATAAAAGCTGCCCTGATTCACACATTCCGATGCTCCGGTGGAGTGACCCTACTCAGGAATGGGGCCAGAGTTGGGGGAATAGATTCAGTCCTGGGGCCCACTGCCCAAACCCTCCTCAGGGCAGGCTGGCCCAGGCCTCAGTCTTACAGTTTTGCCGGCCATACCCACTGGCTCAGGACCATGGAGGCCGCTCCTGGCTCCAACTTTCCTTGGGCAGCTGGTTGGCTCTGACCTGAGTGACCACTCTACCCCCAGTTTCTCCCACAAGCATGTTCCCTATGCACAGAGGCTGGTCGCTCAATCAGGGACATAGTCAGATTCCTGCCTTGGCCCACCCAGCCCCTGGAGGCGAACAACCCCCACCCTCACCTTCGTGTGCTGACTTGTAAGCCTCATCACAGGCCACCCAGCACCATGAGTGGCAGCTGCACAGATATTGCTTGAAAGGGCTGTTTTATGGGCAGGGGCATATCCTTGCTAGGTGGTGATGGCACTGGAGTGGTGCCCTTGGATTGGCCAAGCCTTTCGGCATAGACCGGGCATTCCTGTCCTACTGGCACTGGGGGAGTTGCGAAAGGCCCAGCTCCAGGCTCTTTGGTCCATGGCTGCTCTGTGGCCTCCTATCCCTGGATCCCGTGCTCTGAATCAGGGCTGGGCGGGGCAGGCCTGTGCCCCTGACTGGACCAAGCAGGTCTTGCAGGGAGCCACTAGGATGTCAGTGGGTTGAGTGTAGGTTTCAAGTGCCTCACTTCCCTAACAGGTGGCTGGTTCAGGGGCAGGTGCAAGATTTGGGTGTGGTGGAGGCGGCAGTGGGAGGGACCAGGGAGGAGCCCAATGCCAACTGGGACACTCAGCTTGGGGTTAAAAAGTTGATAGCCGCGGCCCTGCGGCCACCACCTGTCATCGCTGCTCCTGAGGACTCGGCCTCATGGCTCTGGTAGGGCCCTGTGGGGCACTGGGCCCGGTCACTTGGTGTGGTAGAAAACCTGCAGAGGCCAGGGCAATGGGCAGAAGCCAGGGGACAGGCAGGGCCTGGTGGAAGGGACTGACTTGGCCTCTCTGTGCTCTGGGAATGAGGGCACAGAGCTCCCTGGCACTGGCTTTGGGTCCTAGAAACTCAGGCTCCCAGCTGCTGTTATGGTGCCAGGAGAGAGGGAGAAAGGCTGGTGGCTGCTTGGGGTAGGGATGCCCCAGAGCTGGTGCAGATGGCTGATCATCCCCAGCTCTGCCCCTAACCCTGGGAGCTCTATCCTAGAGGCAGAACCAGTGGCCTAGATCTCCCCTTCCCTGCCTAGCCCAGCCCAGCCAGCCACCCCACTGAGGCTTAGGACTGGAGAGAGCTGTGTGGGGGTCAGACCCAACCTAGCTCTAGGAGCCACAGAACTAACCAGTCTAGGGATAGTCAGAACTATCTGCTACCCCCTGCTGCAGCAGAGAGCCCACTTCTGGGCTGGCCTAACCAGCGGTGGGGAGGCCAGGGAGCTGCGCAGGAATCTGAGATGCCTCTCCTAAGGGGCTGCCCCTGTGGTGAGCCGTGACACAGCCTGTGATTGTAGGATGCCCCTCATTCAGGGAGAAGAATCAGGTAGGGCATCTTGGCACTCCCCTCCTTTGGGTACTGGATGGCTTAACTTCTGTGCCCCAGTTTCATCATGGGCTTGATTGCCATCAGTGCCTGGCGACTGATGTGACATATCTGGCCCAGAGTGTGTGTAAGTGGTGTCTGGTGGTCTGGTGGTGCCATAGCTCCCGTTGACAGCAGATTCTGCTGGGGTGGAGGGCAAGCTGGGCTGAGTGTGCCTGGCTCTTGTGGTTTGGATTTAGCCACCACGCTACCATCATAGTCCCTTTACCCCCACCCTGTGGCAGCCCCTGTTGGGTTTGCCCATGGCCGCCTATGGCAAACCCGCCCCTCTCCCTCTACAGGCCAAGGTGCCCGGGAGCTGTTTGCTCACTGTTCGTGTCCTACAGGCCCACGGGCTGCCTTCCAAAGACCTAGGTGAGCTGAGCTTCCCTTGGGCCCCATGCTGGTGGGGGCAGGGGAGGAGTAGGAGGAAGAAGGTACTGCTGCTAGGTTCCCAGGGGGCCAGAGCCAGAGGGAGTGAATGGAAACAGGTGGGACTGGCTGGAGGTTCTGGGAACAAGGGGACAGTAGGGACCCAGCCCTGTTGCACGCTGATCTTGGGGTTGTGGGAGGAAAAAGAGGGTGTTGCCAGGGCTGCAGGAGCTGGACAGACAGGGTTCTTGGTCACTGCTGAATACACCTTCCTCCTCCTGGCAGTGACCCCCTCTGACTATTATGTCACCCTCTGGCTGCCCACGGCCTGCAGCCACAGGCTCCAGACGCGTACAGTGAAGAACAGCAGAAGCCCTGTCTGGAATCAGAGCTTTCACTTCCGAATCCACAGCCAGCTAAAGGTGGGCCGGGCAGGGCCAGCGCTACCCCCAGCCCATACTTCCTGGCTACACCCAGCCCAGCTTCCCACCTGATCCCTCTTGGCCATGTGTTCTCCCCCTGCTTCTTTCCAGAACATTCTGGAACTGAGGGTCTTTGATCAGGACCTGTTGACCCAAGATGACGCCGTATTGTCAGTGCTGTTTGACGTGGGGACTCTGCGGCCTGGTGACTTCCGGCGGGAGAGCTTCTCACTGAGCCCCCAGGTAAAGCCTCATCGGGTTAGCCTGGCCGGGGGTAGGAGCACAGCCCTGCTCTCCAGCCATTGGTCTAGGTTTCCCAGCATGGCGGAGGCCTTGCCAGCCAGGACTATGATCTACCCAAAAGCAGTCCCTACCCTTGAACCAAAGGGCAGTTGTTCTGGGAGCAGCCCAAGGCACAGGAGCAGGGTGGTCTGGGCTGCACCATGGCCTCTCCCCATCAGCCCTCTCTGGTATCTGGGTCGGGGTTTACATGCCTGTGCACAGACACACAGGGTGGCATGCTTGCACCTTGCGCTCACACCTCAATTCCTTGCTTGCTTCCCTCTCCCCAGGGTGCACAGTGGCTGGAAGTAGAATTTCGGCTTCAGAATCTGTGAGTCAACTGTGGACAGAACTAGGGGGGAGTGTGTGGAGCACCTCGGGCGTTTGGGGGAGCCTGGACACCCGGGCTGATGCTGAGTGTGGGGGGCCTCTTCCAGGACAGACTGTGCCGAGCAGCTAACCAGCAACAGCATCCTGGTGGTGAGTCGGACCTCGGGCTCCACAGACAGGGTTGGGACCCCTCGCCACCTTGTCTTCTTGTCACCTTGGCCCTCACCATTTGCTTACTCTTCTCTCTCGGCCTGAAGCTTGGTCCCCCTGGGCTGGTTAAGTTTTGTGGTTAGGGTGCCCAGAATGTCTGGGGAGGGAGGGAACACAGTCTCAAGCAGGTGCTTAATGACTTGTGGCCAAAGCCATGAGGAGCAGGAAAGGGGGTGAGGGTGGATGCAGGTCCCAGGACAGGGCTGCTGGCATCTGAGGGCTCAACTGTTAACTCAGGCCCGGGAGCTGTCCTGCCTGCATGTGCGCCTGGAAGACATGGGGGACCAGACTGGTAAGTCCCCAACTAGTGCAGCAGCGCCTGGGCCCCTTGGCCTGTTTGCCCATCCCCTACTCTGAGCGGGCCCTGGTTGGGGGAATCTCGTACAAATGGCCCAGAGATGCCAACAGCAGGAGCGGGGAGTGGTGCACCTGCCTGGGTCTCCCCGAAGCCTTTCACAGAGGTGCTGTGGTGGGGGTGTCACCTCTAAGTTCCTCTGACAAAATGGGGTTTCCCTGAAAGCCCATTCCTGGCTTCAGCTCTGGTTTCTGTCCCCAGGCTTGGAAGGCAGAGTTCAGCTGATAGTCCCTGGAGCCTGTGAGAGTCCGCAGGTGGCCTCCGTGGGCTCTAGGCCCTTCTGCTTCCACTGCCCTGCCTACGGGGAGCAGGAGCTGAGCATTCATTTGCAGGTATGGGGCCTTGCTCCTTCCCCAACCCCAGTCCCAGCCCTGGCTCCCACTCCTCTCCTTGCCAACAGGAGGATCTGGAAGGAGATGGGCTGGTGTGTGCCAGCAGAGGGGCTACTTCCTCTGTCCTCTGCAGGGGACCCCCCAGGAGCAGCTGAAGGTACCCCTGAGGGCCCTGCCCTCTGGCCAAATGGTGCGGCTCGTCTTCCCCACGTCCCAGGTAGGCAGGGGGGCTGGGACCGTCCTGCTTCAGTGGCCCACCTTGCTGCATGAGCTTTGTTCTGGACAAGTGCCAGGGGGCAGGCCCCTGAGGTGGGGCTGAAGGAATACGGTGGGTGGAGTGGGAACAGCCTCTGTGACAGGGACATTTGTGGTTTCAGGAGCCCCTGATGAGGGTGGAGCTGAAGAAAGAGGCAGGGTAAGAAGCAGGGATTAATTGGACAACTAGGGTGGTGGCGGGGGAGAGGAGATTGACAGCAGCCACTGGGGGTGGTGCAGGTGTGGGGGAGGGAGCTCAGCGTGACCTGGTGGGCTTCCTAGAACTTGGTCCCCACTTGGCTTTGCAGGAGGGCTGTGTGCCCAGCCCTGGGTGGGGGAGCACTTAGTAAATAACTCTGCTAAGAAAAGCAAGTGGGAGGGGGCACCAGCGCTTGGAGGGAAGGCCGTGTTCTTGCTGAGGTGGGTCTCAGCTGGCTTCCATTGCCAAGTCACCTCACACAGGGTGGGGCCATTGCTTTCACATCCTTGTCCTTCTATAGTCTTTTCTGGAGTTGATGGCAGTGGGCCTTACAGTCAGGTCCTGCAGGCCCAAGTGCACCTGGTACCCACAAAGCCTCCCCTACCACGGTCTGCCATGGCCTCCCCTGCTGCCTTGGCCTTGCTGTGCTCCCTGCGCATCCTTGGGGTGTCTAAGCCCCACAGGTATCACACTAAAGGTCTCAAGACACACAGGGCAAGGGGAGAGGCAACAGGACCACGGGCCATTCAGGCCAGAGGGGCCTGGAGCTGCCTGGTGTTGTCTTTCTTGCTCAGCCCCAAGGAGCTGGCCGTGCGGCTGGGCTGCGGGCTGTGCACAGAGGAGCAGGCCTTCCTGAGCAGGCGGAAGCAGGTGGTGGCCAAGGCCCTGAAGGAGGTGCTGCAGCTGGACAGAGACCTGCAGGAGGACGAGGTCTGGGGGCTGTGCTGGGTCAGGGATTGGGGGTTATCCCAGACTTGCCCAGAATTGTAGCTGACACCTCTTGTGCTGTAATCAGGCCTGAACCAGCACTGACCCAGGCTTGCAGCTGCTTCCTGGCTGCCCAGCCCTGCTCTGCTTCCCTCTGTCCATGTAATCGGGAGCAAGGTGGGTGCTGAGCAAGGAGGTGTGGAGCTTGCAGATGGGGGTGCCAAGCCTGCCCAGGTTTTGAGACCAGCCCTGCCCTGAGTGATCGGTGTGATGGTCCCCTTGTCTGAGGCGGCGTGCTGGTCCTCGGAGTTCCAGCAAGTGGGAACGCTTTCAAGGTAGTTTCACGGCTTCCAGAAAGTGACCAGTAGCCTCACTGGGGCCAGGGCCCAGGAGATGAGGTCTGCTCCTGTGTGGGCTGCTTTCCTGCAGGTGTCACAATGCTGCATGCCCGACCACAAAGTCTGTGGCTGATCCTCCTAGGCTCAGCGGGCTCAGCACTGAGACCAGGCCTTTGGTCATTATTTATTCAAAAAGGCAGAAACATTCCATTCCCTAGCTCACTCTGCAAATGGCTATAGAGCCAAGATTCAGGCTGTATCCCCCGCACTGGGGGGCAGGACCCCAGCTCCCACTGCCTGCTGCCTCCCAGGGTGTACATTAGCGGGAAGCTGGGCCTCACATTCAGGCACTGTGGTGTGTGATGTGGACATCCCCGGGAGTGTCCCCCCTAGTTTACCAAGTGCCTGTCCCCAAGTGGACCTGGACTGGCCCCAGCTGTTGGGTGAGCTGAGTGAACTTGACCTGCTGCTTGTCCCTCTCCTTGGGCCTTTCCCCAACTCTAGGTCCCAGTGGTAGCTGTTATGGCCACTGGTGGTGGCATCCGGGCTATGACTTCCCTGTACGGTCAGCTGGCTGGCCTGCAAGAGCTGGGCCTCTTGGATTGTGTCTCCTACATCACAGGGGCCTCAGGCTCCACCTGGTAAGCTGCGGGTTGGAGTGTGGGATTGGGGGTTGGTGTCGGCTTGCAGACCTCTGAGTGGCTGCAGGCAGCGAGAGGGTGTGCAGCACGGGTCCTGGGAGGGTCAGCCAGGCTGCGGTTCTGGAAGACTCCCAAAGGGGCCTGCAGTGACAGCCTGCCTAGCCTGGGTTCTCCTTCCTCAGGGCCCTCGCCACCCTCTACGAGGACCCTGAGTGGTCCCAGAAGGACCTGGCGGGGCCCACAGACTTGCTGAAGAGCCGGGTGACCAAAAGCAAGTTGGGCGTGCTGGCACCCAGCCAGCTGCAACGGTACCGGCAGGAGCTGGCCGAGCGTGCCCACTCAGGCTACCCGTCCTGCTTCACCAACCTGTGGGCCCTCATCAATGAGGCGCTATTGCATGGCCAGGTGCCGGGGGCCGGGCTGGGGGGTGGCTGGGCCCCAGCTCCAGAAGCCAAGGGGCTCAGGGCTCCATCTTTCCCCAGCCCCGGGAACATAAGCTCTCGGACCAACGGGAGGCCCTGAGTCAGGGCCAGAACCCTCTGCCCATCTACTGTGCCCTCAACACCAAGGAGCAGAGCCTGACCACCTTTGAATTTGGGGGTGAGTGGGAGAGAACCACTCTTGGAGGGCAGGGGATTTGCAGGGGGGTTGGGCCCTGAGGCTAAGGGCATGGCCTCCCCACCTCCCCAGAGTGGTGTGAGTTCTCCCCCTACGAGGTCGGCTTCCCCAAGTACGGGGCCTTCATCCCCTCCGAACTCTTCGGCTCCGAGTTCTTCATGGGGCGGCTGATGAGGAGGCTCCCCGAGTCCCGCATCTGCTTCCTGGAAGGTGAGAGTTGGCTGGGCAGCAGGAGAGGGAGCTAGGGCAAGGGTGAGGCTCCCGAATGGGCCCTGACAGGATGGGCCTGCCCTCCTAGGGATCTGGAGCAACCTGTACGCTGCCAGCCTGCAGGACAGCTTGTACTGGGCCTCAGAGCCCAGCGAGTTCTGGGACCGGTGGGCCCAGCACCGCGCCAGCCTCGGTATGTGCTTGGGCTCCTGTGGGTCCTGACCAGTTCCCACAATGAGTCACCATGGAGGCCCAGGTAAAGGTGTGGGAGTCCCCCCCACCTCCCACTCTCTTGCTCTCCTGTATAGACAAGGAGCAGGTTCCCTTCCTGAAGATAGAGGAGCCACCCTCCACAGCTGGCCGTATTGCTGGGTTTTTCACCGACCTCCTGAGCAAGCGCCCCCTTGCCCAGGCCACCCATAATTTCCTGCGCGGCCTCCATTTCCATAAGGACTACTTCCAGCACCCTCACTTCTCTGCCTGGAAAGGTACCTGCTACTCACGCCAGGTCTGCCCATGGCGGCCCAAACCTTGGGTCTGTAGAACAGGCCCTTCCTGTCCCCTTCTGGGCTCTCTTCCTTTGACTGTGGGTCCTGGGGTGATGACTTGACAGGAAACAAGCAGGGGCCCGAGGCCATTGTGCCCATTTTTTGCTTAGGCAACTAATGCCCATCGCCCTGAACTTCTGCAGCCACGAAGCTGGACGGGCTTCCCAACCAGCTGACACCTGCAGAATCCCACCTTTGCCTGCTGGATGTCGGCTACCTTATCAATACCAGCTGCCCACCCCTCCTGAAGCCCACCCGGGACGTGGACCTCATCCTTTCGCTGGACTACAACCTTCAGGGTGCCTTTCAGGTGGGGCGACACCACGCAGGCCTCTGTGCCCTGGGGAGATGAGTTGAGAGGTCCAGGGGTGGTCCAGCTTCTCTCGGAACTGCCTTGGTGGCTCAACATACAGGGTGGGTCAGCTCCCCGCAGCCTGCCATGCCGAGCGGCTTTCGTCCTCGGGCTGCCTTTGCTGCACCTAAGGAGGGCCTGGCCTTTGTGAATTCTCACCCCATCCCCGTTCCACTCTCCCAAAGGCACAATAGCCTAGAACTCTCAGGGTTAGAGCCTTTATTCAAGGTCTGGCCTGACTCCCTGGAGGAGCCCTGGAGTCTGACCATGTTCATGGCCAGCCCTGGGGTGCATACTGACACCTCTGTGCACTTGCAGCAGCTGCAGCTCCTGGGCCGGTTCTGCCAGGAGCAGGGCATCCCGTTCCCACCCATCACGCCCAGCCCAGAGCAGGAGTGCCAGCCACAGGAGTGCCACCTCTTTGCTGCCCCCGACCAGCCTGAGGCCCCTGTAGTGCTACACTTCCCTCTGGTCAACAGCTCCTTCCGGGAGCACTCGGCCCCTGGTGAGTCCCAGCCCCTTGCTCTCCTCTGGAGGGGTGATGCGTTCGTCCCCTCCATGCCTGTCTGCGCTCTGTCCACAGGTGTCCGGCGGACACCCGAGGAAGCAGCTGCAGGTGAGGTGAACCTGTCCCCGTCTGACTCACCGTACCACTACACGCAAGTGACCTATAGCGAGGAGGATGCCGACAAGCTTCTGCGCCTCACACACTACAATGTGTGCAACAATCGTGAGCAGTTGCTGGACACCCTGCGCCAGGCCGTGCAGCGCAGGCAGCAGCGCAGACCCCAGTGAGGGCAGACCCAGGTCCAGCTCTGGGTTGGCACCAGCCAGGCCATGCACACACCGAGCCAACACCAGCTGCAGCCCTGGCTGAGTCCGAGTTGGAGACTGGCGGCAGAGGGACTGGCCTGGCCTGGCAGGACACTGAGCATGGGAGGGTTTCTGGCTTGGGTTCAGCCAGCACACAGAGTGGACTGCTGCTTGTGAGCTGTGGTATTTCTCCAGCCTCCCTACAGTGTGGAAGGGAAAACTTTGGACATTACACAGGCCTTCAAGGCTAAGGTGCTGCTCAGACTCGGTCATTGCTGCATGTCCTTCCAGGTACACATGGCCAGGGTTGGATTTAAAAAGCAAAATAAAATATCTCCCTAGAGATATTTTCCCGTAGAGGGCAGGTTGTCAGCATTCCCCAAAGAACAGGACACCTGTTCATGTCCCCATCTACCTGTGCTGGAGCCACACAGGCAGCCAGCCCAGCCGCCTCCGCCTGAGCACTTCTCCTCCAGGCAGGACTTCGGAGTGAGGCCAGACATGCAGTCCAAAGGCTCCTTCCTGCCTTGTGGTGGGTGTGGCCAGGACAGGACCAGAGGAACCAGACAGACAAGTGATGCCCACAGAGGGGCCCCTGGTCCAGCAGGGAACTTCAGCTGGAGACTGGGCCTGGGTACCTCTCCAAAGCTCTGTTCAGGTCCCTTCCTGCTGCACCATGAGGTGGGAGAAAGGCCCAGATCTGTTGAAAGAATAGGAGGCCAATTAACTTCAGGGGCTCGACCACCTTAGAAGCTTCCCCAGCCCACTGGCCACCCCCAAACCCCTGCTTCCTTCCAGCTTCAGTGTGAGGAGCAGTTGCAGTGACAGGCAGTAGGAGGTGACTGCTCTCACCTCTCCATCCCCACCCTCAACACACACAAAATCTCACTCCTTCTGTCAGCCCCAGCCAAGAGGCCAGAGTCACAGAGGCAAAGAAATGGCTGTCTGATTGCCTCAGAAGTCACTGTGTCCAAGACAGAGGCTGATCCCTAGTCACGTCATCTGTGGGGTGACACCTGAGTCCTGGCTGCACTTGAGGGCTCCCAGCCTCATGGCTGCGCCACTGTGCGATCAGGGCTCCATGGTGAAGGTGTCTGCAGCCAGTCCTGCTACATGCAGCCTCCCATGCCCCAGCTTAGGGCAGGGCAGTATGCAGCTGCCTATGGCCCTGACCTGTAGGGCCCCGCCAACTCCTGGGAGCAGGTATGAGCAAGGATCTGGCTGCCCTGTGAATGCTGCATCAGAGCAGAAAAGAGAGGGGAGCAGAAAGTGAGGAAGTGCAGCCAGCAGACACAGGGCAACCTGCCCTATACATGTGTGGAACCCAAGGCACAGGAGCCTCACCTCAGGGCCGGCAGGAGCCAGAAAGGCGTGCAGCACCTGGGGCAGTTTCCTCAGCAAGCCCTGACTCCTGTGGGGTCTCCTCCAGCGCAGAAGGGGCAGAAGGCAGGGTCAAGGCAGAGTGAGCCCCTGGCAGGAGACAGCTGCCCCACCTGGGAAAAGGGGAGCCTTGGGGTCTGGCCTCTCAGCCATCCCCGTGGGATGGAGCAGGGCTTGCACTCAGAGCAGGCATGCTTAAGGCCTGATGTATCTCTGCATCCCAGCAGTCCAAGTATCAACGCCCTGGGCAGAGGGCAGCAGTCTCTGCTAGACCGAGAAGCTCAAACCCCCACCTCCCTGCCATCCACCAGCATCCCACCTGAGCTGAACGCCCTTGCTGGGCCACACCTCCACAGCATGCTGTGATATCTGGTCTGTGACGCTGATGGGACTGGCTGTGAGGTGGGTGAGAGAACAGCATCAACATGTGCCCTGCCTCCTCTGGGGGGCTCCCCACAGTGTAAGCAGGCTTTCCCTAGGGCTCAGCTCATGAGGGGGGGACCCCTGAAGCTGGGAGAGTACCCTGGAGGTTCAGCCAGGATCTCAAGAGAGGGCCAGGGGCCCCAAGCATGCTGTCTACCCACAAAGAGAAGGTGGCCTATGTTTCTGGGAGGAGACCCCAGCCTGGCCACTGCTTGCAGGGCCCCTCTAGGGAGCAGTTATTTAGCTTAGAGCCATGTGGCTTCAGGCAAGTTACTTAATCCCTCTGAGCCTTACATTCCCTGGCTGAGACACTGGCTTCTTGGGGAGACAGGCAAATGTGCACCCCCAGGGATGCATGTGACACCAGCCCTACCAGGAACTTAGGGACCCAGGAGTGACACCCCTGCTCCAGCTTCCCCCTTCCCCGGGGCCCAGCCTACCTGCTGTGCTCCCCAGGGGCGGCCACAGGTGCTCCTTTTTGTCAGATGGCACTGCTACCAGGCTTTCTGCCTCACTGCCGGAACCAGCACACAAACATTGGGGGTCACATTCCACGTCTCTGCCAGGCCCCTACCTCCAGTCCCCCAGCAGGCCTGGATCCACACATGCCCACCCTCACCTCAAGGGCACAGAGAGGTTCCAGCCACCAGTGTCTCTCAGCTGCTCACCCTGGGCTTGGGGGCTCTGGGAAGCCACCCTCTGAAGAGAGACCAGGAACAGGACACAGTGGTGGTCTCTGACCTGCGGCCCCTCTCCTGTTCCCCTCAGGAGCCAGGGTTGCAGGCTGCTGCCAGGCCTCACTCCAGCCCCCCATGTGCATCCAGAGGCACCCAGGTCCCCATAAGTAGAGAGACTGGAGGGCTCAGGCAAGGAAACCAAGGGCAGGGCAGGAAGAGCCTCTTTTCCTGTGGCTCTGTTGGGAGGGTCTTAGGGCTGGAGCTGCTGCTGAGGCCCCATACCCCTCCCTGGCAGCCTGTGTCTCCTTCCTGGGGTTGTCAGGGGGGCCCTGGCTCCACACAGGCCCTTCTGGGAGGTGGGCCGAGCCTCACAGCTCCTGGCCTTGTCCCGGTCTGGTTACCCTTAGCTCCATGTGCAGTACCCCTGCTTCCCTGTGCCGCAGGACACAGGGGCTATCCCTTCATCCCCTGGGCTCCCTCTGTCCGCCTGTGGCTCCCAGGATAGACAGGCCAGGCTGCAGGGCCCTTTCCTCAGCCAGCTGTGCTCCCATACTCTCCACCTGCAGGGCCCACCCTGGAAGCTGCCCGCTCACCTGGGCTTCAATGCCTGTCCCCAGAGCAGCTGCTGCTGCTGCTGCTGTTCCATCTTGGGGAGGGGCAAAGTGAGCCAGGTTATAGGCCAGGCAGTGCCTGTGCTCCTTCAACAACACCTTCCCTGCCCTGTCAGGGAGGCCATCACTTTAATGCTTATCACCTGGTGTGGCCCCTGGGGACACCCCTCAGACACATGACACCCCTAGCTAGGGGTGACGGAGCTGCAGCTGGTAAATTTCTCGAAGGGCCCATTCCGGCAGGCCCTGGGGGAGTAGACTTGCAGGCTGAAACAAGGGGCCGTCCCTGCCCAATGCGCTCAGGGTCACACCTCTGCGGTCTCCTGCAGGTGGGTGAACCGCTCCTCCTGCACCGCCAGCAGCTTCTCCAAGTCCCCGTGTCTGTGGAGTAGCTGTTCTACCTCGGATGTGGAGTGCTGGGGAGAAGTAAGACCCAGCTCCTGGAAGTGCCCAAGACTCCCCTCTTCCCCCCAACACAGCATGGGCCACAGCCACCATACGCACCCCACAGTCGGGCTCCTGTAGGAGGCATTCCCAGGAGGCCAGCCATGTCTCGGCCTGCTCCAGCTCCTGGCGCTGCTGCTGCAGAGCGCAGCTCTCCTGGCAGCGCCGCCTGCACAGGGTCCAGGCCTCCTGGAGCTCGTGGAGCTGACTGTCCAGCTCCTGCAGCCTCTCAGTCACCTGGCAGGGAGGAGCTGCTGCAGGTGAGGACGCGGTCAAAGCTCCCACCCGAGGCAGGGCTGCAGAGGCAAGACTGTGACCCCTCCCCTCGACCTCTCTCCACACCTCTGCCCAGCTCTCTTGTCCTGGTTTTACTAACAACCAGAGGTGCAGAGGCCTTGGGTGGGTGGGCAGGCAGGCGCACCTGTGCTTGCACTTCTGGGGTTATCAAAGGACTGTGGGCCAGCAGCCATTGCCCGTCCTGCCACAAGGCCTGGGCATAAAAGCCATGCTCCTCGATTTCCTGTCCCAGTTCCTCGTGCCGCCTGGTGAGCTGCTCTGCCTCAGCCATATCCCGGGTCAGCTCCTCCAACAAGGACACCAGCACCTTCCGCTCTTGCACCCACGTCCTGCGGGGCAGGAGAGAGCTGCCATGGTCAGAGCTTGCAGGATAGCAAGGGAGCTACCCTGTCCCCTCCACCCTCCTACCCCCAGGGCAAATCCTGGCCTGGGGCCAAGGCAGAATGCCACTTACAGCAATTCCTGACAGTGCCCAAGGAAGGTGTGGCCCTGGGCAGCCTGTGCCAGCTGCTGGCCCTGCTCCTGGCCCATTGCCTTCAGGGTGGCCCAGGCCTCCTGCAGTGCAGCCAGCTCTTTGAACAGGCCCTCCTGAGCTGCAGGATGGTGCTGGCACAGGCGCTGGGCCTCCATCTGCATATGGGCCATGGCCTTCTCCATAGCTGCCAGCTCCCTCTGCAAGCGTGGGTGCAGATCTCAGGCTCCCAGCTCAGGAGCACCCAGGCTTCCTCAAGTTCCTATCACTTCTACTCTGTTCACTATGTTCCCTGACCTAGGCTACAGCTGGGTGCCCAGGGGGTGGGCTTAGGCCACAGCTGGGGATGGGGGGTTACCTGTTCCCTCTGGTGGGGAGGGGAAGCTGGAGACAGCTGAGCATCCCTGCCCTTCTTGTAGGGGCAACTGGCTTCCTGGGCAGGTCTGTGGGTGGGTGAGGGCCCTTACCTCCAGACGCCCATGCTGTCGCCGCAGCATCTGTACACAAGTCGGGTGGAGGCCATGTGATGCTCCCTGGGCCAGGGCAGTTTGCTCCTGCATCCTGCCCCGCAGCTCGGCTGCTGATTGCTCAAAGGTGCGAAGCTCCCGGGCTGCGGCCAGACTCTGGGAAGGCACAGGGGGAGGATAGGAGTGTTGGGACTGAATTATGTTCCCTGCCTCCACCTGGGCACACAGTTCCCAGGCCATGAACAAAGGACCAGGGGAACCCCTGGGTGCAGTCTGTGCTGGCACCCAGCCATGGCCTGCACAGGGCAGGCCATCCCATGCAGCCTTCAGTGTGCACCTAGCACCAGGGCCCTGGCTGGGGTGGATGGGGTCCAGCTGGGCCAGGAAAGGAGGAAACTAGGCTGTGGGGCCCAGGAAGCTGCTGTGACAGGAGCCAGGGGCCAGGCTTGGAGCTGAGGCTGGGGGAGAAGCCAGAGGACAGTCACCCAGAGTACAGGAGCAGGTGCCAGGGATGGGTTCAGGCCACAGTTGGGGATATATGGAGTACCATCACCTGTTGTGGGGACAGGAAGCTGGAAACAGTTGGGCTGGAGATGTGGAAAGGGGCAACAGCATGCTGAGGGCCCCTTGGAGTTTCTGTCCTGTCCCCCTGCTTGGCTACATGAGCTGTGTTTGGAGGTTCCCTTCCACCCCCAGATCGTCCCAGGCTGAAGCTCCAGGAGAGCCCTACCTCTTGGCGGACTTTTATGGCCTCATGCAGCCTCTCCCAAACAGCTTGGACACGGCTCTTGTGGGCTTGGATGTGGAGAGAGCAGCGGGGAGCTGCCTGCTCCAGGCTGACTGCGTGTTCCCTCAGGGCCTGTACCCGGGCCTGGCCCACGCTCTGCACTTCCTTGCTGAAGGCATCAAACTTCTCCTGCAGCACCTGCAGGTGGGAGTGGGGAGGATCACTCTGCTTCCTGCTTCCGGGCGCTCCTAAGAGGCTTGGTGGGATCTGGCACAGGGCCCTCCCGCAGCCCCAGCAGGGAAGATGTGGGGGTCCAGCAAGGTACATCACTCCAGCTCTCTTCTGCACACACCCCAGCTTTCATTTGGCACACACAGACTTTGCGGGCCTGCTCAGCCTCCACCTACTCCTCCCAACTAGCTGCCTCAGGGACTTGCCTCGATAGCCTCCAGGTCCTGCCCAAGCTCCTGGGACTGTGCGCTGGCCAGCTGGGTGCTGAGCCACGTGTCCAGGAGCAGGGCCTCTTGCTCCAGCAGATGCAGTTGCAGCTGCTCCTGCAGGCTTCGGGCCCTGCTCTCTGCCCTCTGCCACAGCTGTGTGTGGGCCTCCCTCACTGCCTGCAGCCGGGCTAGGACCTGGGGACTGGGACAGGAAACACAGCTTGGGCCAGGGCCTCCCCACCCCACTGAGGGGAACCCCAGCTGCCCTCTGCACCTCTCCCCTCACCTTTCTGGGCCCTGCCTGCCCTCCAGGAGTGCGGCGGTCTGCTGCAGCCGCTCCATGTGAACCCCAAAGCTCTGCAGGTCTCTCTGGGTGGCCTGCAGCTGCCGCAACAGTGCCCGCGTAGCCTCGGCACTCTGGCCTAGGTCCTCACTGTCCAGGAAACGGTCCCGCTTGGCCAGCCAGGATCCTGCCTCTAGGAGCTGGGGTGATAACAGCAGAGATCAGCCTCCCCACACAAGTCAGTGGGAGACAACGGCCTCCAGTGCTCCTGGCTGAGGTTGTGAGGCCTGGAGTCAGAGCTCGGGCTACTGGCCCGGTGGCCTTGGGAGGCACACGTGGGCTGGACACCTCCCTACCTAGGGGTTGCTGCAGCTGGGCCTGAGCGGAGGGTTCACCAGAGGCCTCAAATGATCCCTCTCTGCCTCCAGGAAAAACAAAGATGCCCCAGTCTTTGTTCCTCAGTGGCAATTCTGCTTGGTTTGCTTAACAAGCCCACATTTCAGCAAGCGCACCTCGCAGTGAGTTCCTCCCCTTTTGTTATTCCTCATGGTCTTGCTTCCTGGGCTGGCACCATGGCTCAACTGGCTAATCTTCCATCTGCAAGTGCTGGCATTTTATATGGGCACTGGTTCATGTTCCAGCTGCCTCAGTTCCCATCCACTTCCCTGCTTGTGGCCTTGGAAAGCAGCTGAGGACGGCCCAAAGACTTGGGACCATGCACCCATGTGGGAGATCCAGAAGAAGCTCCTGGCTCCTGGCTCAGCTCTCCTCTCTGTAAAAATACATTCCCTGCTGGAAGGTGCCCGACAGCAGGGAGAAGGTTCCAGTTGACACCGACAGTGCACTGGGGCAGAAGAGACAGAGAAGCAATCACTCCAAGGCCTCCTGGCTAGAGGAGTGAGGTCTTAGGGGCCTGGAGATCCAAGATGTAGAGCCGAGCTCCTCCAGGGGTCTGGCTCTGGGGAGCTTCACACAAAGAGTGAAGCCTTCTGTTCCTCCAGCACCCTCTCACCTTCATCAGAAACTCCTGGGCCTCCTGAGCCTGGCGTAGCAGCAGACGCCTCTGTGCCACCTCCGCCCGCAGGTGGTCCATGGCCGTCTCCAGCTCCTGCACCCGGGCAGCCACCTCGCTGGTGGCAAAGTGCCCAGCCTGCAACAGCTTATGCCCAGTGTCCAGCACCACCCGGGTCAGAGCCTCATGGCTGCTCAGCTCATTCTCCAAGCTCTGTGATGGAGGAGGAAGGGGACAGCAACTGGTAGTTGCTACAGGAACCTACCCTCACCTCAAGACACCCCCAAGACTTACTCGCCAGGGAGTCAGCCCTCAGAGGAGAATCCAGGGCAACCCCCAGGCTGAGGAGCCTCAGAACTTCTGAGCATGCCCCCCGCACCTGCTGCTGCTCCTGCAGCTGCTGCACAGCTTGCAGGCTCTCGCCGCAGTCCTGGGCCATGGCCAGGGGCAGCTTCTCCCTCACCCAGTCCATTTCCTCCTCCACATCCCTGAAGAACTGTGCGAGACAACTCTGGGCTTCCAGGGCTGCCCTGCGCTCCTGCAGGGGCACCCTTAGGCTCTCAAACCTGTAAGGGAGTGAGTGACCTGAGAGACAAGAAGGGGCACTGGGCCTCATCCCCAGGGAAAGCAGGGAAAGGCAGGTACCTCTGCAGCAGCTGCTGCGCCTGCTCCTCCAAGTCTGGGCCAAAGCACCGGCCTTCCCGCATGAAGGCTTGGATCTGGCCCAGCAGGGCCTGTGCCCGCCTGGCCCGCCTATCCACCGCTGCCTCTAGCTCCCCCTGCGCCCCCAGGAGCTCGTCCACTGCAGGCAGGTCCTGCCCTACTACGGGGCCTCTCAGCTCGGCCTCTACAGGCTCCAGCCAGCTGCCCAGCTCTTCCACACTGCGCTGGAGACTCAAGGCCTGTTGGAAAACATGTGGTGGGCAGCCAGGGAGCAGGCCCAGAGCCCTGGCCGGCAGCTCCAGGGTCCACACAGACTCACCTCACAGGCAGCTCGGAGCCTGATCACCTTCCTCTTACAGTTGGCCTGCACCTCATGCCACAGCTGTCCCAGTTCCTGCAGCCGCTCCTGGACCATGTCCGGGGCTGGGAGGACCGTCTGCAGCAGCCTCTGCCCTAGCTGCAGTCACAACATGGTGCACACGCCATGGGCACATGTGCTGGCTCTGAGCACCAGCCCCAAGGTGGCAGGGCCCATGTGCTGGCTACGGGACCTCTCTGGACTGTTTTTTCTTCATCCACACCACGCTGATCAGGAGGTTGTTTTGTTTACATGATGCAGTTTACACAGCACTTAGCAGGCCCCTTGCATCGAAGGGGCTGGGCAGGGGTCAGGACTACCTTTTTTCCCCCTTAAGATTTATTTATTTGAAACGCAGATTTACAGAGAGAAGGAGACAAGAGATATTGATCTTCTATCTGCTGGTTCACTCCCCAAATGGCCCCAGTGGCCAGAGTTGGCTAGCTCTCAAATCAGCAGGCAGGAGCTTCTTTCAGGTCTCTCATGTGGGTGAGACCTTGGGTTATCTTTTGCTGCTTTCCCAGGACACAAACAAGGAGTTGGACCAGATATGGAACAGCTGGGACTCATTGAACCAGTGACCATGCATTGCCAACACCACAAACAGGCTTAGCCCACTGTGCCATGTGGCACAGGCCCCTGCCAGGGCTTCTTTGTGAGTGGGAAAGGGAGCATTAAAACACACTGCTTTGATTGTTGGCTGGGTGCTCTGATGACGTCAGAATATGACCTTCAAGGCCAAAGCACCTGACTCAGTGGTTAAGATACTTCCCTTAAGATAGCCACATCCTGTGTCCCAGTGCTGCGTTAGAAGCCTAGCTTTGCTTGTGATTGCAGCTTCCTCCAGTGCCCACCCTGGGTGCAGCAGGTAATGGCCCAAGTGCTTGGATCTGTCAGCTCCTGGCTGCTGGCTTCAACCTAGCCTGGCCCCAGCTGACGCAGGCATTTGGGGAGTGAACCAGCAGAGGAAAAATCTGTTTGTATGCATTTCAAATCACGTTAATAAAGTTTTAAAATAACTGAAAAGGCCCTGTTTGGGGAGTGGAAGCAACTGTTTCTCCCTGCTTGATCACGATTAGCACAGCAGTGAATATACTAGGAAGCTGTCATCGAGTACTCAGGGCTGACCTAGCTGCCCCTTGACCCCTGTCCCCCCGACCCCCTGACCCCGGGCCTCACCGCCTGCAGTGCCTCGTGGTCCTGTGCACTGGCGTCCAGCTCTGCCTGCAGCTCCTGCTGCTGTCGTACCTGCGCCTGCAGCTCGCTGGGGGCCCACCTGCCTTCTCCCAGGGCCTCTGTGTTTTTCTCCCTCAGCCACACAACCACCTGGGCACACAGGGAGTGCCAGCTGGGCCCTGCTACCAGGGCTATGCCCTCCCTTTCCCCTCCTAGGGATCCCCAAGGAAGGCGTGGCCTTTAGCCCCACCCCTCACTGTAGCCAGCTAGGGAAGGCACCTCGTAGGAGTCCTGCAGGAATGCCTGTAGCTGCCCGAGCTCCTCCAGCTGATGGCGGCGGGCACCTGCTCTTTCCAAGAGTGCCTTCTTCCTGCCGGAGGAAACTCATGTGGGCCCAAAGTCCAGGTGGCCACAGGGATGCGTGTGTGTGCCCTTCCAGCCTAGGATGCCTTCCCATTCATCCTCACATCCTGAGTCTGGGGCTTCCTCTGACACAGAGGCATGCTGCACCCTTCTCCCCTGTGCGGTCGTCTGCTACAGGGCTGAATGAGGGTGGAGGCTCCTAGGGAAAGCCTCAGCCCCCAGAACTCAGGATGTGACCATTTGGGGAGTTGCGGTGTTTACAGAGGTCCTGACTCAATCGGACTGTGGTCCTTGTGGGGTGGGGAGGGGGCGTTGGCACCAGGCACAGAAGACACAGAGATGACATGCTACCAGCAAGCCCCAAGAAACCAGTGACACCCCAATGTGGGCTGTGACCTTCCCAGAATCGCAGCAAGCAAACCACTACTGTCTGTTCCCATTCCCGGCCTGTGCTATTGGTCACAGCAGCTTGAGCAGACCACGCTCTGCCACGAGAATGGCTAATGCACAGACAGTGACACCAGAGCAAAAACTAGTGGCAGTACTTCATAAGGGCCTGGGCACCCCAACCCCCCATCCTGCACATGTCTCATGATGCCTGAGGGCAGGGCAAGTACAGGACACAAAGAGGCCAGACTGCCTCTAGGCACCAGCACAGGAATCAGGACATGGGCAGGCACTCCGGAAGAGTGGCCCCTAGCAACCTGGGATCTGGCTTTGGTCCTAAAGACTGAGCAACTGTAAGGTGAAACCATGCCGGTGCAAGGCTTTGGGGGCTACCCAGGCTGTGCCTGTCAAGGCGTCATGCAGCTGACCTTGACTTAGTGAGCCTAAAAGACCTGCCAGTCTGCACATGAGGGCTGGGCCTGCATTCCTGGCCACAATCCCAAGGCCCGTGCTGTCAGCCCCTCTCACCATGCAAGACGGAGCCACCAGGACATCAGCCTCAGGGCCCAGCAGGAGAGGAGGCAGAAGAATTTGGGATTGTGTGGCCCTCACAAGCCCTCAGGGCCTGGCACTAGCCAGTTCACCAGATGCCTTCCCAAAGGGAACATCCTTGATCCCAAGGGAGTGTCCACTCCCCTTCCTCCCAGTGGGTGAAGTGGTTTGCCAGTGACCCTGGCATCTGATCTCAGCCTTGCAAAAGGCTGCTGAGCATGGGAAAGGACAGCAAGGGGAGGCTTGGGTGCCTGATGCTTACACGCCACCCTAGTGTGGTCCCCGCCATCCTGGCTTGCCACAAGTACCTCTGGAGCACAGCCCGACACCTGCCCAGGGCAGTCTGGGCCTCAGGGTGTCCACGCTGGAGCAGGACTTGGGCTGCAGCCTCCAGGGTGCCAATCCTCTCTGCTTGCGCCTCCAGGGCCTGTTCCAGCATCTTGTGCTTCCACAGGAGGTTCTCCGTGTGGTTAAGGGGGTCCTGGCAGGGTCAGGGAGGTCACCGTTGTCCATGGGGCCACCCCTCCTGGTCCATGCTCTCCTCCCTGGAACCATCCTACCATACCCCACTCCACAAAGTCACTGCCCTGTCCAGATGCCCCTTGACCCCCAGGGCTGCTTCGGACCTGGGACAGTGAGTCTCACCTAGGAGACAGAGGGGGACAGGAGTGGAAAGGGGTGAGGATCTGGATTACCCACCCAGCCCTCCCCCTTGCACTTCCACCAGCTCCTGGTGACTTCCCCAGGTCTCCTGTGGGAGATCAGGACAGTAGTGGGATGTGAGGAGGGTAGTGGGACAGAGCCAAGAGCCAGACAGGGCCGAAAAACCTTTAGGATTGACAGGGCAGTGACAGTTGTGCTGGGGGGAGGGGGAGGAGCACTTTGTGAGCTCCCCACCCCTGACCTCAGCTGGCCACAGCACTGCCCGGCACCTACCTCCAGACCCTCGTCGGTCAGGCAGGCCTCCTTGCTGCAGAGCCAACGTTCCACCTGCTCCACTGAGCTCAGAAATGCCTGGTGAGAAAGTACAAGGCTGGAGCAAGTGGGCAGAGGGGCCAGGCCCTGCAAGCGGAGGGACCCTGGCTTCACAGAATTAATCCCTGGCAGGCCAGGCTGCTGTGGGCAGGGAGCCAGGCTTTGGCTTGGGGCCATGGCTAAGTTGGACAGCCACACACCTGTAGCTCCAGGGCCTGCTGTAGCTGCTGCTGCCGCTCCTGCCAGGCCCCTTCCAGGCTATGCAGCTCCTGCTCCAAGGCAGCCAGGGCATGGTGAATGCCAGGGGTAGACTGATGCCCAGTGGCAAGCAGCTGCTGCCCGGTGGCCCGAGCCAGGTGGATGCTGTCTGCCCGTGAGTCCAGCTCAGCCTAGAATAGGGTTGGGTGCAGCCCAAAGGCAAGGAGGTGCAAGACAGTGAGGGGTGCATGGGAGAGGAAAAAGGACCCAGCAGCAGATGGGGCAACACGGGGCAGGGCTGTAATGAAGGGGGGCAGTGGGAGGCAATGGGGGGAGGAAGGCTTGAGGTGGGTGATGGAGCAAAGGGGGGAAGACAGTAGGGGAAAGGGGACAATGAGGGGGTAATAAGGACAATAGCAGTGGGGGAATCCCAGGATCTCCCTCCCTGCTTACCTTGCGTGCCCAATGCTCTCTCACCATGCGCTGGGCTTCAGTGCGGCTGCAGGGGTTGCTCAGTGCAGCCATCTCCTCCCGCAGCTTCTGGGCCCAGACCACCAGGTCCTGCAGTACTGCCTGGAGCCCCTGGGCTTGCTGCAGGATGTCCAGCGCCTCCCTCCTGCCCACAGGGCTTAGCAGCTAGACCTGGGGTCCCAGCCCCTCATCCCTCCCTTCCCACAACATGCCCTCTGGGAACCAATGGAGGTGACAACACTGAATCTTAGTGGAAAATAGCAGACCCAGGGGAAGCCCGGAGACATGATACTGGTGCTGCACAGGCCTGCAGGGAGGAGTGAGCACCACAAGCACCTACCGCTTCCGGGCAGAGTTCTGGAGCTGCTGCCAGCTCTCCATCATCACTTGCTGCTTGTGACTGAGGCTGCCGGCTGCCCACGAGCTGCTCCGGCAGAGGCAGTCCACTTTGTGCTCCAGAGTCTGTAGGGCAGCAGGGTGAGAGCCCCTGGCTTTGTGGCTCTCATGACAACCCCCACCGTGTGCATCAGCCAGGTCCCCACAGAGGCAGCCTCCACGCCCAGCTGCACACCTCCACCTGTGTCTGCACCAGGCCCACTTCCCGCTCCAGCATTGCGAGCCTCCACTGCAGCCTCTGCGTGTGATCCAGGCCTTGCCCGTTCTCATCTAGGGTCTGGACTAGGGCCCTCTGTGGGGAGAAAGGCCTTAGCTTCAGCTTGCTCACTGCAGTCATGCTGGACTGTCCCAGCAGCTGGTCCATCCTGTGGCTTCTGGGGCCTGGAGTGGCCACTTGTGTGGGGGGCAGGAGGGGGTGAAGGTCGACTGTGACCTGGAGATTCTCCTGAGATGAGAGCTTTGTTTCTGTAGTGCTGTCTCCTTGTCCTTCTCATGTCAGCCTTTTTGGGGAAGCTGAAGGCTAGGAGGGAGCTGGCAGGTGCAGAGGAGAGCCACTGCAGGACGTGCCAGGGCAGGCTCGCAGGCTACTCGCACTCTCCCACTGCCTCACTCTACCAGCAATTGGTTCAGAATCCTGTGACTGGTGATGCCCTCCTGGGGTGGCCTGTTGTGTGTCTTGGGCTTGCTCAGGAGCTGGAGCAAGCGGCATGGGATGCTCTGGTCTCTGGATCCCAGCAGGTCTGGGGAGAAAGGGCCTCAGAGCCTAAAATGGGGCTTCCATGTTCCCATTCTGTGTGTAGCCCAAGGACACAGAACCCATTGGATACCCTGGCACACGCTTAGTGGGGCCAGCCACCAGGTGTCCAGTGGAAGAAGGGTAGCTAAGGGGCAGGGTGCGTGCTTCGTTCCCTGCGTTCGCTCCCAGTGCACACCAGATCCTGCTCTCCACCACTCACCTTCTCCCCGATCCGCTCGATGATGACGTCCAGCTCATCAGACAAGGTGTGTACCTCCAGGGCCAACTCGAGCTGCTGCTGGTACCTGAGCAGGTTCCCATGGAAACTCGTCCACCTGGCAAGGGGTGATACGAAGTCAGCTGGGGAAGGATGAGGCCCTGCTCCTCTCCCCACCTGCTGGCATGGGACTGGCCTGCTGTGGAGCTGGCTCTGCCGTTGGCACACAGTCCTGACTTCCTCGGGGTCCTGGCTCCTGAACCTCAGCGACAAGGCATGGATGCTCCTGATGTGGGCATCCTCCACTGTGTCCTATGGGGAGAACAGGCAAGGACACATGGCTCCTGCCCTCTCAGGGTCCCTCTCCTGGCTCTGCAGTTGGCACTCCGGGGCCCGTCTGTGGGCTCTGAGGTACAGCTGTGTGGGGCATTGGAGGCAGCTACTGCCTCTCCTATGGCCCGAGTGTGAGCAGGTTCAGCTGGAGCCCGCAGCCCTGGGTTATGCTAAGGGTCAGGAAGTGCTCTCAGGTAAGGAAGTTGGGGCTTGGGCATGGCTTGTGAACAGAGGCTCTCTCAGTGGGAATGCTGCTTCTGGGATTGAGCCATTTTAGCCAGAGGACTTGCCTGGCTGGGGCTTAGGCCTGAGCAGAGTTTATAGGCAAGTGCCCAGGGAGGACAACAGAGCTGGCTTACACTGCCCACACGACCCCAGAGCAGCGCACACTGGGAGGCACGGATGGAGGTTCTGTTCCTCCTGGAGATGCCAGCACGAGCCAGAGGCAGTGGGGGCTGAGTGTGGCAGAGCTGGGACTGAAGCCCAGCTCAGTGAGGTCTAGGGCCTACCCACAGAGCCCCTGGCATGGTGCCTGTGATGGCACCATTCACACCAGCTACCATGGGATGGAGACTACAGCCTTTCCAGAAATGCCTCTACTTGTACCAGGAGGGGAAGGTCAGCCTTGTAGACTCTAACATCTGTTTAGGAGAGCACTTGCCCAGTTTCTTCCCTCCATCCTACCTAACTGAGACAGAGCTTTGAGGGAGTGTGGCAGGGCAGGGGGTGGGAGGTCAGTGGAGGCGCTGAAGGCAGACAGGGTACTGTCTCATTAGAAGTATACTGTCTCACTAAAAAGTTCTGTAATTACAGATGCACAGAAAATGCCACAATCAGCCCAGAATGGCTGGCGTCGCTCCTCATCAGGTGAAGACACCCCCTGCAATGCTGGCATCCCATTTGGATGCCAGCTCATGTCCCTGGCTGATCTACTTCTGTTCAAGTTCCCTGCTAATGTGTCTGGAAAAGCAGAAGATGACCCAAGAGTATGAGCCTGCCACGCATGTGGGAGACCCGGAGGAAGCTCCTGGCTTCAGCCTAGTCCAACCCTGGCCTTTGCAGCCACTTGGAAAGGGAGCCAATAATGGAAGATCTCTCCATGTTCCTCTATCTGTAACCTCTGCCTTTTGAATAAATAAATCTTAAAAAAAAAAAAAAAAAACAGGGCCCAACACGATAGCCTCATGGCTAGTCTCCGCCTTGCACATGCCAGGATCCCATATGGTCACCAGTTCTAATCCTGGTGACCCTGCTTCCCATCCAACTCCCTGCTTGCAGCCGGGAAAGCAGTCGAGGACAGCCCAGAGCCTTGGGACCCTGCACTCATGTGGGAGACCTGGAAGAGGTTCCCAGCTCCTGGCTTTGTATTGGCTCAGCTCCAGCCATTGCGGTCGCTTGAAGAGTAAATCATTGAATGGAAGATCTTCCTCTGTCTCTCCTCTTCTCTGTATATCTGACTTTCCAATGAAAATAAATAAATCTTAAACAAATAAACAAGCAAAAATAGAACAGCTTGAGAGGTGCCACGTTCCTGGCTCAGCACCTGGAATGGTGACGGCTCACATGGCATGACTACAGCCTTGAACTAGGAGGCGACATGGAAAATCTGTGCACTGTGAACACTCTCCAGAGCTCCTAGGGTCTGCTGCATGCATCTGGGTAGGGGTGGGTCCTGTCTCCCACGTAGGCCTTATTCTCATCTCAACCATGAGGAAGCCTGGGTTCGGTAACTCAAAGAGCCTCCCTATATGCACACGGTCAGCTTGGAGGCCACACCTGAGCCCCATGAGCCGTGTGTGTGCGTGTGTCTGTCTGTCTGGGCAGGGCCCCCTTACCCCAGCCGAGGCACCGAGGAGCCGGAGGAGCTGGCGGCGGAGCTGCAGACAGTGGTCACGGTCCTGGCCCAGGTCCCCAGTATTCACCATCGCCTCCTGCAGGGGCAGAGGCCAGGGAGGGTGGTCCCCTGAGCATCAACCTCAGGCACCCCGGCTCCCACAGCTGGGCAGTAGTAGGAGCAGTGTGTGTGTCGGGAGGTTTTGGAATTTACTGCTGGGCCCTGCCCGGAACCCCACTTCCCTCCCCTGCCTCAAGCCCCTCTCCTGGCCCCTCCAGACTCTACTCAGCCTAGCTGGGCCTACCTTTCCCTGGATCCAGGCCTCTGCCAGGTCTGCCCTCTGCAGGAACTCCAGGAAGCTCGTTTTGTCCTCCAGGATCTGACCCCGGAGGGCCACCGCCTGCCTCAGTTTCTCCCAGTGCTCCTCTAGTGCTTGCAGCTGCTGAGAGATCTCTTCTGCCCAGGGGTGGCTCTGTGCCAGCAGGTCCTGGCCCTCCTGAGGACAGAGGGGACCATGGGAACATTTACATACCGCTTGCCCAAGACCTTGCCCTTTCCTTTATCATCTGGCGGTCCCTCCGGAGCAGGCGAGGGGCTGAGGGGTTGCTGTTACCTTGGTGACAGAGCTCAGCAGCTCCTTGTGGGCCTGGACCTCGGTCTGGGAGGCCTGGTGTCTCTGCAGGTGCCTCAGTTGGTCTCTCAGGCCCCCAGGGGGAACAGGCTCCATCAGCTGTAGGGCCCGCTGCTGGATCCAGTCCTTGGCCTGTCAAGGACCCGGGGCATGAAGCCTATAGTCTCCACAGCCTTGCCTCCCACTGGACATGGTTCTAGGGCTTCATGGAGGAGCTGGGGTCCTCTTGCTCCAGGGCCCTGGGCCTCCACGCAGGCTTCCCTGCGTCCCATGGTCAGCATACAGGTGGGGCCAATGCATATCAGGACTCAGAATTAAAGTGCTGGGCTGCAGGTGGGCCTGGGGAGAGCTGCTGCCCTGTGCAAGCTGGCTTCTCTGGTATGGTACAGGTGGGGGCAGGCAGGGAGGGGCTCTGACCTGGGTGGCGGCCTCTGTGAAGCGAGCATACAGCAACGAGGTGTGCAGGGCCTGGCTACGACTCTCTGCCATGTCCTGCACTCGAGCCCGCCACACCAGCACTGTGCCAAGCCAGTGCTGCACCCTGCTGCCCCCACCGAGTCGGCTCAGCTGCTCCTGGAGTGCCGCTTCCTGCAAGGTTTGGGAAAACCTGCTCTTCCCCAACCCTGCAGACTACTACAGGTGCAGGCACTCTACTCCACCCTGGGGCACACAGTCCTTCCCTGCAGAGACCTGAAGTGTTTCCCTCAGTCCCAAAAGACAAATGCTGGTGTGCTCACCCAGCTTCAACCAGAACTATGCTGTTCCTTGGCAGCCAGATGAGGCAGATGGAGCCAGCTGCCCACTATGCTTCTGCAGTATGGCCCACTGCCGGGCCCTCTTCCTGAGCCGTATCGGTAGACTCTAGGTCTACCCCAGGCACCTACATGCCCTGACCCTTCAATTCCCCACCCAGCCCAGGACTCCCCTACCCCTTACCTTCATGTCCTGGGCAGTCAGCAGCTTCTGGAAGACCTCATGCTTGCGGATCAGTCGCTCTACTTCTTCCACGGAGCTCCCCAGCGCACTGGTCCTCAGAGAAGCCTGGATCCATCCAAGGCACAGTCAGAGGCCATGGAGGACTCCAGCCCCGCCAGTGCCTGTGTCCACAGTGGTCTGTGCTGGCCACTGAGGCCTGGGCAAAGCAAGGGCCCACCGATGGGGTAGGGACTTCCTAGGGCAGGAGCCCTGACATGAGAGCTGAGCAGGATACTTAGTGGGAAGCTGTGGGGAGCATAGGAACTGGGCTGGGGGCTTGCAGCTCCCCCAACCTCTGCATAAAGAAGAGCGGATACCCTGCCCCCCGCCTGGGATGGGGATGTTGGTGATGACCCTGGGAGTTTCGGTGCTGCAGGCCAGCTGGGAGGCCCTGGGTAGGACCACAGGACACAGCAGAGACCCAGCATGAAGGGGCTGAATAGGTAGAAGGCCAAGCAGGAGAGGAATGGAAGGCAGCTGTGTGTGGGTGCGGACAGGAGTGGGAGCACGTGCCTCCTGGGCTACGAGCACTTCCTCCAGGCGCCCACAGGCTCTGATGAAGAACTGCTCCACCTGCGTGGCCTGTAGCCACTCCTGCTTGCACGACCAGGCCTGGAACACCTGGTCCCGCTCCTTCTGCAGGACATGCAGCCCTTCCTGGACCTGCAGGCGGGCATAGGGGGAGCAGGGGCTGGAAAGGGCAGAGAGGAAGAGGCTCCAAAACGAGGCAGGGCAGGGCACCATCAGGTGGCCAGGGAGGCAAGGCCAGCTCAGGGCAAGTCTGGGCACATCAGGGAAGGGGCTCACCTCGTTGGCAGGCATCCCAGCAGTCAGCAGGGCCTGTTGACCCAGCCGGATGGCCTCTTGCCGTTGTTCTTCCCGGGTCTGCAGCTCTGCCCAGAGTTGCTGGTGGACAGTGAGCTGCAGGGGGCTGCTGCTGGGCTCCTGGGTGCTCTCCTCCATCCGCAGTTCCTGCTGCACACGGGCTGCCCAGGAGGTGTAGTCCTGAACCTGATGTGGGAGATAGGCCCATTAGAGCAGGGAAGGGCTCAGGGATGGAACCCCAGCCCTTCAGCTTCACTCACACATCATGTAACCTTGTCCTGGGTCGAGGGGCAAGCAGGGCCCTTGGTTCTCCAATTTCTTTGTTCTTTTAAACCTGATTTTCCCAGGTTTGGCCCATCTGTCCCAGCCCCTCCAATTCCCCACAGGGCCCATGTCAGCAGCAGCAGTGAACTTAGCCAAGCTGAGGGGGCAGGAGAGACTCAATGGTTCTTCAAGGGCCGAGGCTGCCCTGACCTCAGGAAGCCTGTCCTGTCCTTGCTTTTCACTGCTCTCCCTGTCCCCACTCATGTATCAGCACTTACTGGTGGCCTGATATGAATTGGTGCACAGTCACACAGTGTCCACATTGGCATTGTGCAGAGGGATGAGGTGACTGGCACCAGGTTTGGGAAAACACCTTACTCCAGGCCATTATGCTAAAGAGTGACAGGAAAGGTCCTTAACCTCAAGCCTTTTGGGACTAACATAGTTTGGGCCTCCTGGTTTACCAGACATGAGGATATGGGGATTGTCCACGGCCAGGACCTGATGTCCCTGCCTGATGCTCATCCGCCCAAGGCAGGTGGTCTTCAGGAAGGCAATGATTGCATCTTCCAGTTTCAAGACCCCCCCCACACACACTTTGTTCCACTCACAGCTCCTAGCAGATGTCACACAGATGTCGAGGACATCTGGGGTCTCCAGTTGGGGTTTTTTCTGGGCTGTTCCTATTGCCCAGCCCTGCCTAGGACCCCATGTGACTGCCTTGTTGCTCACCTGGACTGGCAACCCAAACCCAGGCAGTCACTGGCATGCTGTTTGCCCAGCCTCCTACCAGCCAGACTGACCACCAGCTGGGCACCTGCTCTAGCTCTCTGTGGCCCTGCTTGATTCTCCCTGTGGGGCCTCACAGCTGCGCATGCACACACACACCCCAGCTAGGGAAGGTGCTCTCACCGCCGTGTGGAAATGGGCCAGGATGCATGCACGCTCCAGCTGAGCCCTGCGCTGCTCCACGCACAGCCGCAAGACCTCCCTGGCCTGAGTCACAGCTTGCTGCCCCTGTTGCACGGCCTGAGCCCGAGGCCCTGGACACAGCCTCTGTACCTTATTTGAGGTCTCCAGCAGCTCCTGCAGCTGGGTCGGGGAGGAGATGAAGGGGTGAGGGGCAGGGTTGGGGGATCGGGAGGAAGGCTCACTCCCACTATAGAGACTGCAAGGCCAGCTCCCCCAGCCGCCAACTCCCACACTTGGGGACTTGTCCTGATGGCTCCAACCGGGAGCCCAGGGCCAGTGGGAAATTCAGGCCCAGTTCAGGGGTCTGAGTGGGGGTCCGCCAGGGGGCGTACTTGCTGCTCAGTTGCAGCCAGCTCACACTCTAGCCACTCATGCCTCCTTAGCTGCACCTCTACCCCATGCAGGTCCTGGACCACATCACTGGACAGGCTGGTGGCTCGCTCCTGAGGAGAGGGAACCCAGGGCTCAGGTGTGGACAGCAGTCAATGGAACTCAGCAGATCCCTTCCTCCGCCTGGGTGCTCACCTGGATTTGGGCAAGGGCTCCCAGCAGGTCTCTGTGCACTTGGAAGGCGGTGTTAGCATCTTGGAACAGGCGGCCCCGGGCCTGGGTCAGCTCCTGCAGCTCTGACCAGGAAGCCCTAACACCAGCACATGGAGGGCCAAGGGTTGGGCAGGCCATCTCAACTCAGGGTTGCACACAGGCCCCAAGTTCCACATGACCCTCCTCATCAGCAGCCTTTGGTGACCTTAGCCCTGCCCACAGCCCTCCCTGTAGGTTTCCTCTTGCTGTCACAGTGCTGGTCCCTCCACTCTGTGACAGCCAGGTGACAGAAGCCTCAACGGAGGAGGCCACAGCTTTCCTCATTTGTGCACCAAAACTCCTACTGAGCTGCTAAGCCCCCCCACCAGGCTGTGCCCTACTATGTCATTACAGACAAAATCTTGACTTTGCCCCAAGGTCCATGGAAGCAAGGTGGGCAACAGGGAAGGGGGCAAGGGCTGTGTCCAGTGTGGGAGCAAGGGAAGCTCCCAGGAGGCTGTGTCCCTGCCTGAGCAGCCTCTGCTCCAAGTTCCTCCTTTTTTAAGTCCCAGAAGAGGAACTATGGGCAGTATTGGAAAAGTACCCTGGGGACTTGGTGTGGGCAGGGCTCTGTGTCCACTCTGAGCAGGGCCATGAGGTGTTCCAGCTGCTACACTGTGTCTGCCTGCCTAACTTCCTCCCCCAGAAGCCGTCCTCTGGTCTGGCCACACTCACTGCAGATCCTGCTGCATCTGCCAGGCCCTGGGCACAGAGCTGGACCCATGCTGCAGCAGACTCTGGGCTTGCTGCTGGCAGGTGGCCATGCGCCGGCCAGCCATCTCCACCTGGTGCTGAAAGGCCGCAAACTTGGTGTAGAGGTGCTGCTAGGAAGAGTAGACTGGGTGAATGGTGCAGCCCCCAACTGTGGAGCAAGACACTCCAGGGGCCCACTGGGCCACACTGGGGAAGAGGGTGGTTGGGTATCCATAGAGCCTGCCCCTCTATGTGGGAGGGCACCCTCTACTGCCCCTCTATATGGGAGGCCCTACTGGGGCTCATGACTCCATGGCCACCTGCTCCACATAGCACATTCCTACCCTGGCCTCTTCTCACCAGGACCTGCTCCTCGTCCTCCGTCTCTCCAGGGCTTGTCTCTGCCAGGGCTGCCTGCTTCTGGGCGGCCAGCCAGCTGTGCAGGTCCTCAGCCTCCTGCATGTACTCTGCCAGCCTCAGGCCCTCCTCTAGCTCCCGGCCCCTGCAGTAAACCCAGAAGTTAGTTCACCAAACCCCCACAGGACAGCTGGGTCATCATAGGGGCTGCCTGAAGGGTGAGGGCATTGAGGTCTTTGCCCAGATGTCAGGAAGGTTCAAGGGAAGAGGAGGGCTGGGAGCTGGGGCCACCCCAAGGGATCCGTTCATAGAGGTGGGCCACACTTGGCAGCGCCAGCCCTTTCCTGGCCCTGCCTCATGGAACTGGCCAGGGCCATGGCTTCCTCCCTACTCAGGCCTGGGCTATGGCAACAGCTGTGGCCAAGCCCTGGGGCCTGCAGCATCCCTCACCGTGTGGCTGCCATCTCCTGCAGAGCCTGCAGCTGTTCCCGCAGCCGCTCCCGCAGCCCATGTAGCTGCTCCGGGGCTGCAGGGCCAGCAAGGGTCTGGGCCCTCTGGTCCAGTTCCTCCAGGGAGCGCCAGTGAAGAGAGAGGGTCTGCTGCAGCACCTGTCAGCACAGGGTCCTGTTAGGCTTGACCAGTGGGCTCCTTCACCCAGCATTCTCCAGTCTACCACCCCCAAGTCTTCATCTCCATTGTCCACTCACTCATCAGGTCACAATCCATCCATCTGCCTGACTCATCCACCTACCCGTGCACCCACCCATCCATGCATTCACTCATTATCTCATCCTCCACCATGACCTAAGTCCACACCAGGACTGGTACCTCGTTCTTCTTGATCAGCCTGGAGGTTGCAGCCTTGTCTGTACTGCAGTGCTCATTGTTCACCAGTGCCCGCTGCTCTTCCACCCATGCTTCCAGCCCTGACACGTCCCGGAAGTACTGCCACCAAAGAATGGGGCCGACTCACCCACAGGAAGCCATCTCCCACAGGAGCCCTCCCCTACAGAGACATCCTGTTGCTGCTCCCCACACTGGAGGCCTGTGGACCCTGTACTGCTGCCTTCTGCCTGCCCACCTGCTGGACAGCCTCAGCCTGCTGCAGCCTCTGGGCCTGTGCCACACATGCCTGCTGCAGTTCTGCCCAGCTGCCTTCCAGTTTGTGGCACTGCTCTGTGGCACGCTGGGCTTGGGGGTGCCCTGAGGCTGCCAGGCTCTGTCCGGAATCCAGCACCCACTGCACCTGTGCCTGGTGAGCTTCCAGCTCAGCTTGCAGCACCTGCAGAGAACAATGGGACAATTGCCCTGCCTGTCCCCTGGGGAGGAGGTCCCTGAACCATAGCAGAACTCTAGTAGCAGCTCCAGACCCCAACCTTAGCAAGACCCTCCAAGCCAAGAACACCTATTACAGAGGTTTGGAAACCAGGGCACCCAGAGGAGGGGTTAGAGGCCAGCACACCCAGAGACCAATGGCAGAGGACTTCCAGGATCTGGGAACAGGGCAGGTGTCAGAGATTCTGGGAGAGGAAGGGGCCACCACCTTGTGCCTGTGGCGAAGGCTCTGGACACTGGCCCAGCACTCAACAGGGCCGGAGCTGGGCATGTGCTCTGCCACCCACAAAAGCTCCAGGTTGCTCAGGTGGCAGAACCGGCACAGCTCCACCGAGGTCTGCAGATGCAGGCGCCGGGTGGCCAGGTGTCCCTGCAGGGACTCGAACCTGGGTGGGAGGAGAAGAGAAGTGGGGACCAGGAAGAACAGGGCCTGAGGGCCTGTGAGGCACATAGGGAGCCTTGGTTGGTGAGAGGGAGGCAGCTGCTGGCCCAACCCCTCCTCCCCTAGGACGCAGAGGGTACCAGGCCCTGCCTCAGGATCCCTGGGTGCCTTCTTGCTGGTCCCTGGCTTGCCCAGGAGGCACACATGGCAGGGTAAGAGAGAACAAAACTAGAACCCCACCTCTGCAGGCACCTCTGGATCTCATGCAGGACAGACTGGGAAGTGCCCAGGCCCAGAGCCTGGGAGCATAGGGCAGCCACTGTGCCAGCCAATGCTTGGCCCTCGGCTTTTAGCTGTTGGAGCTGTTTCTGCAGCTGCCGCTGTCTGGAGCCCTGGTCTTGCTCTGTCTCTGCTTCCTGCTGGGCCCCCTCTAGCTGCACCATCTTCTCCTTGACCTCCTGGGGAGGGAGAGAGGGGGCTACATTAAGCTCTCCTTGTCCTGGACCTGTAAGACCACAGAGTAGCAGCAGGTTTACTCACCACTGCCAAACCCAAGCTACACACCCAGACATTCTCAGATCCCCTCCTGTGAGGGGTCATGCTGACCATAGGCAAAGCACACAGGAGCCAGCCTAGGTTGGCCAACTGGTGAGCAGGGCTGTGCCTGATTTATGGCAGGCCAGGCAGGTCTCCAAAGGCTCCAGGAGGCTCTAGTAGCAGCATAGCCTCCGACTCTTGCCTGCTACTCTCCATCCTGCCCGCTCCCACCCTGTTGTGATTTGGCCTCTGTCTCCCTCCTGGGCCCAGTCCCCTCCCCAGGGCACCTGCAGCAGCCCCAGGAGCTGGTCCTGCCAGTGTGCCTGCCGGAGCTGGTTGCCACACTCTGCCACCTTGCAGTTCAGTTCTTTCCACTGGCTGTTCAGGCCCCAGAGCTCAGCCTGTATGTCTTCCTGAGCCTGCAGCCTGCTGTCCAACAGCTCTGTTCCAACCTGCAACACAAACGAGACCCCAGGGTCTGGCCAGGCTGTGAGGAGCATAAGTGGCCTCGACAGGCTGGCTCCAGAGACAGAGATGAGCAGCAACTCCAAGCTGGTTGTTGGCACCAACCCTGGGGGCAGCAGCAGGTGCACTTTTTGACGCCTGGAAGTAAGCATCTGGAGCTGGTCCCGGGGGTAGAGGGGCAGGCATGCTGCAGCATTCTGAGGAGCCTTGAAGCCGGGGCTGAGGAGGTAGCTGGGGTCCCTGACACGTGAGAACTGGAGTTGATTCTCCCCTCAGTTACTGTTCCATAGCAATATCTGGCACCGTGAGGGTTGGCAATGTGAAGATGAGGCCACCTCCCCTCCCCTCCACCCACCTGCTGCAGGTGCTCCACGTGCTGGCGGGTGACTTGCAGCTCACTCTCAGCCATGGCGAGCCGTCTGAGTTTCTGTAGGATGTTGTGGGAACCTGAGCAGGGCCCCTCTGCCACCAGCAGCTCCTTCTCTTGTATCCACAGCACCAGCCCCTCCACATCCTGCTTCCATTCCTGCCCGAACATAGCAGACAGTGGGTCTTCTGACCCTAGGGATCAGGTCTGGGGGGAGGACCTGCCTCCAGGGAGAGGAGTTGCTACAGGGACACCCTCCCCTGCCAACTATGAGAAAGAGGAGCTGGAGCTGATGGGGGGTGCACTAGGGGTGGGGTCTGAGTTCTCCTCAAGCCTGGAAGAGCACCAGGTACTCCTACCAGCTCCCTCACCCGCCCCCAAGGCGGGACCCTCACCTGGAGCTGGAGGGAAGCCAGTAGCTGCAGCCGCCTCTGCTCACTCCTCTCCTGGACCCTGGCCCACTGGGCCTGGACATTTTGCAGCTGTTCTCTGACCCTGCTTGGGAGGAGGGAAATGCAAAGGGGAAGGTGTCCCTCTGCCCCAAGGTCCAGTCCAGCCAGGGTAGCACCCCTTGCCCCTCCCCAAGCTGTTTCCTCTCTTATGGCAGCATTGATGCCAGCTGAGAAGGCCAGGGTTGCAGGGATGAACACGGGGGCCAGGTTCACCTGTGTGCAGCAGGCTGCAGGCTCTGACCCAGTTTCTTGCCACGGGCCTTCAGGGCCTCTGCCCGCAGGGCCAGGGTGTCCAGGAGCCACCCAAACTGCTGGTGCTGCTGCATGAGACTCTGAGCTGCCCTTAGGTCCTCCTGCAGGAATAGAGACCTGAGTCATGCCTGGCAGGATGGTGGTCAGCACCATCTCCCCCACCAGCCTGGCTCCCTACCCCGATGGTGTCCAGGTGCAGAAAGGCCTCATGATTGGCACAGGTGGCAGCAAAGCCATTCAGTTCTTGGCTGAACCTTTGTAGCTCCAGCCCTTCCTGCAGCCACTGCCATCTCTGCTCCCATGCAGCCTCCAGTTGCAGGCCATGTTGGCTCAGGAGTCTCAGGGTGCTGTCCACTTCCTGGGCCTCTGGAGAACCTGAAGCTGCCAGACCCTGGCCCCACACCTCCAGCCACTGCAGCCTGTCCAAGACCACAGGCAGAGGGTCAAACCCCACCAGGTTCCTCTCTTCTCCAGCTCTGATGTGAGGCAGGAGAGGTTGGTGACTAGATATCCTAGCTGGTTCCCTTGTTCTACAGGACCCTGAGAGGCAGTGTGTGAAAGGCCCAGCACAGTGCTTAGGACCCAAGAACAGCCAGGTTGCATTCTTGCTCCTTCTGGCCTTCTAGTAAATATACACTGGTCACTGTATGGGCAGATGGTGCAGCATGGTTTAGCATCACGTGAACCACAGATGCACCTGGCTGCAGCTCCCTTGGAACTCTCAGAAAAGGCATCCCCTTCAGCCACATGCCCCGTACGGCTACATCATTGTGTAAATGAGATGGAGCCTTCACTTCCTCCAAGCTACCAGAGCCCTGGGCCTGTTGCACTGAGAGGTGGTCACCTGAGCCATTGGATTCCGGAGACTATGGGTTCTGCATTAGCCAGAAGGGGGCAAGGATGGCTGGATGACCCTGCCGTGGCCAGAAGCAGTCATTGTGCTCAGCTAGGGGTGGGAGTAAGGATGGCCAGGCCTCCCCTGGGGAGTTGCCTGGCAGCTTAACATCCTGAGACTCCCACCAAGGTGTCCTGGACTGCCTGCTCCAGGCCCAGATCACAGCCCTCTTGTGTCCTGCCTTAAGCACTGAACAGGATACCCCAGTCTCTTAGAACCACTGCATTGCTTCCTGCCACCCTCTCTCTGGGTCCAGCCCTGAGCACACCCTGAGCACCCCCATGCCCCGACCTCTCCTGCTGCAGGCGGATCTCCTCCCGCAGGGCTCTGTGCTGCCTCAGCAGTCGCTGGGCTGAGGCCTCGTCTGCCAATTCCTCCTTGCAGCGTAGCTGAGCCTGCATGCTCTCCGCCCTCAGCAGCAGCTGTCGGCTCTCCTGCAGGAAGTTCTGTCGTGCGCCAACCTCAGCCTGGCCCCGGGCCTGTTGGGCCAGTTGCCCCTGCACTTGCTTCAGCAGCCTCTGCAGTACCTCCGTCACTTCCTGGTTCTCCTTCAGCCTGGGAGACAGGTCCCATGGCATGGTCAGTGGTCAGCCCAGGGCTGGGTCCCCAGGTGTATGTCTCTGCCAGGGGAAGGTGACGATGACCCCGAGGGCCACCCCTGTCCTTGAGCTAGGGGAATTCTGGACATGTGGTTCCTCTTTCCATGAGCATTTTCTCACTCTTCTGGTCTACCTCTGCCCAGGTCCTTGTCCACACATCCACCATTCTCAGTGTATCTTGGGTCTGCTCCCTTCCTCCCTGCATGACCTGCCCCAACCTCTGTCTTCACTGCTTCCTGGGGCACCAATACCAGGCTGCATGTGAGCCAGACCTGGTGGCCATGCTCTGCAAGTGGTGAACCCTCCTCTCCAGCCCTGGGAGCTCCTGCTGGGCCCGCTGCAGGGCATGACAGTTGTCCTCTGGGCTGCCAGCCTCCACTTGTAGCATCAAGCCTTGCAACTGGACTTGTAGAGGCCCGAGCTCCTGCAGGAAGCTGTGCACTTCCATGCCATGTGCCAATTCCCAGTCCTTCTCCTTCTTCAGGGACTCCAGCTGCTCCCACCTGGGCAGAGGGTACAGGGATTTCTTGGTGACAGGGGCCTCACAAAGGGAACAAAGCAGCTGGCCGGGCTCTCCCTGCTCCTTCCTCCATGGCTTGGTCATGTCCAGCCTCTCTTGGCTCTGCAGGCCAGCCAGACCCTCCCACTCATGCTCACCTCTGGCTCAGATCTTCCTGACGTTGCTGGATCTGAGTGGAGTTCTCAGGCCAGCTCTGCATCAGGCGTTGAGCCAAGCAGTTGAGCTCAGCACGGGGGCCCTTACCCACAGCCAGAACCGTGAGCAAGTTCTAGGGGACAGGAGAACCCAGGGCTCAGGGTGGGAGCGTCTTCCCTTCCTCCCACAGGCCCGCTGTTCCCAAGGTGCTTAGAGGCTTGCCTCTGCAAGACCCAGGAGGGCTAGGTGGCCTGGGGCTGAAGATGCCCTTGTGTCATATCATAGAACCTGTACTCCACACCCCAGCTCCAGCTCATTCCTCCAGCTCCTGCTATGGCGACCCTGGGAGGCAGGGGTGATATGCAAGTGACTGGTCCCTGCCACCTGCGTGGGAGACTCAGGTTGCATTCCTGTTTCAGTATGGCCCAGCACCAGCTGCTGCAGGCACATGGGGAGTGAACCGGCAGATGGAGCTCTCTTTCTCTCTCTCCCTCTCTCTCTCTTTCCTTCTGCCTCATACATAAAAAACCTTGAGGTCAGTCCCCTCCTGCCCGCCTCCCCCACATGGGGCCACAGTGTACCTTGTATTTGAGCTGTGTGGCTTCCCAGTTGTGGGCCTGGAGTTGTAGTGTGGACAACATGGCCACTTGCTTGTCCAGCCAGGCCTGGTGTTCCCCACACGAGCTGTAGAAGCTAAACAGGGCCACCGCCTCCTCCAGCCGGGCCCTGCGGCGCTGACGGGAGGCAGGAGGGGCTGGGTAAATGGCAGTGCCTCCCCCAGAGCGCTGAGAGCAGGTCCAACCAGGGCGCTCTTACCATTGCACCTCTTCCTACTCTCGTGCCATCCTCTTGGCACCCAGCAAAGAGCAGGCAAGAGTCTGTGCTTGCTTGGTCTTGCCAACCCCAGTGAAACACACGCTCTGGGGTTGGAGCTTGGCTTTGCCCAGCTGGGTCCCACCACCCCTGACCCCTATACTCCAGGCAGTGTGGCCTTTGATTCCTCCCCCAATCTCCCTCCTGTCCTAGCTTGGATTCTGGGGGCTCCAGGATTTGCATGCCCTCTGCTGTTTGCTCAAGTCTCAGCTTGAATTCTTGGGTCTTCCCTAACTCTGAGCCTGACCTGGGCTCCCCTCTCATGGGCTCATTTGCCTCACTTAACAGTTTGCCTGATATCTGCTGGCTGTGACAGAAGCTCCCCAAGGGCAGGGAGAAGGCCAGTCACTGGAGTTGAGTCCCAGGAGCCAGGGAGGTGCCTGTTGACCATTTCTCCAACAGACAGCGTTACCTCTGCCAGGGCCCTCAGGTCCTCATAGTCTTGGCTCAAGTGGTCCTGTGTCTGCAGTATGGTATTGGGGTCCAAGTGGAGGTCAGACTTGGCTGGGAGAGCTGTCTTCCAGGTAGCCCTGGGGTCAGGGTGGCAGGAAGCCTCCCCCAGCAGGTTCAGGGCAGGTGCCACCTGTGCAGACAAAGGACAGTGTGTCCACAGCTGCCCACCCCCTGGCAGTGGAAGCCTTGGCTGGGTGCTTTTGGCAGCTCTACCTGGGGCTCCTGCTCCATGACATAGCCGATGGGCACCTTGTCCTGGCAGCCTTCCTTGTTCCCCAGCATCCAGGTGTCCAGGGCCCGTCCCGGGAGCCAGGTGAAACATGTCCCTGTGGGAACATGGGCTCTGAACGCCACTCATCAGTGGGGACAGGAAGGGGGATCACATGGTGCCTCCCCAGGTCGAGCCCTGCACCAGCTAGAAGGACCAGGGCTGGGCCATCCCCCTGGGAGCTTCCGGTTCTCTGAGGACTACAGGCTCTGAGAGCCAGAGTAGGCAGGATGCTAACCAGAGATGTCCACAGACAAGCAGGTAAGTTGCAAAGCCAACAGAACAGGTGCCCAGGGCAAGGTGACCTGTGATTCTTGGAACAGTTACAAGGACAACATGGGGGCTCCAGGCTCCCTGCCAGAGGAGAAGCATTTGCAGAGGGATGGGGCAGGTGGCTATGGGTAGCTGAGAGAAGCTGAAAAGACAGGAGGCCTCTGGTGTAGGGGGCGGAGCCTCTGTCACTGGACAGAGGACAGAGGGCCGCTGCAGCTGAGGCTATTCAGGCACAGAAAAGAACCAGGAAGGAGAGTGTGGGTGAAGACCAGAGGCAGCAGCAGGATGAAGTGGGGAATTTCCTGCTGCACAAGGCCCAGCTGACTCTCTCCCCTATACTTTCGCCCCATGGCTGGAGCCTCTCCCCAGGACAGCCCAGTCTACGTCCGGGTAACACTAAGCTCCTCCTTCTACACAGCTCCCATTTGGGCTCCCCTGGAGATACACACAGAATACTTGGCTCCTTCGTTTGGCCCAGCTTGTTACAGCTGTCATTTGGGGTTCTGATCTTGCATCTCTATTGGCAAAGTGCCCTGAGACCTGAGGCATGAACGCTGGTTACCTGGCACTGTGATGGTTTTGGGGCTATCTTGGGGCATCCCGATCATATACCCAGCAACCCCTCTCCAGCCATCAGAGGTTTCTTCCTGCATGGGGAGAAGAGACCTTGTTGAGTTGACAAAGTGGCTCCCTATCCCCCAGCTAAGGGGAACCTCTGCACTCCACATCATGGCCAGTACCAGTTGGGGAGCAGAGGACAGAGGAGAAGGACATGGCACCTCAAATTCACTCTCTGAAAGCATAAGCTCCAACTGGAGAAGCAGGCTGCATAGGACACAAGCAGGGTCCAAGACACAGTGCTTCCTTAGGGGTGGGCAGAGCAGGGTCTAGGACACAGTGCTTCCTTAGGGATGCAGATTGGAGTTGGAGCAGTCAAGACTACAAGGGTTATCCACATGGGCTGTCAGCACTGTGAGCAGGGAATTAACTTGATGTGCCACCTGGCTGGCCCCATGCGAGCGCATTCCTAAACACTGGGAACTCAGGGATGGCGTGGTTCTGCAGGTTCAGTCTCCACTTGCCACATGTGCACTCCCATTACAGAGCGTGGTTTTAGTCCTGGCTACTTTACATTTCCCATCAAACTTCCTGGGCACATGAAGGCACAGGTGGTGGCCATGGGAGGCACCTGGGAGGCACAGGTGATGGTCATGTGCTTGGGTCTCTGCTATCCTTGTGGGAGACCTGGGTGGAGCGCCTAGCTCCTGGCTTCAGCCTGGCCTGTTGGAGAGGGGGCATTTGGGAGAGTGAACCAGCAGATAGAAAAACCTCTATCTCTCCTTCTATGACTCTGACTTTAAAAGTAATCAAATATTAAACACAATAAAATAAAAACCGGGGATCAAGGAACTGAGAGAGGGGCTTTTGACCCCACAGGGGATGAGCTGGAAATAAGCCCAAAGGAATAAGGAGAAGCATCACCCAGGCTTCGTGGGGCACTTGAGGGGGACTATGCTGCAGGAACCTGCTTAGCACTCCTCAACTGCGAGGCAGAGGGAGCCCAGGTGTTTCTGGAGGTTTTTGACTTGTGCGGGGACCCAAGAGCCAGGTGAGACGCGGCTGCATACTGAGAAAGCATGCAAACGTCCACGGGGAAGCCCCAGAGACCCTTCCACTTGTGCCCTCTCTGGGGCCTATTGGCGAGGCAGCTGGTACCCTCCCTGTCCCTGCTCCCACCGTGTGTGGCGCCCGGGCCGCGGCCGCCCGCGCCTGCTCTTCCAGCTGTTGCAGCTCGGCTGCGAAGGCGTGCACGGAGCGCTCCAGCTGCAGGTGGCGCCGCAGCAAGCCGTCGGCGGCCGCCTGGTCTTCCCCGCAGAATGCGCTCTCTACCGCCAACCGCTGCTCCCGGAGCCATGCCGCCGCCTCCACAGCGTCCGCCAAGTACTGCGGGGCGGGGAGGGACGAGGGCGGTGCTGAATGGGACCCGGGACATGGAGCCTCACCCGCAGCTTCCCTCCTCCCTACCTGAGCCGCCAGCAAGGCCGCCTGCAGCCGCGCGCCCTGCCGGGAGCACCGGGCCCGCAGCAGCTGCACCGAGCCCTGCACCGCCTCTGCTCGTTCCCGGGGGTCCAGCTGCATTGGAGGCCCGCGGGCAGCGAGGTCGCGTCCTCGCTGCACTAGATCCGAGCATATGGCTTGGTGGTGGCGGAGAGCGGCTTCCAGGGCCTGATGGAGGGGATGGAAAAGGGAAGCGACTGGGGCCGGAGAGCAGCGTGGCGTGCTGGAGGCAAGGATGGGGGAGCGCGAGGGGAGCAGGCAGGCACCTTGTGTTTCCGAATGGCACTTGCGATCCGGAGGGGATCCCGGCCCAGGGCCTCGATGTCCCCCTGCCGCCCGTGCTCCTCCAGCCAGACCTCCTCTTCCTCACAGTCGCGCAAGAACTGGGCTCGCTGCAGGGTCTGCTTCAGCAGTACCCGCCTGAGGGACAGATAGCGAGAGCCACTGAGGGTCCTGGGGCATGAAGTGTGGGGGAGGGCCAGCCACACCAGGGTCAGGCTTTCCCCTTAGTTCATTTCCCTGGTGAGATAGAGAGGCCTGGGGCTAACGGATGATTTGGGCAAGGGCTACCTGCTGGAGGAGGTAGGATTAGGGGTAACTTACCGGGCCCTGACAACAGACATGAGGCTCTCCTGGAGCTGTGCCAGTGCCCTGGCCTTGGCCTGTAAAGTTTCTACTCCGTCGCCCAGGGAGGGATCCAGCCTTGTGGTCCGGTACACCAGATGGCTCACTTGGGCTCCCAGTTCTTCCCCCTGGGCTTCTAGCAGTTCTTGCCTCTGCAGCAACTCCATGACCTCAGCCAGCTGCTGCCCGCAGGCCTGGGAGCTGGCTGACACCTAGGCAGAGTTGAGAGTCATTGTTGTCCTTGTGGGCACTGGCACTGGGGAAAGTGCCTGCTCCTCTATGTTCCCCGGAGGGCGGCTGCTCCAGCGCCCACCTGCAGCTCCTGCAGCTGGTCCAAGGTGGCCTCCACCTCCCGCAGCAGGCTCAGGACGGTCTGTGTGCCCACCACCTGCCTCCTCTGCCTGTGTACAGCCTGGACAAGGCCCTGCCAGCGCCGGGTGATCTCCTGTTGCCTGGAAGACACAGGATGCCGGAATTGCTTCAAGTTCCTCCCAGGGTGTGTCTGCCCCCTGTCTGGAGAGTGTGTGTGTGGTTGTGAACATCCTGGCAGAGTGATGTATCCTGCCCCCTGGGCCCTGGAAGGAAAGCCAGAAGGAGGGACTGGTAGGTTCAGGCTACCAGCCCCCCTCACCCTTCTTCCCAGTTCCCATCTGTCCTTCCAGAGACCCAGAGTAAAATCTTGGTACTGCAGTTGCTCACCCTGACATCTAATCTGTCTGCAAATCCTGCTGGCTACTTTCACAGTGTTACCTGGAATCCCTCCTCTTCCCTCCCTCCCGCTCCCCTCCCAGATTATTGCTGTGGCTTTGTTACTGATTGTTCTTCTGCCCCTGGATCTGTTCCCAAGAGGCAGCGAATGAGCATCACAAAACAGCAATCACATGCTGTCACTCCTCAAGCCCTCCCCGATTCTCCATTTTTCTGTGAGTAAACACCAAGTCTTGGTTCAGGGAGTTGGTCTGTTTGTAAGCCACAGGTTGGTTTGTCGGCATCGCAGGTTGAGCTCCCAAGGCATGTACCCTGGGAGGCAGCAGTGACGGCGCCAGGGACTAGGACCCTTCTACCACCTGGGAGACTGCCTAGCTTTGGCTTGGCTCATTTAGCTCCAATCTTGGCTTCTCTGTCGTTTTTCAAACTTGCCAGGCCTGTGCCCATTGTGGGGCATTATCCTCACCATGGCCCCAGCTAAGACCCTCTGCCCTCTGCAGCTGTATGGCTGGCCCCTCTCTTCTCTCCAGATTCGGTGCAAAAGTCAATTTTCCAGAGAGTCTCCTCTGTCATCTAGTCTTTACCTGCTCCTCTCCCTCATCTTGGCCTCTCATAGTCCCCATCCTGATTTATTACTTAAAGTGTTTGTTTCTTTTCATCTATTTGAAATGCAGTCACAAAGAAAGAAAAAGGAGAGAGAGAGACAGAGAGGGAGAGAGAGATCTTTCAGTTGCTGGTTTATTCCCCCAAATGCCCATAAATAGCCTGGGCTGGCCCAGGCTGAAGCCAGGAGCTCCAACCTGAACTTCAACACAGATGGCAGAGACCCAAGCCCCTGAGCCATCACCTGCCTCTTAGGTAGGGTAGCCTGGATTGTGTTTTTTCAGGCACCAAGCTAGATGGAATTAGAGCAGCCAGGACTTAACTGGCATTGGGATAGGAGATGCAGGCAAGCAGGGGCTATGGTGCCTACCTCTTCTCTTCTGTTTTTTTTTTTCCTCCTCACATGCTCTATTTTTCTTATTTCTCTTTTTTTCCAAGGAGTGGGTAAGCTTCATTAAGGAAATTTTGTGTACCCTCTTTCCTGCTAACTCTCCAGCACCAAGGACAAAGCATAGAACGTAACAGGAGCTCAATAAACATCTGTTTAGTGGGTGAATTATCAAGTGGGCTACCTACAAAGAACAATGCTTCATCCAGAAAGATGGTGGCAGCATCCTACGCTCCAGTGGGAGATAAAGAAAACCTTGAACCCATACACCACCCGTGTTTTCCATAGTCAGGACTGGGGGTGCAGGAGGAAGGCCTTGGCCTGTGGTGAGGATGGTTTCCAGGCCTTGGGCTCACCTGTGGACCACATCTGCCAAGGAGGAGTACTGCTCCTGCCGGAGGACATCTGTGAGCTCTGCCAGGGCCTGGAAGCGCCCTTCCTGGGCCAGGATGTCAGCCTCCAGCATACCCAACCTCTGGGTGGCCACCTCCACTGTGGCTGGGCTGGCCAGTGGCACTCCAGCCTGCTCCAGTGCCTGTTCCGCCTCCTGCAGAAAGCTCTCCCTCAGGGCCGCCTTGTGCTGGAAGTGCCGGGCCAGCATGTCCAGACGCTCCAGCCGCAGGAGCCTCTGCTGCAAGGCCTGGCTCCCAGCAGCCTCGGCCCTCTCTAGCCCAGCCCAGCGCCAGGCCAGATCTGCAGTGGCCAGGCCCTCAGGGGGCATGAAGGGTCTGCGGTTCTGGGCCCGAAGTGTTGTCTGCAGCTGGAAGAGTAGAGCCTCCAGGGCCCCTCGCTGCTGCAGCCGAGGTGGCTTCTCCTGGCTGCGGAAGGAGGCAAAGGTTGCCAGGTGCTGTCGCAGGGCAGGCAGCGAGTCTGGCAGCTCAGGTGCCTCCAGCTGTTCCTGCTGCTGGATGATCCAGCACAGCAGGTCAGTTGCCTGCTGCTCATACCGGATCTGCAATGCCTCTGTCTCCTGGAGCTGGAGCAGGACCTGGGTGGGGGAGGAAGGGGCACAGGGCGGACAGCAGCTCCAGGCAGGTCCTTTTGGTCACTGGGTGCCAGCTGGATTTGCCCTGATGGGCAGTATCCCTGTTCCTCAGAAAGGATGCACTAAAGGGGTGAGGGGTAGTCAGTCCCTAGAGAAGGAGATGTGCTTCCATTGCTCACTCAGACCCGGGAGTGTGGGGACCACTTGTCCCTGCCATCCTTCCTCTCAGGCTACCCCATTTGGCCTCACTCCTTTGCTCCCCGCCCTTGGCCAAGGCACTCACCCTGCCCATAGTCCTCCCAGGTCATAGCCTCTGCCATCATTCCCAAAGAGTAAGGGAGCCCCCCAGGAGCATGGAGCCTGCAGAGCCCCCCTCAGCAGTGCCTGTTGTAGGTGCCTGTTTTTGCAGTTCCTGGCCCTGTAAGCCTTTTCATCCCATTAGGAACTTAGCAACTTGCGAGCAAAGCAGTGAGGTGGGGGGCAGTGAGGAGGAGCCACTGCTAGGCATGGAGGCCAGTGCTGGGCCAGGCTCTGTAGTTATGCCCTCCTGGATACCTGTAGCATTGTCTCCTTCATATGCCAAGTGGAACACAGGGAAGCTAGGTCGTGTGGCTAGGAAGGGGCAGGTTCTACCTTGGACTGTCTGGCCTGGGAGCCCCTTTCTACTCCTGCCTGTCCCCAAGGCTGTACCACTTAGGGTTGGTTGGCCTTGCCTGGCCACTAACCTTGGTGAGCCTCCTGTAGACAGTGTGGCCACGTTGCAGGTGGGAGAAGTGATGGTGGTAGAGAGAGACATATGTCATGATGGAGCACTCATCTGGCTGTGGGCCTGCCACATCCTCAGGGTCCAGCAGCTGCGTGATGCCTAGTTCACACTCAGCCACATGAAACACCAGGGTGAGGTTGTGCAGTGGATGGTCTGGGCGCAATGAGTGGTAGTCCAGCAGGTCTGGCCTGGACAGACAGAGGGAAGACATGGGCTGAAGGTACGGCTTTGGGTGAAGTAAACTCCAGTTAGCACTTAGTAGACACCCTGGCTGAGGGGACAGGACCCTAGAGTGGGGGAGGGTTGAGAAAGAGAGCAGGATTAATCCTACACTGGGTTTGGGGTTGAGAAGACAGTTCCAAGAGCAAGTGCTTCTGGGGAGAAGAGTGAGAAAAAAACCAGGGCACAGATGGTGGGGAAGGGGTGGGCAAAGGCAGATGCTGCTGGCTGCATGGCATTTCCTAGGGAAGACTGTGGGGCTGATGTAGCCCAAGGGCTCTGTTCCACTCGCCCTCCTCCCCCAGGTTGCTCACAAGTGAGCGTGGATGAGGGCCCCAAAGGCCAGCCCATCATTCCAGCTGCGGGAGAAGTCAGTGATGTGCACGTTGGCGTAGGCAGCTGTCTTCCGTTGGCACCACAACAGCAGGGCTTCCTTAGCAGACAGCAGGGCTGCACTGGCTCCAAACTCCTCCTGGCAGGACGGGGCAGCAGGGTCAGTGTGTGGGGTCAGGGACTGAGGGTGGACAGCTGAGCCTGCAGGCTGGAGGTGCCTCATCCTCACGCACTGCAGCACGGCGATTCCCACATCCCACACCCTCCTCCACCCCAGTGCCTCTGATCTTAACCCCACTTCATCTGGCAAGGGTGAGGAAGGAGTAGACCCAGAGGAATCAGCCATGGGCCCAGGCCCTCTGCCCTTTGCCCAGCAGCTGGTGACCCTGACAGTAACAGTTGCTGACCCTGATCCCGCCCCATGGGCAAAGCACTGTTAATCAACCTCAGGCATCGTGGAACATGGGTGCCCTCCCTGCACCCCCTCTCTCCAGCCCTGCATTAGACCTGGCCACAGCCATGGCACTGCTAGGCAGGCACTGTCAGTATACCTGCCATAGGTTACGGAGCAGACGTAGGAAGAATAGGAAGACAATGAGCAGAGGGGCTGGCCTGGACCCAGCAACCTTGAACTCAGCCCCTGACCTTCCATGCTTCATGTCCAACCTCTGGGACTGCCTTGGGCTGAGAAATGACTCTGCCAGCTCTGGGTTCAGTCCCTGCCACCCTGCCCCATTCCCCAGGGAGGATTCTCCATCTCTCTTCCCCTTGCAGGCTTCCTTCCTTCCTCCGTGTTTCCAGGCTGTGTCCCTCCTGCTGTCCCCTCCGTCCCTCCCTGCAGACCATCAAAGTCAGCAAGGAGAACCTGCTGTTCCAAAGAATGAGGGCTGCAGGAGGCAGCTGGCACTGGCTCCTGGGCCTGGGAGCTGACAGCAGCCATTAGGAAGGGCTCAAGGCCAACTGGCAACTCATTCATTCTTTCTTTCCCTGAACAGCAGCCCTGGGGCACAGGCAGACACGGCCCTGCTCCTGGGACTCAGGTGACACTTTGAGTTTCAAGGGACCCCATTGCACTTGTGTCCTCGGGGCACAGGCAGACATGGCCCTGCTCCTGGGGCTCAGGTGACACCTTGAGTTTCAAGGAAGCCCATTGCACTTGTGTCCTCCTGGCTGTCCTAACATCCTGGGATGGGGTTTTAGGAGGCATCTGGGGAATATGAAAATCAGCCAATGTGTAGGCCTCGTGTTAACATGCTTTCGGATCCAGGTATGGGAAAAGACAGGGAACACAAGAGAACCCTATTTTGGTCTGCAGGGCCCTAGGGGCTCTGTCAGCTGCCTCCACCAGCAGGTTGTGGAGTGAACAAGGGAAGTGACATGAAGGGGTGAGAGTGAGCACTGGGCTGTCAGTCCCACCCCTCCCCTGGGCTCCAGCCAGGTCTGAGCCCCCATCCTGGTCCTGGCTTCCACACAGGACATTTCTCTGATGCCCATGGTGAGAACTGAACATGAATCTGTAGAAGGCCAGGCTCTGCTGCTCTGTCCCCAGGGGTCCCAGGTGAGGCCAGGGCTGTGGAGGGGTAGGGTGGAGGTGGGGTAGAGGAGACACACCCGGCCCAGGGAGATGTGGGCGATCTGGAAACGCAGGATGATGACCCAGAGGAGTCCCAGGACAAGAGTCTGATCTCCGTCCACGATGTTCTCCGGCCCGATGAGGGGTACCGACACCTGTGGGGACAACAGCCTGGGCTGGGTGTGGACCCTCATGCCAGAGAGGGTGCAGAGGGACTGGAAGGCCCAGGTAGAGAAATCCTGGTTGCAGGATTGGTGGGGGAGCAGTGGGAATCACACAAACAAGGCTCGGCTGGGGAGGAGCTGGTTTTCCTGGTTTTCCAGATGTGGTGGTGGCAGAGAACCTGGCCATGCTCAGCAGGCCAGCTGTGGCAGACAGAAATGCAGGGTCATGGCCGTCCTTAAGAGGCAGAAGATCATAAATACCCACCTCCAGCTCCCGGCACCTCAGGGGGAACTGGGCCCTGCTCCCCCCTGAATCTAGGTCTCCCCCAGATGCTCAGTGCTTCCTATATATCGACTCAAATGTTGCTCTCTCAATGAGGCCTCTGCCCAATCATCTTATTACAAGCAGAACCAGAGAGGTGGTGTTGTAGTGGGGTGTCCTGGCTGTTCCAATTTTGAGCCAGTTTCTTGGCAGATGGGAGGTCCAAGTGCTTGGGCTCCTGCCACTCATGTGGCTTTGGCTTCATACAGTCCTGGCCATAGCAGCCATTTGGATAATGAACCATAGGTGGAATTTTACTCTCTACCTCTCTATCTTACAAATAAATACAATCTTTAAAAAAAATGGGAACCCAAGGACTATGCCCCCCCCTTCTCTGCTGGGGACCTTGGTTTTATGCTTATCTTACAAAGTGTCTGGTCATGGCAGGTTAATATTGAGGAGATATTAAGGGATGGGGGAAGGGAGGAGGCTCCCATAGGACCTGTAGGGCATCCGGTTTGGGCTACCTGACAGCCCTGAGGGCAGCAGGGCAGCCAAAGGAGGCAAATCCCTCGGGGTACTTGCTGTTTCTCTGGGTGGTCTCAAAAGGGGTCCACCCTGTACATTCCTCCTCTCTCTCACATGGGGGTCCCTGCTGCCACCTCTGCAGTATGGAGACGGGCATCTGGGTGGTGTGGGGGAGGGAAACTTGAGTCTCCTAACATCCCTATATTATAGCATCACGATGGCGGCTTGAACTTGGCCATGAGGGGAGGGATACAGCTGTGGCTGTAAGCCAATTCTGCATATTAGAGCTGCTATTGCCCCTGGAGAGGTGGTTGTTAGAAGTGGCCAGCACAGTGCTGGACTGGGTTTAGCCATGCCTTCTGTGTAAGTCCCAGGCTGCCTGAGGTCAGGCTCAAGGCGCAACACTGGAGCAGAATGCCTGATGCATACTCAGCTCCCAGAACAAAGCTTCTGTCAGGGGTGGCTCAGCCTGGCCCCAGAACAGTCACCTCCAGGCTTCAGCACTGGAGGCCATGAGTCCCTGGTCTATACCACTCCTGTCCCCTTGGCACCAGTGATGGCTGCACTGCTTTCCAACCCTGGCCTTGAGACCTGGGAGTGCCCCACCTGCGTTCAGTGACCATCTCTTTGGCTTGCTGCCTCCTTCCCGGCTGCCTGGCTCAGGGTCCAGGCTAGGGCATTTCCTCCAGGCTTGGCTGGGAAAGGATTTTAGAAAGAAACAGGAGACACTGAGGTGTCTCCAGCCCAGAGTCCTGCGGTTCTTTCAATGGCACTGCCAATCCCCATCAATGGTGACCATTCTGGGATAGACCTACTGGGTGCTAAGTCAGGAGTGCCATGCAATGAGAGAGCCCTGCTTCCCACTGTCCTCCCAAATCCAAGTCCGGCCCCAGGTCCTGGGCTCTACCCAGGAGAGCCGCTGCTGCAGTCCAGCCTGTCCAGGCTGCCCAGCCCATGGCCTAGAGCCCACCTTAGCCCTGAGGAAGGCCAGAGCCCGGTTGTTGTTCTCCAGGTAGTGCACACGCAGGCGGCCCCGGCTTGGCGGCGGGAGGGCTTCCCCAGAAATGAGCTCCAGCAGCCTTAGGAGGTAGGTGCCAGTGGCCAGATCAGCATACAGGTTCTGGATCTGGATGCCCACCTGAGGTGGGATGGGAGGATAGGCAAGGTTCAGAGTCAGGCCAGGTTTGTCCCCCGCCCCCAACCTCCTTCCAAGTCCTAGGACCTGGGAGATGCAGGGAGGAAGGAGCCTGGTGTGGCAGCCCAACTCACCCGGGCATGCCGGAAGATGTTATTGATCCACTTGGTGAAGGTCTTCTCCTGCATCTGTGTGTGCCGTGCCTGCAGCTGGCGGACGAGGCCCATCTCATACTCGGAGGCCATGACCACATCTGCAGAGGCCAGGACCTGGAGCTCAGGGGCTGGACCTCCTGTAACAGGTGCCCTAAGACCCTGAGGAGTTGCATGGTGTCAGGGGCAGGAGGAAGTAGCCCTTTGTCCCCAAAGGGGATCCTAGAGATATTGGGAATACTGGTAACCCTTCTGCCTGGGGGCCCTGCTTGGCTTGTGACTTGAGACCTGCCTATCTAGGGCTAGTACACTGCACTTGAACTGCCCGGGGCACCTGTGCTCCACCCCTCCCCTGAATCATGTTTGTCATGAGCCCTGCTGCTAGACTCTCGCCACAGGGACTGGCTGCTGCTGCTTGGGCTTACCAGGGCAGATGGGATGGCTCACCTGGGTGACGGCAGGTCCTGGGGATGAGGCCCTGGTGGCTGAAGAGTAGACAGCAAGGGCTGGGCAAGGAATGATTCAGCAAGAGCGGCTGCGGCTGGCGCTGAGGCCACATCACAGCCCCCGGAGCCGCCGTTCTGGGGTGACTGCACACAAGCAGCATTGTCCTCCCACCTGCTGCTGGGCGTGGCCCAGACTGGGAGGAGGTGGCTCAGGAATGCTCAGGCCCTGCAGCTAGAAGGTTCTCTTCCTTCTCCCACCTTAGCCCACTGCTGTGACACCCGAGGGTCCTGCTGCGGGATGCAGAGGCCCCAGGATGGCCTTGTGGATTCTGGTGGGAGCATCATGGTGGAGCACAGTCTGGGTTGGGTGGGCTAGTCTGGGATGGCCTCTGCACCCCACAGGAAACTCTATGTGTGTGTCCTCAGGTTGGGGATGGGAGGAGGCGCTGGCAATGCTCTATACCCACCCTGGGAACAGTGTACACAGGCACTTGTCACACTCTGGGTGGGCTTGGTTTTCTGAGCCTTGGTAGTGCTGGCCTGATGAGCAAGGATGCCCTTGAGCCCATGAGGTGGCTGTTCCTAGGCAGGTGTGTGTGTGTGGGGGGGACCAGGGGTAGCCAAGACAGAAAGGTGTCACGTTGTGTTTCCAGGGTCCCAGGAAACTGGCTGTGGGCAATGCCTGGGTTTGGGTATGCACAGGGGACCAACGGGCTCTTGACCCTCCCTCCAAGGCCACCTGTGTGCCGGTGGGAAAGCTAGTCTAGAGGTATCACAGTAGTCTCTTGCTAGATTCAGGCCTGTAGGCTCTGGCGTGGGCTGTATGATATAAGTCACACATGGGGCAGCCTGGGTCTCTGCAAGCAGAGTCCACATTCCCTGGGGCTGTCACTGGTGGCCACAATGATGAGAGCTGGGCTGGGGGTGAATTGCACTTGGACTTCAGTTGGGGCCTGAGGCAGGGAGGGAGGGGTGGTGCTGAAGGGGGCAGGACCCCAGGGTGTGCCTAAGAGGAGCTCCCCCACCTAGCTCCACTGTCCGTCCACGAAGGTTCCCCCACCCCTGGCTGGCTTTCGGGCACTTCACATGACCGAGAGGTTTCCTCATCTACAGAACTGCATGCAGCCCTCCCCAGGGGCTGATGCCACGGTGCCTCCCAGCACTGCACCTGTCCTGCCTCCTACCACGGCTGTAGCGAGTCCATTGTCTATGTGGCCGGGGTACGACTAAGGGAGTTCTGTTTAATTCAGATCCAGGGAACTGGCTAGAAGTAGGCCTCACAGGAAGAAGGAATCTGACCACCAAGCCTAATTACCCAGGCCCTCCAGCTCACTAACCAGGCTCCCGGGACGGGGCTGGGAGCTGTACTCTTCCCTGTTTCCGTCATCCTCCCTTAAAACCCTGCTTTGGTCAGGAAATCCTTCCTGACCTCCTTCGCCCAGACAAAAGTGAGCCATATCCCTTGGCCCATGCACCTCATGCGACTCTTGAGCACCAGGGGCCAGCCAAGTTGCGTGGTGTTCCCCACACAGAGGTGGTTGCTCACACAGATGCTGGGTGGGGCTGGGCGACTGCCTTTTCTATTCCCTAACTCAGACACAATCAAAGCCTCTGCATGTTTGTTGTGGACCTGTCCCTCCCTGGCTGTGGCTCAACCAACCCCGAGATGAGAGCTCAGTCAAAGTAAGCTGCGCTGCAAGTAACTGCACCTGATAGTTGAACTGGTGTGAACACTAAAAAGGAAACATATTGGCTTGTGTTGACTAGAAAAAAAATAGTTTGGAAAAGAAAAACAAACATTTAGCAGTAATGGGACTTCAGGTGAAGTTTGCTCCAGCAGCCAAACCAGAGGGAGCCAGGCCTGGGTTCCCTCCTGCCCACAACAGCTCCTCTTTTAATGCCATTGACACTGATGCATCAAAACGTTCACTTTTTTGCACTCAATATGCCCCAGGAGTTGGAACAGACATCTGTGGGGCCTGGCTTCTAGTGCTAGAATTACCTACAGGTGTTTTTGAACCAATGCATGGTGGTGTGGGAGGGGGGGGATGCACTCGCTCTGAGAAGTGGGCTGAGGTCTGCTGTGGCTTAGAGGGTGGGATGAGAGGAGTACTCTCTAGCCAAATTCCAGGTCCAAATCCCTGACAGGGTAAGTAGGTGCTGGCAGGAAAGACCCAGGTGTCTACTCCACGTGATGGACACTGGCAAGGCCAGAAGCAGGTAACCAGGGCCCACCCTGGCACAACCGTGCTTGCAGCTGTAGGGTCCCACCTTTTGGCTGGGAAAAGGTCCAGGAGGCAGGCCCACACCCCCCAGTGCCTCCAGGCTTAGCGCCCTCCAGCAGCCCCTCCTGTCTTGGCTCTCAGCCATCACTACAGCCTATTCCATTCCTGGATTTTTTGCTGTCCCCCTTTCCCCCATGGGGTAGAACCAGCCTCCCTGATGGAGGTCAATCAGAAGCAGCAAGCTCTGATTCAGCCCCTCTGCTTCACTAGGAAATGCACGCCCAGGGCCCACAGACGACGGGACTCAATGCTTGAAAACCAGAGTCAACAGGAGGCAGGAGGGTGGGGATTTTCTTATAAGTTTATTGATCAGTTGCCTGTGGGATTTTTTCTTTGACACTTCTAAATAGGATTATAAAAAAGAAAAGAGTGGAAGCATGTGTGTTAATTGCACCGGTTAATTGCCACGCAACCCGACACTCTGCCATCAGGACCCGTGTCTGAGTGTTCAGTGGTTCTTGGTCCTGGAATTGTCCTTCTGCTCCAATCTAAATCTGGGGGGTGAGGGTGGGGCAGGCAACTGTAGCAGGCCCTCCCATCTGCATGGCAGCTTGTCTGTGTCCCTAGTGTCACTCTGGGCACCAAGGGATGCCTATGGAAAGGGGCTCGGCAGAGAACTGAGGCCAGCACTGGACACACCAAGTCCCAGGAAGTGAGCAGCTGTCCCCCCAAGGTTGTGGCTGGGTTGGTTGTGTCTGTGGCAGGGCGACACAGGAAATACCAGTCAATTGGAAGGACAGGTTTCTGTATAGATGGCTTCTGTATAGATGACCTTGCCAGCGGCCTCATAGCTGGCAGGATGACCCCAAAACAGTAAGGGCTGCACAGTGTAAACGGAGGTCCAGAGATGGTGGCGTCAAGGACAGAACTGGATATTTCTGGAGCCCAGGGGTCTTCCACTCTGTCTCCTGTAGGGCCACCCCTCCTGGGAGGGCAATCACAGGGCGAGTGACTTGATGATAGAGACCAGGATATGAAGTGGCCACGTCTGGGCTCTAATTTTCCCCCAGGAACATCCCTGGGTCCCAGCAGGGAATGCTGTTTGAGACAAGTCTTCCCAGGCAGAAGCAGCACATGGCAGGCCTGCTGGGCAGCCTGACGCTGGCCGTCTCTACCTGTGTACCCATGCATCACCTTAGCACACATACATCCATATGACACAGGCATGTGTGTCCACCTGCACTCCACTGGGACAGATGGACCAATGTAAAGAAGCAAGGTTATTCTGAACAGGAGGACAGAGGCAGGGCAGCCATGAGCTCTTGGACACAAGACTCCCAGCCTGCCCTTGCAGCCTAAAAATGGGCTTCATGCACTCCAGAAGTCCTGGACTTGCCTGGCAGGACAGGAATTGCAAACTGCTTCCCCCATGAGTCTACTGAAAAGTGCTAAGCCTGCAAACCACATGAGGCACTTGCTGTTCTCACAACACGGTTATGCAAGAAGGCAAGCTGGGGGAGCTAGGGGTGGGGGTGGCATTGGAGCAAGCACTTGCCTCAGACCATGTCTGGAATTGAGGTCACCAGAAAAGTAGTTATGAGGTTTGGGGAAGGCTCAGAGGAGTGGTGGTGTTTTCCAGGGCCAGTGAGCTCCTGGCACGTGCCACTCCCTGCTCCTCTGGCCCTCTCTCTTATTGCATAAATAATGTGGTAGGCACCTGTGGTCCCCTGAGGCAGGTGAGTGAAGGGGTGGTCCTGAGAGGTCTGTAGGGGGACTCAGCCATCACTCCACAGCCAGGCTGCAGGGATGAGGAGGGCACGAGTGGGACAGCCTGCAGCTGGGAGGCTTCATAATAAAGATTCCCTTTCATTTCTGTATAAAGGCTTTTATCTTGTAAGGAAAACAAACCACAAATCCCCCATATTTACTAAAAATGCGTTTTCTACCAGGACAGCAGGGAACTGCAGCAGAGCGATCCCTCCATCTCCAGCCACCTTGGTGTCCACAGGGCCGAGGACAGCAAGTGTACTCAGCCTGGGGACACCGAGTGTTGGGGGCCACCCTGCTGGATGACCAGGATTCCTCCTCCTGCTCTTGCTGCAGGGTGGGTCCTACTTCCTGCACTTGCCAGCCAGGCAAGCTGAGCCTCAGATCTCACTGGGATCCCAAGTGCAATCGAGAACTCTTGCCAAGGGCCAAGGGGAGAGTCCTCCCCAAACACAGCTCTGTAGGGAGAGCCTGGGAGGATGGGTGGGGGTAGGGGACAGTGGCAGAAGGTGGGCGGAGGTGCCCTGCTAGCATGGCCTAGGTGCCCTTCAGCCCAGGTGCAGCCTCTGGCCATGCCAGGGGCCTCTGCCACCTTCTCTTTGGTAGTCTGGAGATAGCAGGACTTCCCTGCTGTTTTTCTCACTACCCTGCCACATGGCAAACCCAATAAATATGATAGCTGAGGCCCCCCACCCCCTGCCAATGACGAGCTGTCCCTGAAGCCCCACAGGTGTGGCCAGCCCCAGCTCCCTCCCCGCCACTGGTCCCTGACTCCACGTTTCTCCAGGACTCTGGGTCGTCTTTGGGCAATTTTGCTTCCTTCTTTACCCTCCGGTCTCTGCTCCCTCTACTGAGTTCATGGCAAGTCAGGGAGTTTCAGAGGGGAGAGGATCTCTGCCTGGCTTCCTCATTCTACATGTGGGGAGACTAGAACACAGAGAGAAAGCATTGTGTGTCCCTGGGCAAAGTCAGTGGCAGAGCAGGCCTCACGCCTGGCAACCCTCACCCACCCATTCCCATCCCACACCGCCCTCCCCTGCTGTACACTCTCCCTCCTGTTCTTCAGTCGGCCTTGGGCAGGGACTTCCTGTGTGAGGGGGGCACAAGGTGTGGTGGCAGGATGCTGGGCAGCTCATAGCCGTCGAGTTTGATCTTGATGAGGTGCTTGGCCAGCGCGAACTCCTCCTCGTCCAGCATGCCATCACAGTCGCAGTCAGCCAGCTTCCAGATCTTGCCCAAGACGCTGTTGGGCAGCTTGGAGGTCACCATCTCCTTCTTGGCATTGACGCCTGTGATCTTGCCATTGATGGGCGACAGGGTGTAGAAGAGCTCATCATACACGGGTTTGTCCTTGGCCACCACCCATTCCTCCTCGTCAGCACCCTCCTTGGCACCTTCGCCATAGCCCTGGTTGAAGGGGCCCTCGGCGGTGCCGTCGAAAGCACCACCTTGCACCATCTGTGTGGGCGCGCTCGTCTCCTCCTGGCTGATGAGGCTCATCAGAGATGAGATCTTGTTGCTCAGCATGTTGTCCACTGCCTCAATCAGCTTGGGCTTCAGCGAGTGGAACTTGGTGAAGTCGTAGTTCTCCAGCTGTTCCTGTGGTGGGTGGAGGGGACAGACCACAGACTGGGTGACTTGGCACTCTCTCTTTGGGAAGAGGGGCTCCTGGGAGGTGGGGGTGGCTCTCCCAGCACCCCCAGTTACTCTGGCGGATGAGATGGATTTCTAATCTAAAGTAGTGATCTCTGCAGGTGGCCATGTGAGTGACAATGGCCCCTTGGCTGAGAAATGCCTCTTTTGCTCGGCTCCAGGAAATCAGTTTGAATTTTTGCAAGTCATTGTGACACACTTCAGTTGACTGATGCTTAACAATCCTAGGAGTGTGTGGGGGGCAGTCAGGGCAAGTGAGCCTGTTTATGAGAGCCACATCAAGACTGAGTCTGTATTTCCTGAGACTATGTTTTTATTTCATGTTAATTTTTTTTTAAAGATTTATTTTTATTGGAAAGGCAGATATACAGAGAGGAGAAGAGGAAGAGAGGAAGATCCGTCCGATGATTCACTCCCCAAGCGACCCCAACGGCTGGAGCTAAGCCAATCCGAAGCCAGGAGCCTATTCCAACTCTCCCATGTGGGTGCAGGGTCCCAAGGCTTTGGGCTGTCCTTGACAGCTCTCCCAGGCCACAAGCAGGGAGCTGGATGGGAAGCGGGCCACCGGGATTAGAACCAGTGCTCATATGGTATCCTGGTGGTTTCAAGCTGAGGACTTTAGCTGTTATGCTATCGCGGTGGGCCCTATTTCATGTTAATTCGGATTGACACATCAAGACACACGTTTCTGTGCTACAATGTGATGTTTTGCTTTAAGAATATATTTGCAATGATCAAATCAGAGAGATGGACCTGTCCATCACTTCAAACATTTAGCATTTCTTTGTGGCAGGGACATTGAAATCCTCTCTTCTAGTTGCTTTGAAATACACAACACATTATTGTGAACTGGGGTTGCCTAGCTGTGCAACGCAGCACCAGAACTCGCTCCACCTGTGGCTGGCACTGCAGACCCAGCCTTGCCTATCTCGGGTCTCTGGAGGTACTCATGCACACTGGGACCCTCCCTTCACCCATCCATCCATCGGTCCCTCCTTCATCCACTTGTCAATCCACTCCCACCCTGTCCATCCTTGGAATCATCCATCTATCCATCCATCCATCCATCCATCCATCCATCCATCCATCCATCCATCCATTGGTCTACCCACCCACCTGTGCATCTTCCCACCCAACATTTACTGGTCACTTGTCACGATCTGGACCCCGTTCTGAGACCAGGGGAGAGAAAACTGTGAATAAAAAACAGTCCAAGTCCCAGCTCTGAGCGAACGTGTGTGGTAAAGGTAGAACAACACTCCAGCTGTTGAGTTGCTGTCTGTTTTGAAAAGGATCAAAGTAGCAGACACATGCTGCTAGGAGGGATGTGCAGAGCAAGTGGGAGAGAGGAAGGCAGGTGTTCCTCGCAGCAGTTGGGGGAATATCCTCTGGGAGCTGGTTTGAGCTCCTCAGCCACCCGAGGACTCCCAGGGACCCTTGCCCATCCCTACACGGGGAGAGAGAGGACAAATTCACTGCTAGCCACAAACTCCCAGGTCCTGGGTGATGAGTCATGCAAAACTTTAAAGAGGCCTGGAGAAACATCACCCATAGGACTTTCACAAACAAAAGCAAAAAACGGTTAATGTGTGGCAGCTTTTGTGGGGCCTCTCAGTGAAGTACGTCTCTATAGGCAACTTTTTTTTCTTAAATCAGATATTCAGAGAGGAGGAAAGACAGAAAGGAATGTCTTCCATTCATTGATTTACTCCCTAAGTGGCCACAACAGCTGGAGCTGAGCCAATCTGATGCCAGGAGCCAGGAGCCAGGAGCCTCTTCTGGGTCTCCCACACAGGTGTAGGGTCCCAAGGCTCTGGGCTGTCCTCGACTGCTTTCCCAGGCCACAAGCAGGGAGCTGGATGAGAAGCAGGGCTACTGGGATTAGAACCAGTGCCCATATGGGATCCCAGCGCATTCAAGGCGAGGACTTTAGCCTCTAGGCTATTGTGCAGGGCTCTATGTGCAACTTCTGAAGGGCACAGAGAGGGCGTCTGTGTGCAATAGCCACACCTGACTATTTTGGGCAGAAGCAATATGACAACTACTAGAGGGAAAAAAGGCATGACCATACTTTTATTATAAGATAGCGAGGAAGAACTGATGAGCAAATACAAAAATATTAGATAGTTAATAACTCTCACCCATCAAGAATCATGCCTAACATGTTTAGGAGTGCATTTCTAGCCATTTTTACACACACAAACACTTGTGCATGTGAAGTAAAATAACATTATACTGTTCAACAGCCTGTTTTTAAGAGATAGATGTATCATATCTATATTAACTTTTATGATTTATTATTATTAAAATGTACAATTCATTGAATGTGTTTATTTGAAACAGAGCGAGGGAGAGAGATATTGAGCTTCTGACTACTGGTTCACTTTCCAAATGCTCACAACAGCTGGGGCCACAGCGGCCCCACGACGGGCAGTCTTCCAGGTCTCCCATGTGGGGGACATCACCTGCTGCCTCCCAGGGCTGCACACAGGCAGGAGGCTGGAGTGTGGAGTGAAGCCTGGACTTGAACCCAGGACTCCACTATGGGATGAAGGTGTCCCAGACAGTGTCTTCTCTGCTATACCAATCCCATGTCCTAGGACCTGGTTATTGATAGTAATACTGAACCTGATGACTTGGCCCAGTGGAGAATTATAATTACAACTTGTGGATGCAGGGCAGGCAACAGGTGCTGGCAGGGGACAGAGCTGACACTTCTCTGGGGTAGGGCTCTGACACCCTTCCCAGGAAGCAAACCTGGTGCCATCTGAGTGGGGTGGCACCCAGACATGGTCTCCGCATATACAGAGCAGTGAGGGCCCTAAATGGTGCCCCCATCCTCCCAGGCAGACGAATTAACCCCACCATGAGCACCACACAATGGTGCCAGCACCATGAGTTCCTGCTGCCAACCTCTGCCATGGGGACTGAAAGCATCTTATACCAAAATCCCGGTGCTGCCTGCAGTGTCCTGGGTGCATGGACATCTGCCCGAATGCCCCATGAGTGGGCCAGGGCCCTGGGTGTGCGCACACACACATAGCCTTGCAGTCTGGCTGAAGAGATGCAAAAAGGTTTAGCCTGCCCAGATCTTTTTCAGTCTGCCGTGGGGGCTCCCATGGCAAAGCTCCGGAAAACTGGGGATGGGAAAAGGCTACAAAGGGGGTGGACAGGAAGCAGCAACTCTTCCTGCCCCGAGGGGGGCATACAGAAAATAAACCCTGCACTCCTGTCACTGTGGGCCCCACAGACCTGGCTGGGGCGTCAGGCCCTCAGCAGCCCTGCCCATTGAGCAGGGTGCATCCCTACCAAATACTTCCTACTGAGATGAGTGCAGTGACACACTGCAGTAATGGGCAGACAGACTGGGTAACAGCAGCCATACAGCTGCTGCCAGAAAGGTGACCAGAAAGGCTTCCAGCCCCTTGAGCAAGCAGGGAAGGCTCTGGCGCCCCCTGCTGCTGGAAATGCCCACAGCAGCCACAGCCAGGACATTCCCCGGCCAGTGGGAGGACTCTGAGGGGACGCCGGAGCCCAGCATTCCTCCTGGTCTGGAGTGCTGAAACATCTGGGCTCAGCTGTATTGCTTGTTCCTACATGTGTGGCCTGGCCCCTGCCCTAGCACCAGAGAGGCACCTTCAAAATCCAATCGGGCTTTAGGCTACCCTGACAAGCTCAGTTACGGGAACAGGAAGCTCTCTTGTGATCCTGACATGGTCCAAGATGCAGTGATGTGAGGCTGAGTGCTCGTGTGGAACCCAACATGTTCCACTCAGTGTACTCAGGGACACCTGTTACCTGCATGACCCTGCAAAGCCCCCCGAGTGCTGGCAATGAGCTGCAAGTGTCCCGAGTCGGTACCCTTCTCTAGGAGGAGTCTCCTTCCAGCTTCCAGGCCATTGCTCCAAACACTCCAGGTCTAAGACCTCTGTGCAGGGACAGCCATTGTGGCACACTGAGCCAAGCTATTGCTTGCAGTGCCAGCATCCCACATGTAACACTGGTTTGAGCCCTGGCCACTCCACTTCTGGTCTAGCTCCCGGCTAACAGGCCTGGGAAAGCAATGGAAGATGGCCCAAGTGCTTGGAGCCCTGTCACTTATGTGCAAGACCCAGATGGAGCTCCAAGTTCCTGGCTTCAACACAGACCAGCCTGGGCTGTTGTAGTCATTTGGGAAATGAACCAGCAAATGGAAAATCTCTCTCCTTCTCTGTCGCTCTCACCTATTTATATAAATAAATAAATAGATGCCCTGTGCAATTAGGGAAGGGCTAGAACCTGCCAAACACCCATTCCTGGTGTCTGCTCTGGCACAGGCATACACAGACGGACGCATTTACCCCACATGCATTAAGTAAGCACCTGTTACATCCTAGATGCCGTGGATATGGCTGTGAACAGGACATGGGTCACTGACTGTGTGGAGCTACAGACTTGTGAGAGTGGGCTGAGAGAATCCAGACAGGACATAATTTGATGAGTCATGCTGCAGCAGCACAACATGCACGTGGGAGCCCCACAACAGCTGCCGCACCAGCTGCAGACCAGCCAGGGTAGTGCAGAGCCCTCACTCCCAGGTCCCCTGGTGTCAGTGGCAGACCGGGCCCCCAAGGGAGCTCAGCAAAGACTCCGACCCTGGCCATGTCCTTGGCACTGCTGTGATATGAACGTCTTCCTAACTTTCATTGAAGTCAGGATGCTGAGTTCCTTCCTGCCAAATCTGACAAGTGGAGACAGCTTGGTCCTGGGGTGCAGGGCATAGCCCAAGGGTGTGAATGGGGAACTGACTTAGGGGGCCCTCAATATGCCACCTGCTGATCTTCAAGTGTAGGGATTACCTGTTTCACTACTGGAAGTCAAGAGGTGCTTCTGTCTTCAGTTTCAGCAAACACCACGCATAGAGAGGCAGCAGTAGAAGCCACCCTGGGGTCAGCAATCTATCAAGGCGATGCCTCCCTTCCTAGCCAGCTGATCCCCCCTACCCCTGCATCCTCCCACTCCCTGCACCCCCACCCCTGGCCACCATCCTGCATCTGGCCATGCCTGCTCGGTTGCCCTTGCCAACCACACTCCAACTTCAGGGCTAAAAGTCGCTGTGGCCAGGGTAGTCAGCACACAGGTGGGTTCTATCTGGCCTCTGGAGTACTTTTTGAAGTTTTGAGCCCAAATCTGAAAATTGTGAGCTTTTTTTCCTCTTTTAAATTAAATAAGTTTATGTTTTAATTCATTTTGCATCACTTAAAAAAAAAACTTAAAAGGCTGCAAGATAGATAGTAACAGACAGGAATCTCTGGTTTACTCCCCAAGTGCCCTTAATAGCCAGAGCTGGGCCCAGTCAAGGTCAGGAGCCTGGAACTCAATCCAGGTCTCCCATGTGAGTGGCAGAAACTGGGTGCTTGAGCCATTATTTGCTGCCAACCTGGGGCACATTAGCAGGAAGCTGGAACTTGGAGTGGAGCCAGGCTCAAGGCCAGGTGGTTTGCACCTGGGATGCAGATGTTTCTTAGCATCATAACCCCAAGCCAGGTGCTTTACGCACAACCCCAGATGTTCAGCTTCTTGGTGTTTCCACAGAATAGTGGCCTGGACAGGACTGCTCTGAAGGTGGGGCATGTTCTCTTTCATCTCCTCCACTGTGGGCCTCCGACAAGTCCTCAGTCCACCCTTTTGTAGAGACATAGTTCCTGGAACTCACATCTCCATCCAATGTGGGAAATCAGAAGAAAGCCAGAGAAGCTCAGCCAGCTCTCCCTGACGCCTGGCCTCTTCCCTGGGGGTGGAGCTGGTGGGTGGCTGCAGACACAGACACTGCACTTAGTGTCACTGGCTTTGCAGAGCCATGCAGCTGACTACATGGGCACAGCTATGGGAGTGGGGCTGGGCCAGAGGCCACACAGGCAGGGGAATTGCACAGGAGGCCATGCCAGGCTGACGTCACCCTGGGGCGGCTGAGCGCAGCCCCCATTCAGGCCCAGACAGCTCCAGGAGCTCTCAGAGATAGAGGAAAGCCACCAATGCCAGCCTTGCTACAAACCCTGCCCGTGTCCAGTGAAGCTCAGCGTTGCCCGCAGAACTCTGTGTGCCTGATGGGCCCTCTCAGGCTTGCAGCAGGGACACAGCCTGAGCACTTAACCTCAAAGGCCGGGCAGGGTATGGAGAACCTGCCCAAGGTGACCTTCAAAGCCATTCCTGGCTCTGATTTCCTTAAGGTTCTGGGAATTCCAAAGACAGGAACTCCCTGGACAGCAGAGCTGCCACCCGAACACAGACTAAGAGGGTTGTTCATATGTGTTTTCCATGTGCTGTCTCCTGCTGCAGTGCCATTCCTGCCCCAGGTTAGGTATCTAAGAGCACGGATCAGCACTCGGGGGATAAATTTGTTGCATTCTCCTCTGTCCTAGGTCCCAAGACCCTCAAGTGTACCCGGGAGGCAGCCAGACCACATGGTGCTGCCCAAGACGCTGGAATGGGCTCCCCGTACCTGCATCACCTTGACCTCAGGGAAGTCCCCCGCGGAGATCTGGTATTCTCGCTGCAGCTGAATGTAGATTTCCGGCAGCCTGCTGATGAGCTCCCGTTTCTTGTTTTCCTTCCCAAAGACACTGGGCATCTCCTTCTTCAGGTAGCTGATGATGTAGGCATGCACCTGCAGGGGTACACTGCACGTGAGGGCATGCCATGCAGGTATCCACTAACAACTATGCTCAGAGGCAGAGGGAGGGTGAGGCACCCAGGGACCGAAGCAGAGAAAGCTGACCTCAATGATATATTTGAGTTGGGGGCAGGGCAGATCTACAAAGTGGATGAGCCCCTCACTTCCCTGGGAGAGTAAGTGGAGAGAACCCCATTGCTGAAGGCCAGGCAGACGAGCAGGATCCAGAAAAAGGCATGGGGAAGTGGAATGTGACAGAGCAAGGGGAAGAGGGGGCACTTGAGTGGTGAGAGGAATGAGTGCCAGGGTGGGTAGAGAGAGTATGAGGGAGGGTGGTGGTAACAGTGGGACCAGTGTCTGTGGGGTCACGGCACATGAGGTGGGTGGGAGGTGTGGGCAGCATTTAGCCTCTGCTCAGGAGGTACTGGGAGCTGTTGGAGGATATAGAGGGAGGTTCTGCCAGCGCAATGTCTGAGCAGATGATGGTTCTGGAAGGGGGGGCACACTAATGCTGTGAGCTCTCCTATTTGCCAGGTGTGCTGAGACCATGGGGGCAAGGTGGGGCTGCCCTGAAGACAGCCACGAGGAAGATTGGCTAACGAGGGGGAAATATCATGGCCATGGCTGAGTGGGGTCTCCAGGGGACAGAAAGTGAGCAGATGGCCAACAGCTGAGCCTGGTGACTGACCAGCAGACCTTAGATAACCATTTCACCTACTGCTTAGAAGCACCAGGAAGTGAAACTAGAGGTGACGTACATGGCTGATCTACCCAGAGATGGTGCCTCATGAGCAGTGAGATCAGAATCCAGCACTTCCGCAGGGAAGGTGAGGCACTGAGGTCCGTGCAGACTCAGCACCCAAATCATTTCTTTCTTTTTAAAAAAGATTTATTTATTCGAAAGGCATCTTCAATTTGCCGATTCACCCTCTAAATGCGTGCAGCAGTGGGTTAGGGCTAAGCCAAAGCCAGGAGCTGGGGACTCCACTGGATCTTCCACATGGATGGTCCAAGCATTTATGCTATCATCAGCTGCCTTCCCAGGTGCAGTGAGAAGGAGCTGGATCAGAAGCAGAGTTGCTGAACTTTTAAAAAACAGACTTATTTTGTTTATTTGAAAGGTAGAATTATAGTGAGAAAGAGGAAGAGAGGGATCTTTCACTCTCTTTCACTCCCCAAATGACCAGTGACCAGGGCTGGACCAGGCTGAAGCCAGGAGTTTCTTGTGGGTCTCCTCTTCACGTGAGTACAGGGGCTCAAGCACTTGAGCCATCTTCTACTAGTTTCCCAGGCACAATATCAGGGACCTGGGTAGGAAGCAGAGCAGCTAAAATTTGAAGCAGCACCCATATGCGATGCAGGCACCGTTGGCAGCAGCTTAACTTGCTATAACACAGCGCCAGACCCAGGACTTTGCCATGGGATACAGACATTGAAGTCATTTTTACAGGAGGCCAGCTGCCTGGGCCCAGCTGGCAGGAAGATGCTCTCTGGTATAGGATGTCTGGAGGCCCAAGGATGAAGCCCCAGAAACCTGGATCACAATGCTTGCTGGTGGTTGGAGTGGGACATCCCATTGGGAGAGCTCTGTGGCCCCTTCTTCAGCATTTCCCCTCCCCCTTGCGCTAGGCCCACTTGGGAACAGTAACCCATGCTCATTACAAAAGCTCCTTTTGTGTGGCCTGAATTCTCCAGACAATTTAGAAGTCAAGCAAGTAACTAAAATAAGTGCGGATGGAAAACAGAAGAGTGATTACAAAAAGCAAACGACAACACAGTTATGGAAAATCCTATTAAAGAGAACAGACTCCTACTGTAATCTTGGGGCAGAATGGAAACTGAATACCAGGGTAGACAGAGACATTCCACAGCTCGCCTGATGCAGGCTGGCAGGCCCAGTGCTAGGACGGGCTAGGACAGCTATGCGGGGGTTATGTGCCCAGAGCACACACTGCTGCCACCTCCCAGGAGACAAATTTGGAAAGCTGACTCTAACTCTATCACCGGCAAACTGGTTCACTTCCTTGGTGTTCGGATGAAAGCAAATGAACAGCCAATGCTTCGAGAGACCTAAGCAAATAAAAGTTTGGGAGCCCTTGATTTCTGATTCTGGCCTTCAACTGTGTGCCTGAGGACATGATGCTGACTAAGCTGTAACACCAGAGAACTCTGCCTTCGGACGTGAACACCTGGTGTGCAGTATGGGCGGACCTGGGGTGGGGTCCCCCAAGGACTTGTTGGTATTGTCACATTCTGCAGCCCCTCTCATCACTGCCGTGGCCTCAGCCGTCCTGGAAACCTTGGAACCGGAGCCAGTCCCGGAGCAGGAAATGGCTCAGCTTCCCATCCATAAGGTCTTCTCACTTAGATGCCCCCTCCCAGAGCCTGCCAGGTGGGCATCTCTGAGCCGCCAACCCCTGACCAGGCAAGGCTTAGTCCCTGCTCCCATACCCATGCACCTGCCATACCTCTCCACCCACTGACTGGCCCCAGCTCTGTCATCTTAGATCCTGTGATGTTTACTGGCCGATGACTGTTATTACACAATGCGTGCACGGCTTCCAGTGCCCTGATCTCATGCCAGGTCTCAGCTCCCTCCTCCTCCCACTTGCCTCATATTACCTGTGTCATGACCCTCAGGTGACCTGCTCATGTGACAGGTTGCTCTCAGGCCCATCCCCTACTTCTAGAAAGTTCCACTGGTCTACTCTGTCACAGCCTCTGCATGGCTGCCCCACTCTTTTGTCTTTCCTGGAGTGTCCCAGGCAATAACCCAGGATCAGAGCTCCCACAGGGGGCAGGCACGTGCTGACGTGAAGTTTGTCAAGTTCCATGGCAAATGGTGATTCTGGGAAACATGAAGACTGAATCTGGAAGGGATCTCTGCACTGACGTTATCTTTCGATTCCAGGAAATTCAAATGATGTGTTCAAGGTCATACAGCTCGCCAGAAGATGGCAGAGCTGGCACTGTACACTATGACCTCACTCCTGTCCTGCTGGAATTAATTAGTCCTGCGGCTATGAACTAAAACCTCCCTGACACTGCTAAAAATCTGGAATTCCAAACAAGGTGTGACCTATGGAATAAGTGTATGGAAGCTGTGGCTGCAGGCATGATGTCTGATCAGCCCCAGGGCTCTGGAAAGTTCTGGAGGTCACCAGTGTACCAGAAAACAGCTATGTCACTGCACACCGCCTGGAACACCCAGGCAGGAAAAGCCCGCACCTGCCAGATGTGTTTGAGGGGCTCAAGGCCACAGCCAATTCCAAAGGCTGGCTCGTGCCCTAAAGGGTAAAAGATCCCAGCAAAAAAGGACCAGAGGGCCAGCCCTGGCCACGGAAGCAAGTGGAAATAGTATGAGGGTTTCTTTTCTTCAGGATGAAGCAGAGGAGGAGTAGCAAAGAGGAAGGAAGGGAGGAAGGGGTAGGCTCTGGCCCTGGTCCTTGCCGGGTGAGCTGCTGCGGGGAGCAGGCATCACCCACATATCTAAGTATACCTTGCCCATGAGAAGAGGAGTGTAAGTGTCCGCTGCTACTAACTGACGGATGAGGACTAGCTGGAGTCACAGGGACTGTGGAGGAGGCTGTTTGACCTTCACTGAACCATGAAGGAATTCCTCAGATATGAGGGCTAACAGGAGGAGTGTGTAATTCATGGGGATAAGGCACTGCTTCAGTTTTGCCTTTCCCTTCTTTCAAACAGGAAAAGCCCCAAGTCAGCTACCGAGGATGACTGGGGGTCAAATCATACAGAGCCAAATGACAAAGTGTCCAAAGTGTCAGTTTCTCTCTGGGAATAATGACTTGCTGAACGGAGAAGGATCTCCTTCCTCTGAAATGCACCTGTATTCACATGCTGTTCTCACCCTAGAGAGGCTGCCACAAGTCCCATTAATGTGTTCTGCAATGTGTGTGTGTGTGTGTGTCCCCAGCAGTGAGATGCTTGGACTTGAGTGCCATTGCTTATATTCACCCTAGGCATGGAGAACAGCCCAGGCAGCTGGGATTGGGAGCTACCAGTGTGCACGGCAGGACAGCACCATTTGTGGAATTAACCGCTGGGCAGTAGCTAGAGCAAGGCCATCTGGCCAAACCCAGCCCCACTCGTTATAAACACTCCCACCCACCTGAAAGCCTGTGTGGCGAAAGCCTGCATGGTGGTAAGCTCAGCCAGAAAGGCAGAGAGCATGTAGTAACAGGCAATCAGCACATTTTAAAGGTGGGTTCACAACAACATGTCAATCTCCTGTGAACAAACCAGAGCCCCAGAAGTGAGCCCACAGGGGTGGTGAGAGTGTGAGATGGGGAGGATGGCAGAGAAAAGCTCCGTTATTCTGTTCAGATCAAAAGGCACTCCAAGAGCATATGGTCAGAGGGGGACTTGAGGGGCCCCCACAGTCACCTGAGGTCAGTCTTCTGAGAGAGGCATCCTTATAAGGGCTCTAGCGCTGCCATCCACAACAGCTCTGGGCTGCCTGCTGTGCTATTTTTAAAGACCTGCCTGGGACCAAGCATTAAAGCAATCTCATCAGCTGCTGACAGAGATTTACCCTTGAGCCTACATCCAGCTGGGGCGCTAACAACATCTGATTTTTGCATGGGACAGCTGGGAAAGCCGGGAAAGTTGGGCTCTGCCTGCAATCTGTGCAAGATTAAGCAGAGAACCCATTTAGAAAACCAACTGAATCCCACAGAGCAATAACAGGGAGCCCTAGGAAATTGCTGAGTGTCTCTCTTGGGTCTCAGTTTTATGGGTTCCTTCCTCAAATATTGCCTCAGTTTTTTGTTGAGCAAAGATTTCCAAATGGGTGGGACCCTTTCCTGTTCTTGGGCAATGCATTCATGAAGGGTGAGGTCTGGCAGTGAACAGGAAAGCATTGGACTGCCATGCGCAGGTCCCTGAAGCACTGCTGTAAAATCTGTAAGCTCTTTCATGTGGCTACTTTAATTACAGCTAGAGAATATGAAGCTATATTTTCCAAACCCTTGTTGGGGTTCTCACAGGATAGCTTGGTTTAAAGAATCCTTCCGTTACCCTGAAGGGCATCTCAAAGTGTGAACAGCCTTAGGAGGTTGTCCCGATCACACAAAATGTGATCTTGAGGTTAACCAAAAACCCACTCCAACAGGCTCCTGTTTCCTTAAAATGGAGAGTTGTGAAAAACAAACAACAACAAAAACCACGTCTAAGAAGAAAGAAGTAGGGTGATGCTGGGAATTCACAAGAGCTTTTCATGCTAGCATAAAGCCACGACACTTGGAGTTTGATTAAACCAAGAAGGCACCTTCTGGATCGGATGGGAATATGCTGTTCCAGGAACAGACACCCCACCCCGCGCTCTGCCCCAGAGTGGACACTTCTTAGGTTACCCCTTAAATTGTGGGTTTCTGTGCATGGAGTATTCTGTGGAAGAAACAGAATGACAGCTAATTGCAAAAAGCAAGGACACAGGGAAGGAGCTAACATAGATGCTGTCCATTCTGGCTTGTGGGCGGACCTTCCTGAACCAGCAGTCAGTGTGCCCAAGGTTGGAATCTCTATCTTGCACCCTGCAGACTATGATGGCTCAGGGAATTAGTTCATCTTTCCCAGCCTTGGTTTCCTCATGTGTGAAATGAGGATAACAAAGCCAAACCACATGCAATGAAAGACAGGATCTGATCAAATGACATAAGTGGTGCACAACGTGCAGCTTCTGGAACCCATTTAAGAAAAACTGAGGGAGGGGCTACTATTGTGGCCCAGTGGGTCAAGTTGCCACCTGCGACACCAGCATCTCAAATCGGAGTGCCCGTCTGAGTCCTTGACTGCTTTCGATTCAGTTGCCTGTGAACATGTCTGGAAAGGTGTCGGAAGATAGCCTGAGTACTTGGTTTCCTGTCACCCAGGTGGGAGACCAGGATGAAGCTTTTTACTTGCTAGCTTTGGTCTGGACTAGACCGAGCTGTTAAAGTCTAGATGGAAGATCTCTTTCTGTTTCTCCTCTAAATAAATAGATACATACTTAAACAGAAACTGGACGAGGTGGGCAACTGGCACAGTGGTTAAGATGACACCTACACATCACCGTGCCTGAGTCTGAGTTTCGGCTCATTTCCAGTTCCAGTTTCCTGCTAATGTGCACCCAGTGACAGCTGAAGCCCTTGGGTCTCTGCCACCCATACAAGAGATCAATGAGGTCCCAGTTCTTGACTTCAGCTTGGCTCAGCCCTGGCTATTGTGGGAATCTGAGGGGTGGACCAGCAGACAAAACTGGTTAAGAAAAGGATGAACCTGCCCAATTAAAATCACTTTTAGGAAAAATAAGCCCTTCCAGAGTGAAGCATTCAGACGACTCCATGTGCACATAAGTAATGACTAGTGCAGGGACACGGCCTGCCAGTGTGACAGTGTGCCCCCCAGGCTGTCCCTTAGTGCTGAGCTTGGCTTCTAGCACAGCCAGGAACATTTCCTGTCCCCACTCTCGGTGTGGCACTGTGCTGTGAGCAGCTGGCACTGCAAAGCTCTGACTGCAAATATCTGCACTTCAAACATTTTCCTTTGTAAAGAGGAACAAGCCAGATACTATTCTTAGGAAGGAAAAAAAAAAAAAAGCTTTCTTCCCTCCAGAAAGCTCAGCAAGCTTGGCCACCCACCCGCCGTGCAGCACAGGGCCTGTATTCTCTGCAGCACATGAACACAGAGCTACCCTCTGTCTTCAAACCCAGGCTGGGCCAGCTCCTGCAGAAGGGCCTAGCACCCAAGGACAGCAGGCAGCTCTCCACAGCCACCGGAGCTCAGCACTTCCAGCTAGCGCTTGCTCCTCACTGACCTAGAAACTGGAACATGGCTGCGGATGCCCAGCCCTAAGCAGGACCTGGGGTGGGCATTCAGCCCTGTGCTCAGGATGCCAATGCCCATATTAGAAATGCCTAGGTCTACCTCTTGGTGTCCACTGATGAATTCCAGCTTCTCATCAGTGCAATGCTGGGAAGTGGCAATGAACATTCAAATACTTACGTTCCTGTCACCCACGTGGGAGACCTGGATCCAGTTTCTAGTTCCTCTGCTTTGGCCCACACTCAGCTGTATCTGTTGCAGGCATTTGGAAATGAACTAGCAGATACGAGCTCTATCTGTCTGTCTCTCAACTCAGAAGGGGAGAGATTACAACTCCAAACCAGCCTCCTGTACAGGTTAGCTTGGAGCCAGCATGCTCCCTGGGACTGGTGAGAGGCTCAGTAGTTCTATCCACACTGTCTGACTACATTCACTACCTGTGCCCAGTGTCATGCTGAGCATTGTAGCACTGACAAACGGTCACACTGAAGTGTCCTGAGACCCTCAGCTTCAACCACCTGCCCAAGGCCATTGGAGGCTGAGACTAGAATGTGAGCAGGGTGCCTTGGGCTTGGGGCTTCATTGCTAACCCACCACATGCTCTAGCCCTCATGCTTATTGGAGTGGAGTACCCTGTCCCTCTCCATTGTGACATTCATGGCGTCTTCTGGCTTACCTTGGCCAGCCTTGCTCGCTTGATGAGGTCATTGAGCTTGCGTACGGCCGCCTTCTGTGGAAGGCTCTGGATGTCCCTGAAGAGGTCCTGAGCCTCGGCCTCGAAGAGCCGGCGGTTGTCTGTGTTCTGCAGAGGCTGGGCCCAGAAGGAGCCGATGTACACACGCAGTACCTCAGGTGTGTTGATGACCTTGCCCAGGGACCACATGAGAGCCCCGTACACCCGCATCAGCTGCTGTGTGTCCACTTGGTCAGCCTTGTTCAGCACCACACGGATCTTGTCATCCTGACCCCGGAAGGCCTTGATGGCTTCTGAGAACTCATCTGAGATATCCAACTTGTGGGCATCGAAGAGCAGGATGATCCTGTCGACCCGCTCGGCAAACCACTGCAGAACCTGGCAGAAGTCATACCCTGGTGGGGAGACAAGGGCATGTTGTTGTTGAAGGATGAGGCACTTGGAAAAGCGTGAGGGTTGCCTGTGGAAAGCCCTGTGTGTCAGAGGGAAAATCGCTTCACTTGGGGTCCTGGACTGGCTATACTTGGTTATTGCAAGGCTCTGGGCTGGCATGGGTTGAGTTTTGCCACCTTCTGTGCTTGCAAGCCCATGTAGTTCCCATGCATGTCTTATTTCACCTGGAATCAGGAGCTCTGAGCCACCACAGACGATGGGTCAAAGGCTCATAGTTCTGTCTAGTCTCACATCCCTGGGAGCACCCAAGAAGCAGGGCAGAAAGCTTGGAGTCTGTGCAGAGTACACAGCAAGCATGGCGGGGGTGGGGGTGACCCTCTGTGAATTCAAGCTTGTAGGGTGTGAAGAGGTCAGAGGTCAGCCAGGGCATGACTGTTTATCATTCAGACTATTCATAGCTTAAGTGGTTCACAAACACACATATTTTTAAAAATAATGTCTCTCAGCCATTCTGTGAAGTAGCCTCTTGCCAATTTCTTTTTTTAAATGGCCAGGTCCACGACATAGTCTGTTCAGCTCACTTTGGCCACCGACCAATTCAATCCAAATCATGCAGCTAAATAAACACTCTTCGGCCCGAGGTCAAGACTCTCAGGCATGTCCTTAGGGAGGCAGATTCCCACGAGAAGCAAACAAGAGGAGGCCAAGCCCACCAGAGCTATTTTTAATCTCAAGGGGATGGGTGGCATAAGTGGAGCCTCCATCTGGCTTGGTCAGCCCCCACGTGCCACCTGCTCTGACTCCCATTCCCCTAGCCAACTGTTCCTTTCTGACTTTGGAAAGTCTCAAATATTGGAGAGTCCTGCCAAGAGTATGGGGGAACACAGCAATAAAAGGAAGGCTTATTCCAATGCAGAAAATTTTGGAACCATCCATAGCTTTATCTCACTATGCATTTTCCATGAGGATCATATGTCGGAATCCAGAGTGTGACAACTGGCACACTACTTCCAATATATTTTGACCCTCTGCCTTACTTGCCTCAATTTTTTTTTCTTAAAGATTTATTTTTATTTATGTGAAAGGCACTGTGAGATAGAGACTGACACAAAGAGATCTTTTACCCACTGGTTCACTTCCCAAATGGTCATGGCAGCCAGACTTGGGCCAGGCTGAAGCTTGTAGCCTAGAACACCCACATGGGTGGCAATGACTCAGACATAAGAATTTGTACCACCTTCTGCTAGATTTCCCAGGTACATTAGCAGGAAACTGGAATGGAAGGAGAGCATCTGGGCTTGCATTGGTGTACCAATATGGGATGACAGCATTGCAGGTAAAGGCTTAATCTACTATATCACCATGCTGGTTTCTTAGATATATATATATATATATATATATTTCAAGTTTGATTTATTTATTTGAAAGGCAGTGAGAGAGAGAGAGAGAGAAAGAGATTTTTCATCTATCAATTCACTTTTCAGAGGGCCACAGTGGCTAGAGCTGTTGATCTGAAGCCAGGAGCTAAGAGATCCTTCCAGGTTTCCCACATGGATGCAGGGGTCCAAGCACTTAGGCCATCCTTTGCTGTTTTCCAAGGACATCAGCAGAGAGCTAGATTAGAAGCAGAATAGCTGGGACCCATATCGGATGCTGGTACTGTAGACGGCAGTTTTACCTGCTATGCTGCAGTCTCCACTTTAGATACTTTTTAAAAGGGGTGGGTGTTGTGATGCCTGTGTCCCATAATAAGAATGTCAGAATTCAACAGCCACCTCTGGCTCCTGACTCCAGTTTCCTGTTAAGGCAGACCTTGGGAGGCAGTGGTGATGGCTCAAGGAATTGGGTTCCTGCCACTCACATGGGAGACCTGGATAGAATTCCTGGTTCTCAGGTTCACTCTCTTCCAGCGCCTGTCATTGCAGCTATTTGGAAAGTGATTTGTGGATGGGAGGAATTCTTTCTCTTTTCCAAGTTTAGTTCACTTCTATAACAAAATGCTACACAGCAAGGAAGACAGATTTATTGTCACAACTTCACTTGTCAATACAGGTAATCTCCTCCCCCGCCACCCCCCCCAAATGCCAAGTAAAAAAAATCTATTCCAAAGGGTAACCACACCAAGATGTCACTCACACAATGTTAAAACACCAAGCCAAGCTTCACAGTCGCTAGTTAAGTACTGCAGCACAACTGTGAAACATGAGCTAGAGTTAAGGATGTGGGCAGTCTCTGGGGATGGGGGAGTGTGGGATTCAGGGCAGATAGACAGTGTCTGGAGGGGAATGACGCATTCATCAAAAGAAGAGGGGTCGGTGGACAGAAGTTTCCATGCACTTGAACCCACGTAAAAGGGAACAGTTGAACAAGTAGCTTTAAAAAAAAATAAAAACACAACAATCAGAAACACTCTCAGCCTCCCTCTGCCCCTGAGTACCCCTTACCAGAGGAAGCCACTGCCTGGAGGGTGGGGTCTGTGATAAGTGCACATCTGGCCTGCATAGGGCACACTGTCACTTGCCACTCTGCAGCCCTGCTGGGGGATGAGGAAGACAAAAAGGCAGCGCCTGGAAAATGGGCTGAGTCTGCCTTGCACTCCTTCAGCAGCCAGCTTAGCCCAGAGGGAAGCCCAAGACTCCTTGAACAGATTCTACAGATATATGCAGATTTTGAGTCAAGATCTCACCTCGAGTCCTGTTCCTGTAAGGCCATGACAGTAAGCCTCCCAAGAAAACCCAAGAGACTGTCGTGGGCCCAGGCCGTAGGTGGGAGACTCCCAGCAGAGGAACTGATGCTTAGGAACCACTCCGGGAGGGTGACCAGCTCAGCAGAGCCACGGCAGGAGGTCCTATGGGTGGCTGACCGGCTTGGCCTTTCACCCAGACACACTTTCTCTGTCTCCCTGGGGATCTGAATTAGGGTCTCTGAAGGTTCAGAAACAGAGGAAAGGAAACGCTGCGTCCAGGTTCATGTTGGAGTGGCCATGAGCTGGCTGTTTGCTGGATGCCTTCTGTCTGGTGGGGGGTGACTTTTGTGGGCCACAGAAGCTGAAGGTGTGATGCTGTCCCTTGCCCTGTTCCTTAGCAACTGGGGGGAGGGGGGAGTGATCTACAATCAGACATCCATCTCCGTCCACCAGAGTGGAGCGCTGAACCTGAGGGAGTGGTGCAAAGTCCTGGGAGAGAACACATACATTCATAGGACAGATGGTTGGCTCAGTGTAGCGGTTACAATTCCTCCCAGGACGTCTGCATTCCATGTTTGAACACCTGGGTTTCAGTCCCTGTTCTGTTCCTTCTTCCAGTTGTATGCTCAGTGTGCACCCTGGGAGGCAGCAGGTGGTGGTTCAACTAGGTCTCTTCCACGCCACATGGCATGGGTTCTGGGTTCCTGGCTTTACATGGTCCAGTTCTGGCTGTTGCAGGCATTTAGGGGGTGAATCAGTATAGGGGAGATTTCTTTAGCTGCCTTTCAAATAAACAACTGAAAACTAAAACAAATAGCAGTGGTGGCTGAGTTGAGTCCAATGGTGGAGGTTTCTTATCCCTTTCCTGAGCCTAGTTCTTCCACCTTCCCATTAAATTTGTGAGTTATCTGATCCTACAAAAATAACTGGGTTCCTGCCACCCACCTGGGAGAGCTAAGTCAAGTTCTGGTTTCTGGCTTTTTTTTCTCTACTAAAAAAAAGTTTGTAAGAAAAAAAAGACCCGCCTTATTGCATTAGAATTCTTTTCTAAGATTTATAGGGAAAGAGAGGGGAAATCTTCCCTCCAAACAGCTACAACAGCTAGGGCTGGTTAGGCCTAAGCCAGGAGCTGCTTCTGGTCTCCCAAGTACTTGGGCCATCCTCCATTGTTTTCCTCTGTGCCCTACTTTCTCCTCTGCGAAGTGGGGCTAATAATGGTGCCCACAGACCTCACAGAGCTGCCAAATTAAGATCAGGGAAGCATAGAATCTGCTGGGTACCCACAGAGCTATCAAAAAATGTTATCTGCTGTCTATTTTTAAGACTTTTCTCTCCAGTGTCTGGTGCAGAGTAGAGGTGGGAGGAAGTGGTGTGTATGCAACAAACGTTTGCTAAAGGACATCAGTCAGGGGGAAGCAGAGTATGCAGCCAGCAGGTAAAGGGAACAGTGTAATGACACTTATGCCAAAGGAGAGAGGCAGTGCATGGAAAACAGATACAAGGACTCAAACGAGGAAAAACCACTCCTATTTTGTAAGCAGAGCAATGGGCTTGGGAAGGCCTTGTGGCCTTCCTTTTCTTGCTTGGAGAAGGGATGGCATCCTACCTGTTGCTTTTAAAGAGGCAATAAACCTGGGATTGTGGTCACGGACACTGGCCAGCTCCAGGAAGCTGCCTGGGTACTAACCTGGCTGAGACTACTTGAGGCACACATGTGCCTGGCAAGATGGCATCAAGGAGTATTCTCAACATTCTGTTACAGAGGATGCTAGCTTCCTATCAGAACCATAGTCCTGTGAAAGGCTTAGCCACCAAAAGCTGATGAAGAGCCATTGGTCACCCTCAGACTGCATGTGGCCCTGGGCTGCTGTTTGGTTTGATCTTCACAGGGTTGTTGTAAAGATTCATTTATTGAACTGAAACTCACATTAGCAATAGCCAGAGCTGGGTCATGCTGAGGTAAAGAGCCAGCCTCTTGATCCAGTTCTCCTGTGGGGGTAGCCAGGGACTCAACTACCCAAGCCATCCCTTGTTCCCTCTCAGGGAGTACATTAGCAGGAAATTGGAATCAAAAGCAAGGCTAGAATGTGAACTCAGGCACTCCAATACAAGAGCTGGGCATCCAAAGCAGTGTCTTCATCTTAATTTGCCTGCCCAGGAAAGTTTTTATAATCTCGATGATGGTGGTGGTTATACAAGTACATGCACTTACTTATGACAAACCCTAGAATTCTCCAATTATTACACAAGTATGTTATTCCAGGCACTTAGGAAAGCTTGTAGAAAGATGAAATTAAAAGTTAATTTCAGTGCAAA